TATAGTTGTCCCATTTAATAAGTATGAACTGTTATTTAAGAAAAGACAATTAGTTATTTTTAATACTATTTATAAGAAGAAATCACAATGATCAGGAATTACCCCAGTGGTCAATAATTATCCCATCTGTAGGGGGCAACATTTGATACAGTTTCCTATAATCAATTATAATGTGTACAGTAGATGTGAAACAATTAAAGAAAAGCTTACTCTATTTTTATATCAAAGAAAAAGAAAGTAACTCAAAATATTCATTATTAAGAGAAGGAGGGGGATCTTTGAGGAAATGTGCACATTTTATAACCCATCTCTAAAATTGAAAATACAGGAAGCAGTTTAAAAGATACTTATCTTGTTAGATTAAACAAAAAACTATTATTAAGTCAATGTAGTTATACTTTAGTAAAGTGCACAAACATTCTTGTCCATGTCTCAAATTTAAAGAAACTTTTTTTTAAAAAAAAATAAAACTTTACCCCAGAAACATTACCCCGGGTCAACCTACTCTTTTTTTTAACCAATTTTATTTCCTAAATTATTNCAAAAGCTTACTCTATTTTTATATCAAAGAAAAAGAAAGTAACTCAAAATATTCATTATTAAGAGAAGGAGGGGGATCTTTGCGGAAATGTGCACATTTTAAAACCCATCTCTGAAATTGAAAATACAGAAAGCAGTTTAAAAGATACTTATTTTGTTAGATTAAACAAAAAACTATTATTAAGTAAATGTAGTTATACTTTAGTAAAGTGCACAAACGTTCTTGTCCATGTCTCAAATTTAAAGAAATTTTTTTTTAAAAAAAAATAAAACTTTACCCCAGAAACAGAGTGATCGTGAATTACCCCGGGTCACCCTACTCTTTTTTTTAACCAATTTTATTTCCTAAATTATTATTTATTTCTTATGATTTTATACTACTTTAGCAACAATCAAAAGATATATAAATTCACTAATTTACAAATACTTTAAATATGAACATTAAAAATAGTAAATATTTAAAAAAATATGTGTATACTGACCGTTCTTTCAGATATTAGTATGCGTTACCCGAGGATTAAAGAGGAATCTCAGAGGATTACAATCAAATATACCACAATAAAATTATTCAGAAAATGTTCATCAGAAAAACATTAAAAAATCAGTAATACAGAATTAATTTAGATATAAATTTTAACATATAAGTATCAATGTGAGTTCCACTGTATTAAGAAAGAAGGACATGATTTCTTCGCCTTGCCTTGTACACATCTCATCTTGTTTCTCTAAAATGCTCTACTCTTGATGTCTGGTCTCATTCTAGGTGATAAAAATAGCAAATTTTTGTTTTTAATATTTTTGTGAGACTGAAAAATTGTTCCAATTAATTTGATTGTCAAAATTAAGGACTTTTAAAAACCTTGTACAAAAATTACGTACATTTAAGGGCCCTTATTATCAAAAATAAAAACTAAACAGTTTTTAAGGACTAGAATGGGAACTCTGTTCTAGAAGTGTATGTATGTAAAACTCAATTACCCCCCTTGATTGAAAAAAAATCCTTATGTACTGGAAAACAAAAAAAACCTTCTAAGTTTAAATTAGCATTTTTTTCTTCATTATTTTACAATCACTAAGTACAATCCTCCTTTTAAGGGGGGATATTATCGTAACTACCACTATAAATATTAAATACCAATTCACTAGTACATAAGACATGTTAACTTGAATCCATTTTGAGGTACCTTTTGATAGATGAAAGTTGACATAGCCTATTAATAAATCCCGACAGACCTTGACGTTGAATAATTACTGGATTCTAACAACAAAAATTAGATTCATTAAACTCTAATGATTAAACAGAATTTTTACTTAATGCCTTTTTTTTTAGGGCTTTGACTTTAATTTTTTAGTAAAAGATATTAGAAACTATTTGAAAGAAATAAGGGATTGGTTTACCATCCAGAAATTGTAAAAATAACCCATTAGGAGTAACTTTTTCCATTTTATGGCGGAAAATTTTATCATTCAGCGGAATGAAAAACAATAACTTTAAAATACCTGTGTCCGCATGCTCAGTTTTAAATTTCATTTAATTTAAAGTATGAATTACATGTATCGTCTTGACAGTGAATTAAAGGATTATAATTTATAGAATATAGCTCAGTCCACAATCGGTGATTAATAGGTTTCTTAGTTCACACATGTTTTATTTGCATAACTTAAAAAACTTAATTCAACAGAAACATAGAAAGGGAAGTTGGAAAGATTTATGAAGAATAACATTTATGCGGTTACAGTTAGAAAAGGTTTGCGTTTGGATTTGGTATAAATTGATTAGAAAAATGCCTGAGTTCTCCGATTGAACAAAAACAGGTAGCAGGAAACGGTTTGCCACAAATTAAATTCACCCCTTCTTTCAGAATATTCTCAGGCGATTTATAGTTAGAAAATCTCTCTTTTAAGTCATTTTCTGCTAAAAATTTCCAAAATTAATTTGGCACCTAATTATAAATTTACCAAAATCACTGTGAAATAAATTTATTAACTAAAAAATAAAGGTGAAATATGAAATTTGCTACCACTTAAAACATTCATTCACAGGAAGAAAAAAAAACACCTATTTCAAAAAGAGTAGTAGTATAAGCTTAAATGTAGGCAAGTTTAAATTGTAGACTTCTTTTTGAAGCTTTTTAAAATTACTAATGTACAGACAACAAAAGAGTGAACATCTTAAATAACTTTTGATTTAATAACCGGATTTTCACACAACTAGAGTAGACGATATTTTAAGTTACAAAATCAGCCACAAAAATCGATCTCAGATAAATTTTTCCTGACATGACTAAACTGGCAATATGCCTGACATCATTTAAATTTTTTTCTTAAATATACTAATAATATGTAAATTAAAATCTTCCTACAATTGACATTTAAGTTACATAGGAAAGTATCTTTGTCTTAAATATAATAAAATAGAAATTATAGACATCACGTTTTTTATTGTATGTGTCTAAAGTAGATATGAGTAATAAAATAAATAAGAACTGTATAAAACACACCAGAATACTATAGAAAAAGTATATGTATTTAATTTTTCTTCTTCATAAAATTACATATTCTAGTACTATAATTTTCTTTTTTCAATTTCTAAATAACGACAAATGATAAAAATGACCCATTACTTCTAATGATAGTTGTTAATTACTATTATAGCAATTTACCCAAAATTGTAAAAATAAAAGAGTACATTTTAACATTGAAGTTTTTTTAAAATTTATAACTTAATTCTTATGAAAGCGATCTTGTTTTTTCACAATTATCTTGATGAACATTCTATCTCCAAATTATTGAGAAAAAAATAATGCTACGTATTTTGTAACTTTTCCTAAATTTAAGATGTAGTTATATGAACAATCCATCTTTTTAAGTCATTTCATCGGAGTAATTTAAGTTTGTCTTCCTTTCAGAGGATTAATTTGCAATCTGCTGCTTATTTCAAAATAAAAGTTACACAAGTATTCCTAGAATTATAGAACTTTTCAGGAGTGATTGCTGCTCATTATGATAGGTGGTCCCTCTTCAATTCATATTTCTATACATTTGTAGGCTATGTAACATAGAGTATTCTGTAAAAATCGCTTTTGATTTATATTTTCCAACATACCATCAACTCAAAATTATAATTTCAATATCTGGAGAAAATTTTTATTGACTATAATTCGTATTTGGCGATAAACTTTGCTTGCAGCTGTCAGGAAAAGATTAAAATTTTAGTTGTAGCTAAAGAAAAAAGGTGGTTACAATTTCAGTCTTGTTGGAAAGGGGTTAGAAATTTCATTGACGATAACAATGGATACCAATTTCAGCAGTTAGGAATTGGGAGTTTTCATTCATCACAGAGCTCCAGTTAAAACATGAGTAATCTAACTAGTCTTAATCATTTGTAGCTCCATACATATTGATTGAAAATTTTATGTTAGCGAATGTAATTTTTAATTCAATTACAGACTTAGATTAGACTGTAATTTCTAAGTAAAGAGATACACTTGAATTTTATGTCTTTAAAAAAATACTGGTTGCTAAAAATCAGTACAGTTTAGAAGCAAGTAGTTTTACATGCTTTATGGTTTACAATAATTTTTTAATTAGTATTGCCAGATTGGAAAGGGTTATAGTGGTATGAATTTCAATTGACAATAAATCCATTAAGTGACAAAATAATATTAAAGCCTGCTTAAAACGACTCTGAAACTTTTGAAATTTACAATGTCTTGGCATGGAGCTAAAGTTAAAATGTTAGTAGACTCACAGTTAGTAAGTTACAGATACAAAAGCAAGAATAATTAAAATTGTAGCAATTTAAAGAAAATACTTGTTGACAATATGAGTTGAATTTTATTAATTGTTTTTAGTAAAAAGTTTTAAAATTTGCCTATGTTAGATAACAAAAAGCTTTAAATCAAGGCAATTCTCTTATGGCTGTCTTTACAAACAACTAGAAAGCGACTAAATACGGATATGTAATTAATTTATATTGAAATATAAAGTAATAAAAATTGAATAAAATAGAATTAGAACTCACACAGTTAATTTTAATAAAGAAAAGTTATTTTGCACAAAAAGTAAGCCAGGTTAGTTATCACTATCCTGGATAAGAACTATTGGCATAGCGTGAGGGGGGACACGCTTTTTGTTTTTTGGAGACTGTTCATTCTTTATAAAGTTCTATATCGATATTTATATATAAACATACATGCATAAAAAATACATATATTCATACAACTTAAAATAAACGATCAGTTTTCTGCAAACAAAAAGTGTGCCCCCCCTTCTCATGGTAACCTCCCTACAATAAGAACAATAACCTCATTAGTCTTATAAAATTTACAATTGAACAAAACAAACAATTTTAATTATGGTGATCAGAACGATTTAAATATATTTTGATTTGATGATTTAAATCATATTGATGATCTAAATTCATGTAGATTTACCAAATAAATAAAAGACAAGACTGATTGCTTTTGTACAAAAATAAGAGTATTTTATTATCTCCATGATATATACAGCATCCAAAATGAATTTTGCAAAATGGAAAATTTTACATTGTATATTCATATCATTATTGTTGTACAAATTTGTTCAATATCTTTAAGGCAGTAATACTGTCGGGTCAATTACAGATTTTCTATATCTTTTAGTGTGTCATAAAACGTACAAATGCTTGTCATATTAATTATAAATACATTTGTTTGACTTTTAAGATCCAGTATTATATGTAGCCATGCTTGAATTGATTTATGTATTTTTCAACACAGTACTGCTATAATTTTTTTAATCTATAACAGTTAGTTACTGTATTAAAATCTGCAAAATTACTGTAAAAAAATGGAAGACAAAATTACATGAATTTACGATTGAATTGCTTTAAAGGTAATGCTACATTAATTTATAATTACTATAATGTGATTTTCCAAATTCACACCTGTTACAATGACTAAAAAATAATTACAAGTAAAAAAACAAACATTCGAGTTAACAACGAAACCCATCAAGCCAGAAAACGATCATTTAAAAGCAGCATTCTTACTTTGCTTGTTGGGAACATCCAGTTGAAAATAAAGGCATTTTTAAAACAGAGATACCAACAGTGACTAAAAAGTAGAAGAAATTATTCATTTTTGTTTATTATCTTTTCTATTATTCAATCATAACTACCACTATGACTAACATTCAAAGTTATTCATATTTAAACCAAAACCATTCTTTGCATTCACTTCTAATAGTAAACTGAAAAAATATGCTTGAAAAAGTTGCTAATTTTAATATCATTTAAAAAAGTTTGATTTTAATTAGTTACCACTTTTCGCATTTTAAATCGCTAATGGCAACCCTGTAAAAATCATTTGGTCCAAAAAACTGTCAAAAAGTGATAAACTAGACTGTGAATTAGTGGTAGCACTTCACGGCCACCTGCCACAGGGCCTGGGTTGCAGTTCGATGCTCGAGCCGGGCATGGTTGACTCAGCCTTTCATCCCTTCAGTGTGTCGATAAATGAGTACCAAGCATGCTTGGGAACTAAACACTGGTTGTTTCGCGTTCGGCTAACCACCTAACTGGAGCATCTGCTCCTGCACCCCTGAGAGCTGAGAAAACTGAGATGAGCACACTAGGCCTTGGCCCTATATGGGCTGTCGCATCACTGAGCTTAGTTTTACTTTAGCCTGTGAATTAACAGTTCAATCATACAGTTCGAGCAATCGTAATAAAATTACTTAAAAGTTAAAAATAAAATTTGCAAGTCATAATATTGAAACATAATATATAAACTTCAAAATCTTAAGAATATTAATCTTCAAGAGTTCGTAGAACTACCACTAGGATAAAAAAAAAATATGTGGCTTTACAGTGGAATTGATCAAATATATGTAAATATACATGTTTTTGTTAAAAATTTGGGCTCTTATTTTCAATTTATCTATTTGTTTATGTAAGATATCTAAAATCAGGAAATTTCTGAAATCCTAACAGTCTGGCTCCCTAGATTAAATTGTATTAAAAAATAGTTTTTTCAAAGTTAAAGGCATATTTTATGCATTGTAAACATATGAATTTTCATGTTAGATTTTTGACTGAAAGGTTTTCGGCATACACCACAAATAAAAGGCCTTTCTCCACTGTGAACACGAAAATGTCGACTAAATTTGCTTTTATCAGGAGTTTTATATGAACATAAGGAACAGTGATAAAACTTGTGTCCCAACGGAAAATCTGCAAAGATATAAAGCATCCATTATTAGTTTTCAAAATAAATAAACAGAACGTCATTACTAATTCAAAAATGGTTCCTACGAATGAAAGAGAGTAAAAATGCTTAAGCTTAATAACAAGCAAATCAGATTCAAACAAAGTTATCATTTGCAAATTAATTTGCTCACAAGATAATTAAAATTAAAAAAAATTCATCTGAAAAAACAAATTATAAGCATACAAGAAAAAAGCATTTTCAAGGAATCAGCTCTACTGTAAATGAAAGGATTCAAAGCATTCTAGACACAATGGTGGTTTTTGCAGACAAGTTTTACATCTATATAACGTCTCTTTTCTAATTTTGTTAGCTGAACATTGTCTGCAACCTAAAAAATAAGTTTTACGCTGAAAATCAATGAGTTGAGGGATTTTTTCCAAGACATGTTGTCGGGTAGAGCTTGGGGATATGAATTGTACTGAATTTATTTGTTTTGGTTGCCTAGATGAAATATTTAGAATACATAAATGTTATACACTGAAGAGCGATTAAACACAAACCTAAATATTTATGAATTTTTAGCATTTTTTATATCATATTATTATTAATTTACATACACTGATACCTATAGAAATATTCTGTATGCTAAAATTATCTTTTCATTTATAAAATTTTGAAGGGAGTAATTCACCTGTGTTTACTTAACTCAGGAAAAAATATTTACAGAATAAATATTTCATCCTCACAAAAACACACTATTCAATTGAGTGAAATAAAACTATACGAAATGTTTGGTATGCATGACTGTTACAGCCCTTAATGTCAAAAATATTCTGAATTGTTAAAACACGAAAAATTACAAAAAAACTGGTTTTTTTCTCAATGCATTACCGAATAAATAACAGATAAAAGCATTAAAACACTTTGTACTAATGATGTTCCTTTTTTAATAATTAAAATGGGCAGGACGGCTGTAGATATTGTTTGCCTTCATACTGCCAAAGATCAGCCAGCTATAGCTGTCATTCGTGGCAACGTGTGAAGGGGTTCAAAATTGCAACTACTTTTCTGACCAAATTACTGGGACTATACTTTCCAGATTGTGGGCAGCCCAACCCCTTAATTTGGGGGATCAAAAATCTCAATCGGTCAGAAAAAGGTATGTTTATTCCAAGAAAGTACATTTTTATATTTAAGGCTAGAGAACCATTGAGTTAGAGTAAGTTTAAACTACCTAAAGCAATCATGCAGAAGAAACTGTTCAAAAAATTAAATTCTTATAAAAAGCATAAATCAATAAATATAAGTTTTATGTTATTAACACATTGTAAATGATATAAGTAAGCTGAAAAATAATACATAATATGACATTTTATTGCTTATTTCAGTTATAAAATGTTATGCTGAGGAGGCAACTTTACATCTTGTGCCATTAATAAACACAATTTATTCAATGATTTTACATAAAGAGATAAGCATGGAAATATTTTTAAATAATGCTTAAATATTTTTGACAAAATAGTGATAACATTATCTATTTCTATGATGCTGCAGGTGTCGTTTAAATTTCCATTTGTTTGGAGTTTTATAAGAACACATTGAACAACAAAATATTCCAGGAATCCAGGATGATTTGTATCCAAAAGCAACATCTGTTGAAAGAAAAATGGGAATTACTGTTTTGTTTTGATAGCTATAGTGGTATGGAATTATGTTACTTCTTAAAATAAAAGCAATAAAACTGAGTATATAGGTTATAGATTAAAGTAATAATGAATGATAAACATATGTTTGTCCAGTTCAATAAGGATTGCCAACCCTAATTGGTTAAAGCTGAATATCAATATTTACAAAGCACATTTTTATGCAGGCAATGGGCCAACCTTAAAAAAATATTTGTGCAACACATACATAATCCTTAGCTTTAAAAAAACATCAAAGTAGAGAATTCTGATATATTAAGAAACTCTCATGCACTACCGAAAAAAGGTTATTTATGAATTATCTAATATACTATAGGCATGTAAAATATAACTTCAGACTTCAACTGACTAGGATAGGCTATTGATTTTTAGTAAGTTCAAGATGAAAGCCTTGAAGATTCTTTGACTTTAACTAATGGCATAGGTAATCCCTACTTCAATTTGCTAAATCTTTGTCTATCTTGTATTCTTGCTTAATCCATAACAATTACAAATAAGTACAATAATAAAAACATTAAACAGCAAAATAGCAACAGTTAACCATAAAAGATAACCTCATTTTACTGAGAAATCAATACAATATTGTATTAAGCAAGCTCTCATACATATAAAATTGAACATCATCAGTAAATCACAGTGAAAAGGATCATTATAAATATATTTAAAATAGTTTTGAATTATTATACATACTAATAAAAAATTTTATTTGTGAATAAGGATTATCATTTTAACACACTATTTACAGATCACAGATTAACTTTTACTTATGTACCAAGTTGGTAAATTTAGAAAACATTTTTTTCTTTTTAACCAAGCAAGCGTTTTAAACTTTGGTAAGTTGATGCTGAAATTTCCTCTCAATACATACTTTTCTCATTGCATTACCAAGAAAACAGGTTTATCAGAAGAAAAAACACTACAGGTAACGGCTCTAAGCAACACAAACACTTACTTGGTATATATATTTTTAACACAAGAAGTGAAATTTGAAAGTATAAAAGCCTAAAAACAGCTTGAACATTGCTTATAAAGAATTGTGCAAAACAACTGCAAGCCAATATAAAATCTATGAGCAGTAATTTTTTAGAGCTAAGTGACTCAGAAGAAAAATTTCTTGACTTCTCCTGACTGATATCTAATATCCCTGATTTTTAATTTGATAGCAAAATTTTATTATTGATTTTTTAATTATGTCCTTTTATACAAAAAATATCTTGCAAAACACTTATACTTTCCTTTAAACTTAAAAATAATTATTTTAAAAAACAATTATTACAAGAAAAATTTATTTTTTGAAAAATATTATACTTTCATGTACGCTGCGTAAAATAAAAAACAGACTAGTATGAATAACTTTTGATCTAATGATTGGATCTTCAAGTTCTGGGACTCAATCCTAATGGTTCAAGAAGATGACCTCGAATATGCTAATCATTTCAGTGCAGAGGATATTTTAAGTTACAAATTTAGACACAAAAATCTACTTTTTCTAAATAAACCAACTTTTTTATTGATGGATTCAGATTTTTGACCCCCAAAATACCGGGTGTTGCCGCAATCTGGGAAATACAGTCTCCATAGTTTGTTCAGGAGAGCAGTTCAAAGTTTGGCCCCCTTAATGTTAATTTTATTTTTTGCGTATTCCGCGATATTTTAAGAACTTTTTAAGTGGATTTAAAAAATTTTGCACACAAATATAAACATTTTTTATTTTAAGACAATTCAATGCAAAATATAACTATTAATAAATATTTATTATTTTATTTAAAAAGCATCATAGAATTTTCAAATTGTAAGGTATAAAATTTTTACGTCATATTAAAAAATTAAATTTTACATGGTAAAATACAAAATTTGAGTGAAATCAGTAGAATAGTTCTTGAGAAATTTAATTTTAAAATGCGTTTTCGTTAAAATTCGATTTCTCAGGAACTATTTGACCAATTTCACACAAACTTTGTATTTTGCCAAATTGTATACGCTTTATTTCAAAGTTTTTCCGGTTTGTTTTTGCTGTTTTATTAAAATATATTTCTCACAATACACCATTAAACTATATATTAAATTAATAATAGTTACTTATATAAACTTGATATAAAATTATCCTTTTCCTTTATCACCAATAACTAATTTTTTTAAAAGTAGGAATAAAAATGGAAAATGTATCAAGTGATAAAATAAGAAATATAAAACTAAAATACTTTTTTAACATAATTAACACTTCGCCAACCGATCAGTGAGATCTATTCATTTGGCAATATTAGTAGCTGTTAAATAAAGTACAGTGGCTACTTATATTCAGGGGCAATTAATTTCATTGGTAGAGTGTTAAAAACCATATAGAATCAAGATTACAGTATTCACATGAAAAGTTAGCAACACTTCGATCACTTTGTAGTGGCATATATCATGCAAAAGGCCCTTCCTTCACGTGTATAGTCATTACATGATACCTCAGTGTTTCTTCTCGATTAAATGCTCGTTGGCAAATATGGCAAACAAATGGCTTTTCTCCAGTGTGGATGCGCACATGGCGAATGAATCTGCTTTTGTACCGGTCTTTAAAACTGCATATTGAACAGCAAAGATAATTGTCAATCAGCTTGCATAAAGGTAGGTCTATAAATATATAGGAAATATGCATTAAAATTTTTGCTAAATGTTTTATAACACAAAATAATTTAATAAAGAGTAGAAATAACAGTAACAAACTTAAAAATCTTCAATAATTTGGAAGCATAAAAAAAAATTATCGAAAACAAATTCATATATAAATAATTGGGCCTAAATGATTGCCAATTTTTGGCAAAAAACCAGGCATTCTAGAAATTGAGAAAAAAGTATATCACAGAAGAGGAGGGAAACAGAAATGGTATAATTGTTAACCACCTTTTTCTTTTTAATTTATTATAAGATGAAGGATCAAGAAATTGTACTTAGGGGATTGCAGTTGTCCCTGTTGGAATTAGAGAAATTTACTCCCTTTGTGCAGCTGTACTATGATTAAATAAAGACTACACTTTGACTTGTAAACAACAAGAAGTTTATTTAAAATTAAACTTAAAAATGTACAAGCAGCTTTTGTGTGAAACCAATATACACAAAATTACTAACATTCCTGCTTTTTTTTCAGAACAGATTTTATCATAAGGTTATCTTAAGATATAGTATCGGACAAGACAAGCAACCCCCCTTAAAACAATTGTGCCATATCCCTTTGTGAGGTCACTCATGTTATGGGGTCCCTTCCCTGGTGATATTCCATTTTGTTTACAAACATGCCAAAAGCAAACATTGGGTAGCATGTTTGCTTGTACTATCAAAATGTACAGTTTATTAAGGGAAGATAAATTAATGTCTCAACAGGCCGAAACAGGTAATGATACTTTAAATAACTCATATTATACATGGTAGGCTCATGTCTCAACAGACTGAAACTGGTAATGATACTTTATATAAACCATGAAACACATGGTAGGCTCATGTTTCAATAGGCTGAAACAGGTAATGATACTTTATATAAATCATGAAATACATAGTAGGCTCAATTAAAACTAAAGTAATAAACATGAACTAGATTTTTATGAGATACAAGTAACATGAAAAAAAAATGACATTAATAAAATAATGAGAATTCAATTGCTTCGTGTTGTATTTAAGAGGTATAGCTACCTATTTATAATGAGGTAAGTTGAATTAGCTTATCTTAGTTAAAGCTGATTTCCCTACTCTTTACTTGTTAGTGAGTTACGACAACTTATTTACACTAAATATCTAAAAATCATAATTCTAACCATAAATTTATCAAATTAAAAAGCGTAATCGTCACATAAATTTAATGAAAGGGCTCAATAAAAAGTTAAAGCTGTCATCTTCTAAGTTTTTTGGTATGCTGAATGTTATGAAAAAACTGTGCTCATTCAAGAAAAAAGTATTCTACTATTTGTATTAATAAAATATGTTAGTTAATAGACAATATTAATTAATGGATCTTAATTTCTAATTTAATTTTTTTTGAGAATTAACACTATTATAAAAACTTGATTCTTCATTGAAAAACAGATCAATTTTGAAATGAATTTATCAAAATTTATTTTCAAATCAATTATGTGCAGAATGACACAAAAGTAGCAAGTAGTATTACTAGACCAAACTCAAACATTTGACTAAAAAACAAAACAGATAAAAATATATTTAGCTAAACAAGGTAAACACCCAAAAATGTAAATTGAGCTTAAATTGAAAAGATGTTAAGTACCTTATTTTTAAAAAAAAAAAACTGAAAGAAAAAATATTATAAATATATTCACACAAGGCCTTTTATCTTTTCTCCCAATTTTGACTTTATTATTAATAAAATAAACTGAATGCTGTTTTTGTTAATTTTTTTTATAAAATATTGATAATAAATAAGGAATCACTGGAATGTGATAGATTTACACTTTAATTCCATTATTTACAAAAAGCCAGAAACTTATAGTCGATACTTTTTAAAATAGGAAAGTAAAAAAGAAAGAGAGTAAAAAGCCCTAAACTATTTTTATACATTTATTTAAAGATTTAAAACAAAAATAATACAGATGTATTTAAAAATAAAATGGTAAAAAAATTGATAACGCATGGCATATATAATAACAAATAACATTCATGTATGATAACTGAAGTATAAAGCATTGAGACTCAGTAATAGAACTAATTACATAATTAGTTAATAGTAGACAGTTTAATAAATACAAGAAACTTTATATTGCCTAAAAATGTAAACTGGAGATGGAAAAGTAAGCCTAGTCAAGCTTTCCTCACTTAGATTCTTTCAATATTTCTCCCAGTATATGATAACTATAATTTAAAGATAATATACCTTTTTTTTTTTTAAATGTTTGAAATATTCAATGAAAAAAAAATATTTTCAAATAGTAAAAACTATTACACCAATCAGATTTTCAAAAATATGAGTTCTTCAGTTTAATCACAAAATTAAGAAAAAAGCATCAATTATCAAAAGTTATAAACCATGATGAAATTATGAAGTTGGGCTATATATATTAAAACTTCTGTCAGATACCAAGTCTTCAGCATTATATATATAGGAATTTATATAAAAACAAGAAATTTTTTTGGCAACACTAAATGAACTTTCAATAGATAAAAATAAGTTTGGTACACAAAAAAAAAAGAAATAAAGATTTTTTTTAAATTTTTAATAGTTTGCCTATAAAGCCTTTAATAAATATAACAGAATATTTATAAAATGTATAGGGTCAAGGCAAATTACTCTTAAAATATAATAAGAAAAGGGAACAAGACTTTCAATGTCCAAAATATAGAGAGGGTAAACATAAGATTCAAACAGTATCATTTAATGAAAATTTTTAAATACAGGAAGCTGAAAAATTGTTAGTAGTTTTCAAGACAATTTGAAAGTTAAGCTGAGAACAGAATGTTATAAGGTCCGTCCAAATTCTTTTTTTTTTCTTAATTAATGAAAGAGAGAATTTATATATTGAAAGAATAATTAAATAAGATAGAAAAAAAATAATTCAATCATGAAGATTATTTCCATATTTCACCAAGTTTATTTTTCTTATTTGTATGTTTTTTCTACAAAAATACAAATTTAAGAATTAAAATCAAATAAATGACTTGGTCATTCAGAAACAAAATAATAGATTAAAACCAGTTAAATTTAAATATTGATTTCATTAAAAAATGAAATTTAGCAAACATGTATCGTTATTTGTAGAACCATGATAAATTAGACTAATTTTTATCCGATTTTACTCAAAGAAAAAACTCCTACATCTAAAATAATAATGATTTTTCGTCAGTGACTTATCTACAATAAGAATATGATGAATATGGCTATAACTGCTAATTAAAATTTTCTTAACCTTTTATTCATGTATCTAACATTTTGAGTTAAGGGTTTCAACAAGCTTCGAACATTTTCTCGCAATTGGCCTCTCACGAAATTATTTTATATTCTGATATGTCAATATATCATACATATTTCATTGGTTTCATATGTATAATAAATATTTATAATTTTATTTATTTTTATTTTAAATATTAAAAAAAATCTAAATCTCTTAAACACCATGTAATATTAAACACCATGATCTTTATATACTCTTAAACGATATAACAACTCAGTAAACTCAAATTTGTTTACTTTAAATGTTCAAAAAAAGAAGAAAAACAGACAAACAGTATAAATTATTATTCTCTAAATTGATCCTTGTTTGCTGCAAATTACAGATAACTTAAGTCTAAGGCAGCTTTTTGAAAGCCTCTATAGTCATCTGAAATTACATTTTTCAGTAAATAATATACTGTTTTTTATAATTGTTGTGAGTTAGTAACAATTATAAATTATTGCTAGGTTAATTTTTTGCATATCTTTTTTTAGAGCTCTTTACGCTAATAACAAAAATGGCGCAAAACGACAAATTTCAGAAAAATTCACACAATTTGGTGAAAAAGTGTTAGTGATATAATTTTTAATGGTTTAAAAGTCAATTAAATTCAGCACTGTCAGGGCTCATTAAAAATTTCAAAAATGATATCACCAATTTTCTTTTAGCTGGAAAAGTTTTGACAAATAGGTTATTTTTAAATATATTGTGTGCTAGGTTTTTTTAAAAAGTTTTCTTTATTAAAAAGAGCTTCAAAAAACACTTTAAAGTGACCAACTCGAAGCAGCAATACTAGTTGAAGAATTAATCTAAATGAGTTAGAAATGTAATATTGAAGTTATATATAAGAGACATTTCCTGGCTATCACATCTCACGAGGAAAATAAAGCAGTAGGTAATGATTTATAAAAAACAATGGAACTGTTAATTTTTATCGAAGAAAAAGGCAGTAGTTACAACTGGAAGAAATATTTGATACCAGACATAGCATGAACATATGAATTGTTTTTCATCTTGCTTATACAACAGAACGATTAAACACACATCACTAGATTGGACACTATCGAAAAGAACAGCAATAAATAAAAAAAACATTGACAGTTTTTAGCTTAAATCCACATGAAAAGAATAGTAGTACATTAAAAATTCATTTATAAATTTATTAAAATATCAAATGGCCACTTTAGATTAAATGCTTTCAATCTAAGTTAAATGAAATTGTCATAAAAACGTTTCTTTCTTTCTTGAAAGGTCGGAAAATTTTTTAAAAAATTAACAATATAAGTTACATTTCTTACACTGTATATTGTTTTTTTCTTCTGACATATGTTGCATAAAAGTAGAATAGTAAACATGTACAATAATAATATATAATACATAAAATAAAACTAAACATTGTTAACAATTGTTAAATGTATCAGTTCAGAGATTTAACAGTAAGATTGAAATTTCTCTTTGCATTAAGAGGTTAGAAGGAATATTTGGTAAGTTAGTATCATCATATATAGTTAGCCAATTAGTGTTTTATTGCATTGTTGATAAATTGGCATTTCCATGCACTGTTAGCAGATGGTATTTTAAGTGATCTTTTCTGGTAAAAACTTTCTGGCAAAATGTGCATGGGAATGGCTTTTCTTTGACATGCACAGATGATATATGAGATCTCAGTCTTTCTTTTCGACAAAATGCTTTTGCACATAGATGGCATACAAAAGGCTTTTCCCCAGTATGGAAGCGTAGATGTCGAAGAAATTTGCTTTTATGCCGATTTTTAAAAGGGCATATTGAACAGTAGAATAATTTATCGATCAGCTGGCAGAAAGCCGGAGGATCTGAAAATAGAAAATATAAAATACAACATTTGTTAAGATTATAAGGGTAAATATTTAAATATGAAACATAAAATTATCTTCACTAAGTAATAAATGTAGTAAATATACTGGATAATACACAATTGAATAAAACAACAGATAAGTATAACAATAAAGTAAAAAAATTAAATATAATTTCTAGTTGCTATAAATAGAAAAATAATCATATAATAAATAAATTATTCCTATCAGGTTAAGTAAAAAAAAACTAATTAATAAAACTAATAAGAAAAACCTAATTAATAAAACTATTAAAAAACCTAATTAAAAATAAGATTTTGTATAAATCTTTATGAACTAGATAAGAACTAAAAAATAGCTAATTATTAAAGCAATGATTATTAAAGCAATGTTTCAAAATATACTATTTGAAACAGTAGAAAAATTAAGGTAAATCAAATAAATTATTTTCTGTACAGTCAACAAAGAAATGATGATTAAACAAATAACTTTTAATACAATTCTTTTACAGGACAATTTTTATGCAGGAGAAATTTTAATTTTGTGTCGCTTAAATGATCACTCTCCTCTCCATAATGTCTAAATAAAGAGCGATTCCGAGCCTTCTTACTTTTTTCTTGCATGCTAGAACTGTTCACAGTTGTAATAATAATATGTTATATAATAATAATAATACATTTTTTGCATAGCTTATAGATAATTCTTCAAACAATTTTTTCTCTACAACAGGTAATAATGTTTTACAAATATATTCACCTTAATATAAGGAATTATAAGTATGAATAATAAAAAAAAACTTTGATCTATACATGGAATAAGTACATGAATTTATGCATGGCATAATACTTTTCATGTATACATGAAAAGTCTGATTAATGTATAACACATAATCTATGTAAGAGCAATGTGATATTGGATTACTGTTATATCTATATTTTTTGTTAGATCAGGGAAATTTTAAAACTTAGTAGAATACATAGGCATCAATGTAGAATGTTTTGCTACTAATCAATATTGGATACATCGATTTTTTTAATTATCTGAAGAAATTGTTTCCTAAACATCAAGTTTCAGATTTTTTTTTTTTTTAAATTTACAGATTATTAAACTTTGGCTTTGGTTTAATTATATACAAAAAATGTTAACAAACTCGCTATTTATAATAATGACAAATATTTCTTATCATATTTTAAACAATTATTCATATAAATATCATTGCAATTATTCTAACATAAATTCTAAGTTTATCAAACAATTTTGAGATTTCAGAACCATATTTGAGGAATTATCCTTCATTGAAGATCCTATTTTCGAGGTCATCCACTGGAAGAATTTAATTGCGTACAATGTGGCACAATTTCGACTAACTTTTCAAACCTGAGAAACTTTAGCAATAAAGTGTTATGAACTTCAGTCTACGCTATAAATCTGAAACAAAAGGTTTTTCAAACATTAATAATAACAGTAATTAAAAAGTGCATAAGTAACAGAAGATTTAAATTACATTTGCTCTCTTAATGCATTAGTTTTTTCTTCTCTTTTTACAATTTCTTTTAACGCCTAAATAAAAAAAGTCACAACGACATAAATACAAAAAAATAAACATATTTTTTTATTATGAAGAAAAGCATATTTTATAAGTTTAACAAAAATTAGAATTTTTCATACATAGATATGAGAGTTCAAAAATAACATACTTCACCAAAAGAACAGACACAAAATGTTTCAAGATATTACAACTGTTATTCAGTGTTCTTATGAATGACCACTAGATGCTTCTTCAAATTACTTTTTTGGCTGAAAGCTTTAGGGCAAAGCAAACACACATACGGTTTTTCTCCACTATGAGTTAGCATATGCCTCTGGAGCTTGCTTCTATAAGGATTTTGATAGGAACAATAACGACAGCAATAAGCTTTAGTTCCAAATTGGATTTCAGTGCAGCCTGAAAACAAAATTTTTTTTGTATTAAAAAACACATATTAAGCAGCTTATTTTAGCAGAATACCAATAAAATTTGAAATTTAGCATTTTATAGAATCCTTAAAACTGGCTGACAAAGCATGAAATGATTAAACATTTCATTCAGTGTCTAGATGTTCTTGAGAATACTCAATGACGAATTAGAAAATTATGAAATACATCAGGCATTCTATAGAATGCTAGCATTTTATTAATTTTTAAGAGCATAAACATTCAATATCAGAAGTTAAACAGAAAAAAAATGTTTTGTAGAATATATGAATTGTAATAGAAAGTCTGAGAAAAAATATACTTGCTATCGAAGCTAAGTAGAAACATTGGATAACAAACACAATATAATACATATTAATGAAATTTTAATTACAGCAAATGAATAAAAAAAGTTTTATAAAAATTATATCATCAGAGGGAAATATTTTAATAACATATAATTATGAAAATAATTCTCAATTATAAAATATAAAGTCACAATAATTACAATTGCATCAAATAATTTCATAAGTAACAAAAAGGGTAAAAATGGTTTTTAAATTAAAATTTAATTTTTCTGTGAAATTGAATTTATTCTAGCTCTTTCTAGAGTTGTTTTTGATTGTAGATGGCTTTTATTTCATTAATTTCTATTGCACTTACTTTTAATTTTAAGTAATCATAACATGCTAAATATTAAAGCACCAGAGTTAAATGAAAAAAAAATTAAATAAATGCAGTAAAATAATTAGAACATGTTTACATCAGGAGCATTTAGATTAAATATTGCATCTTTTTTTTAAGCATAAAACGTCTAAATACAACAAAGTAAGCATAAGGGCAGACAATACATTTTATTGAATCCATTTATAGTTAAATAGAGTAATTTATTTGGCACTTTTATACAAGAAAAATGGTTACACAATAACAAAACAGAAATGAAAGCATTAAACAATGGGAAGTAAATTTTGACCAAATAAAATTCTGATACTTTAATATATTTAAATATCAGAATAAATTATTAAATATACATCAACAAAAGAATAAATCAAGTTCACATAAAAAAAGGTTTTATTTTAGTTTTATGTTTCGACCCTAATGGGAATCAATAACTGATTTTTAACTCATTAATCAAAATTTAATAACTATATTTGATGTTTTTGATCAAACTCATGCAAAGTGAACTTAAAAAATTTAAAGGGGAGATGATTGAGTATGGAGCTTAATGGCACAATACCTGGAAAGTTCTATACTGCACCTAACTCAAACATTATCACAAATTATAACAAAAGCATATTGTGTTAGAAACTAAAAAATACAAAAAAAATTAGAATTAATAAAAAATAAAGAGAAAAAACGATGAAGTTAGATCAAAAGCATACGATCTCTAGGTTTAAATCTTTTAGGAAGAAAGAAAACTGCATTTATCTAAAGATGGTACAATGCCAACTTGGTATTTATTTGGCCGATTATGACTTAAATTTAGGGTAACATTTTTCTTTTATAGTAGAAAATTTATTATGCAAAATATTTTAAACACATAATCTTAAGGAATATATACGTTTTAATATCACTATAGGACAGTGGCTCTCAACTATTTTAGCTGTGAAGATCACTAGGTTTGCAAAAAAAAACTTCTGAGTACTAACTTCTAAATAAACCAGTAAAAAATATAATGACCAATAGACATTTGTCATTATATTTTAAATTGTATTCTACATTTAGGCTCAGTGTTCCCATGTTTGTAGCTTACTTCAGGGCCGCAGCTAATGGTTTGGGAGCTACTGCTATAGAAGATAAATGCTTTTCTTTTCTCCGTTGTCATTATTGTAATTAAAGTGTAATGTATAATGAATCAAAGCAATTTAAAAATACATTTCTCATGAACAAAAATACATTAACTAATGAATTAAACACGAAAATGTAACGGAATAATAAAGGAAGTTCAAGTTAAAGTTGAATTTAATTTTTTTATATCATGCAATAATATGATTGAGTGAAGTAACTTTTTGAACTAAATTCACTCAATGCTCTGTTTGGAAGAAACAATCACATAATTTTAAGTTTCATAAATTTTTTCTAAATTTATCAACTTTGACCAAGAGCCTCAGATTTATAAAATGAAGGTATTAAAAAGACAAAAATAATATATCATTAAAAAAAATATCTGTAAATTATTCAATTAATTCTTAAAAATTTAGCATAAACAAATTGAGACATTGTTGTTATGTTATACACAGATAATAAGTATATAGGAACAGGATTAAGAACGTGCTCAAATATTGACACACATGTGCCTTGCAAAGTTCGAATTGTAGTAAGTTTGATAAGGACAATATGGACATATATACGTCGCAGAACGTCTAACAAAGGTGCGTGTAGAATTATCTGCAAAAAAATGAATAAAAAAATATAAATATTAGAAGTTTATAAATGAAATCATCAACAAACATAAAAGTATACACAACAATGTATTTGTAATTTAATTCAAGTTTGATAACTTTTAATCACTATTTATTTAATATGTATATAGTGATTAAAAGATACCAAGCTAGAGTGCAGTGCGCTAAGTTTGAATTTAAGATCACCACCTTGTTAGATTGTACAAAAAAATACTAATTGTTTGAAAATAAAAATTGCAAATTTATGACAAAAACATCAAAATTAATTAACCCATACACTGATTTTCTGTAGTTGCTAAGCTATTTCTGTTTAGAAATACTAAAATGCAAAAATGAAATTAATATTCCATAAATTAAACTTTTTTCAAAATTAAATGTTTCCATTTCTAAGTACTTAATTAAAAGCTGGTTAACAATCGAGTTTCACAAAAATACAAATTGAAAAGATTACTTCAAACTTAACCCTTTTTCAAACATCAGATAATGAAAAATGAATGTCGTACTTATGTGAAAAAAATAAAGGTTTGTCTCTAAACGATAAAAATGTTACAAAAAACATCAAGTTCTTCATAAATGGAAAAAATTTATAAGAAAATAACATAAGATAAAAATGATACTCTTGATGCTAGACCATCATGGTCCAGGTGAAAATGTTTATAGTGAGTGCACAAAAATACTGTAAATATTAACTCATACTTAAATTTTACGATATTTTAACATTAATCCAAATTTAAAAATCAATGCCTTATTTTGATAAGAATTTTCTAACAAGAAAAGTATGAACTAAAAATATGAAGTAAAAACTATAATATAACTATATAATATAAACTATAACTATAATATAAAAGTAAAAACTAAAAATATGAAGTCCTTCACAAATGGAAAAAATTTATAAGAAAATAACATAACATAAAAATGATAACATAAGACAAATGGAAAAAAATTTATAAGAAAATAACATAACATAACATGAAAATGATACACTTGATGCCAGACTCATGGTCCAGGTGAAAATGTTTTTTGTGAGTGCACAAAAATACTGTAAATATTTACTCATAGTTAAATTTTACAATATTTTAATATTAATCCAAATTTAAATAAAATCAATGTCTTACTTTGATAAGAATTTTCTAACAAGAAAAATATGATTGATGAATTCATAGTATCTTCTAAAAAATTTCACAGATTATTAATGATATTACATTTCGACAATTTAAAGCTTACAGTAAAGGTTTAGGAGCTCATGCCACTCTTCCTTTATTTAAAGGGGTGTCAAGGTTTTTTACATTTATTTTGGGGTAACATCAAAGCAATTAATAGTTTTATTTTTGATGAAACTTTTGAAAAAACAAATAACACATTTTGGATGTTATAATTGGGATGAACGATTCAGTGTCGAATGTACTAATGGACATAAAGAAAACATTGCATCCATGTAATAGAAAATGGGAATTCATGCCTCATTTGTTATAATGGGAGTTGTTCCATAGAGTGTATATTGCATAAATATGTGAGGCGTAACAAGCGATGTCAATTTTTAGCAAAATATAATGTAATTAGCTAAAGAGGTTGCTAACTTTTATTAGTGAGAATATGAAGTGAGCGATGCGGTGAATACCAAAATACATATTGCATTATTCTTTTCATGAATTTTAGAAAATTATTCAAGCACTTGTACTGACTGGACTACCAATATTGCTCTACTCTTTAAAGGAAATTAAACAAATTATTTTACTTTTTGAGTAAATAGATTGGTTAACTTTTTGTAGCTTTCAGTTTTATCTTATGAGCATTTTTGAAATGCTAACTTTGAGCTAAACACAAATAAATCATAACAAAAATTAAATAAATTACAATAATTTTTGAACTGTTACGTTCAATCGCAAAATATACTAAGTACTTATAAATACTAAGAGAATAGATAAGGAAAATACATAGACCAATTAAAGGTGCAGCTAGAATATCAAAAATGCTTTCCTTTTAGTATTATTAGATGGATAGATGTTTTACATAAAGAATTCAGTACTATTTTAAATTTTATGCTTTTATTGTGTAAAATTAAGGGGCATTTCAAATATTACATAAGCACGCGTGGAATTGGGGTTTGCTTATTTTTGATGATATGGAGAGAGGGTGAGCACAAGCTAAAGACTTGTACCAGGAAAAATACACTAAAAATAATTAAGGAGAAAAACTACATTTTGAAAATAAAAAAATTATCTTAACCATAAAGAGAAGTTTGCAAACTATTTATTTTTGCATTTAGAGTGCAAATTTGTATGACTTTTGGTTAGCTAACTGTTTCTTGGGGCTTTTATCACACAAAAAGTTCCATTTTTCTATTAATACATGTTTTATCACGATTTCTTATTGTTAGAAAAATATTAATTTTAAGACAATTTTTCCCTCTTTCTGCAAGAACATAAAAATCTCCAAAATAAGAAGGCCATCCCAAAGTAAATTTTTACCATTTTTGCTGTTAAGTACAAAACTTATTTAATGTTTGAACAGCTACAAATTTTATACAGAAGTATATGTTTTTTAAGTGTCAAAAATCAAACTAAGACACATAAAATATACATAATTGTCTACACTTGAGCATGACAATATATTCTGTAAAGACTTATACAAAAAGAATGAAGTAAATTCATTTACTTCATTTTGTTAAAAATTTATATTTTATTTGACAGAAATGCTAATTTTTCTGTTATATAAAATTATGAAGAACTCATGTAAAAAACAAAGTTCATATACATTAATGCAATTTCCAATAGCTTTATTTTAGCAATTTGAAGATAATTAATTATATATAACAAGATTAGTCATTTTTTACAGTCAGTTGGTCTTCTCTCACAGACTTATCAATTTGCATTTCATGCTTAGTCACTCTAATCAAATGTATAAAAAAAACCAACTTATATATTTTATGTGCAAATCATAGGATGTCCAGAAAAAAAAAAACTGAATAAAAAATTAAATTTACTTAAGAGAATTTCTTCAAAGGACTGATGCAAAAAGGGGACAATATTTTATCATATACAAATCCATAAAGTGATAATTTAAAAATGTTAGAAAAAGAATTCAGCCTAGAGGTACAAATGGAAATTTGAAATATAGTAACAAATTGAAAAATACTAAAAAACCAAATAAAATTTTACAGCTTCTGAATAATCAGTACCAATTTTTAGAAATATCTTTTTTAAATATTTAAGTCAAAAATAGTTATCTGACTAACTAAGTACATGAAAAGGGAAAACATATAAAACAGTGCTCTAATAAAGCTTAATGAGTCATTTTTATATAAATAAAATACTTAAACTTAGTCATACTATATATATATTTTTAGGTTTTATTGGATGTCAAAGTTGATTTATAATTTTCATTCATCTTGTATAATTTCCTCCAGGAATTTTACTATCCATGAAAAATATTAAAATTTGTCTATGAATAAGTATTATAAAAAAAGAGGGGATACATTTTTACAGATTAACATATAAGAAAATTACTTAAAACGATTACGAATCTTAGAAAGCTCACAGTTTAGAAAACAGAATTAGCTGTGTAAAATTGTCACATGGAAAAACGTGAAAGAGTATATGAAATGTAAGAGATATGTTTTGAAGATAACTAAAAATTAAATATTACAAGGGAATATGGTAAAGAATATACTGATCATTTTGATCAATTCTGATCATTTTGTAAAACATAAATATAATGAAAACAATTAAGATTGTAAAAATTACTTTTCCAAAAAATCAACATTATTTTTCGACTAGCAAAGTATCAAATATATTTAAAAGAAAAGCCTTCAGTAAAGGTAAATTACATCATGAGGCTAGAACATTTACATAGAATTTGCAGAAATATAAATTTATTTTAAAAATATTTACTATACAGAGAGAATGAGAATTAATTGGCAAACTTCAATGTGCATTAAGATTTAAAAGAAATTAAGTCTGACTTAATTATGTAGGATATCTAATAGTATCATGAGATATAATAATTTTACCATATGAAACACGACACACAATCATAAAGAAATGTGTGAAATTACAAAAGTCCATTGAATAAAACTCCATTTAAAAAAAAAACCTTCTTACATGTGAAACAACAAAACTCAGTTATCTTAACTTTTAAAGGTTTCATTCTACTACAAATAGTAAGAAAATTTCCATTCCTCCTATAAATTAAAACCACTGTAAAAAGTATATTAGGCACAGGTTCATGTTTTTAGCCAGTTTATCTTCAAGTGATTAGATTTGTCACTGTTCTGAGTACTTACTACTCTGAAATTTTACTCTGTAAATAAATCGAATATTCAAAAATTGGATGTAATTTTAAAAGAGAATAAAATGAACATCAACTTTTTGTAAAAATATTTATTTTGCAAATATATAAATATTAACAAAGTGCTTTGCACAAAAGTGTAAGCATATTCTTATATACTTTAGCATATATTGTAATTAATGTTTCAGAGACTAATAAAGGCTTATTAATTCGGTAATGTCAAATAGAACCATAGATATAAAGACAGTCAAGTTTTATGATATATATATATTATATTTTACTTAGGAGATATTTATAAGAATACAAAATATTATAAATCAGCTTAAACAAGTTTTTACCATTAACTTGTCTCATGGCATCAAATTACTGTATGTAGTTATTAAGAAATTCACTTGGAAAATATTGATTAACTGAAAATATTCTAGTCACACGCTTTTAAAAAAATAATTGAATTTTACATTCATAATCTATTTTTTACAAACATGATATCACAAAAAAATTAAATAGCTAATTAATCGAAGACATTAACAAATACATGAAAACATAATACAAGATTGATGATTTCATCAAATAAATTGTTTGAAATAATTTCCTTAAACTTCTTTTTTAAAAAAGAAAACTCTTTAAATATTATATTAACAAAGTTGAAATAAAAAAAAGTCTGTAACATAGCATTAAACTAATGACAGTATTTGCTTGAAATAACAAAATGAAAGTTTTCTTGTACATTTATTTAGAATTTTTAAGCTGTTTTTTAAGTTTTAAAATTCCAGCAAAAAGATACCACTTTGAAGAATGAGAATGGAACATCTTCAACTTAAGTAGTTTATACTATAATATTGTATGTGTGTGCATATATATTAAATGCATTTCAAATAATACTAAGGGGAAAAAAATTGTCATAATTAGAAATAACCAAATAAGTTAGTAATAAGTTGAGGAAGCAAGATTATAATAAAGCTACAGATAACTCAAGTAAAAATTTACTAATACAGATCAAAAAATACATATCAAGATAATAAAAATATGTATATAAGAAAGAAGAACACCTTTCGTTCTATGGGTATAGATTTGATCTCTAAGCCACAAAATAATTTTTAAACACATTAGAAATATAAAAAAAACAAGAGTCATACTAATTGACATTTTCAGCATAAGTAGCTATTACCAAAATATCCAATTATAGTTAGGAATCAAATCATTATTTAGTTGATAAATACATTTCAAACTAAGTAGATGATAAAGTGAAAAATCAGGCTTATTGACAAAATTATATTATAATGCCAAAGATTCTTCAACTCAAGTTTTGTATACATATAGATTAAAAAATAGTTATAACTCGTCATAAAAAGTTAATGGAGAACTATATAACAGTTTCAAGTATGAACTCGAGAAACAATTTTTAGTTAAGGAATTAAAACCAAACAATTAGCATTTATCAAAATGAAGGTTTTGAAAAATAAAACTTTATGTATGACTGAATAAATAAAATAATGAGACAAACCCCCGAAAAGTATTAATAAATAAATAATTGAAGGCATATTTAGATTAAGTAATAGTATATCTTTAAGATATGGTTAGAAGTGAAAAAATTAAATAAAAGTTGTAGAAGCAAACATATAATAATAATACCAAAAATATTATAAAAATTATAAATGAGATGATGAAATTAATTTAAAGTTAAAGAGGAGAGGCGGTAGAATATCACTGAAGATTTTTTAACTTAGGTGTACAGGTTAGGTTAACTTAAATAGGTTAATACAGCAGAAAGACCTGCATCAGGAATTGTAGGACCTAGCAAAGTCTCGAAAAATATATTTTTCTAGATAACTCTTTACGGTAAACTAAGAACAAAACGTATCTTATTCAATTAAAAAAATAAATGATAATTAACAGCAATTTTCATATAATAATATTTTGTTATCAATTAAATGACATTTAATTAACTAAATATTTAGTATAATGAAATGTAACTAATAAAAAATATACACATATAAAATAAAATGAAAAAGAAAGCAGATAAGTTGAACTATTATTTTCATGAATAAAGACAAGTTTTTTCTCATCTTTTTTTTTCATTTGATGCAGAGAATTCACAGTTCAGATAATAATAACATTAAAAAACAAGCTTCAAATCAGGAGTGAAAATATGCCTATTTATATTAGTAAACAAGGAACAGAATTGAGTAGATTTTTTAATGAAAACATTTCAATAACTTAAACAAAATTAAAGCCTATTTGCAATAGTTACTTTTAAACATTATTAATAATACTGAAACATAAACACGTTTATTTCTCTCACTAAAGTTTGCTTTTTCTTAATTATTCTTATCTTTTCAACAAATTTTTAAGTGTGCTCATTTAAAAGAATATAAATGTTTAGCTCTCCTTAAGACAGCAAAAGGAAATAATTTTTTTATATACATAAAATTCAAGAACAGACTAAAATCATAAAAAAAGTTTCATTTTTTTGGAAAGAGGGAAAGGAGATTTATTCAGTTTTATTGTTAAAAAGTGTCTAGAAAATAGGCATTTCCAGAAAATAGGCATTTGGATATGGGACTATGCACAATTCACTGTATGAAACTCTGTACTGCTTGTTGTGATTTGAATTTGAATCATTGATAAGTCACTTCAATCACTGATTTTTTAGAAAAAAAATATTTAATACAGAAATTTTATTGAGCGAAATTAAAACATTGAGAAAAAAATTTAAATAGAAAAACTGTTACTCCAGCAAAAATAAATAAATAATAATATGAATCAACATAAAGAACTATTGAAAATTATATTAACTATATATATCACATAACATCCATTGGCTTTGTAATAACTTTACTGTTAATATTTCAATCAAATTTAAAAGTAACACATTCCATAGAATTTATATATTTTTTACAATATTAAAATTGAACAATTATAAGAAGCTCTTAATAAAATGGTTTCTAGGGTAACAGGTTATAATTATATGTTTCTTGGTTCGAATTTATTATTAACACATTTGATAAAATTCACATATTTAGTAAATAAAATGTATTTTTATACCATCCAAATTTAGTCTAGCTCAATCATTAAAACTGAAACATTATTTGAATGTCATAATTCTATAGTTAACAGATCAAATATATTGGTTCAATTAACTTAAGAATAATTAAGCATCATTTTGAAGATCAGATACATTTTACTTAAACATTATTTACTGCATTGCATTCCACATAGTTTATTTATTATTTAGATGGTTTAATTTCATATATATATATATAGATAAATGACAGTTAAAGAAATGAAATTTAGAAAGACAATCAGATAGCTAAATTTATGTTAAAGCAACTCTTACTTTTCTATTTTCTCTGATGCATTTTATGTACAGCAATCAGATGGGATTTTAAAGAATCTTTACGGTTGAAAGTTTTAAAGCATATATTACACACAAATGGTCTTTCTCCGCTATGTATTAAAATATGACGATGTAATTTACTCTTTTGAACAGTCTTGTAATTGCATAAATTGCAGAAATATACTGAACCTAATTTTCTTGATCCTGAAATAGTAAGGTAATCTGCAATGAAGAAGTTTAATTATAGAGTTAAACCTTCAATAAAATATTACATTTCAGATAAGATAAAGAGATCTTTTTAAAATACTGAAAGAGTACATATATATACATATATAATTACATTGTTGTAATTCAGATGTTCTAAAACCAATAAATTTAATTTTTAAAGAGTTGTGTTGAATAACAACACATTTAAAGTTATTACACATAAGTCACGGATGTGTTGTTACAGCAATGTGTCAAGTGCAGAGTTTTATTTTATGCATTATTATAGAGTTATTTTTAAAATTTTCGGAAATAGAAAATTTTTAAGTGATTGAATTTGTGTAGAGCAATACCCAAACTTTAAGCTCAATGAATTAAGGCAGCTTAGCTATTATTTGCTTACACCTAAATTAGTTTAAGAAAGTTTAAGATGCAACACCAAAAGAAAAATTTAAAAAAAAAAAAAAACACTCAGAAGGAGATTTGAAAATAAAACATCACACATACATTGTGTAACAACAGAATATCAACAAAAAAAATATTTCTAAAAATAATTAAAAGCATCTAAACATGTAATTTATGTATAAATATAGATCTATAATTAAAATAAAATTATCCTACTTATATAATGCATTCATATTTTTTAAAAACACATCTATAATTAAATAATATTTATATTTTAATTACAAAAATAAAACATTTTATAGAAATTCATGAAACACTTGAGTTATTATTCATAAACCTATAACCAGAAGAAAATTACAACAATATTTTCTAAATATGTTTAATTTTAAGAAAACATTTTATAACTACACTAATATTTTTTTTAAGCAGTGAATTAAATAATTAAAGTATGCAAGTTAAAAGTCAGAAAATATTATTTTGTTGAAAATAAATTTTATTGAAACACTGTAAACACTAATTGAAAATTAATGAGACCATCAAACTGAATATCAATATATCAACAACAAATGAAATTAAATATATCTGAGGGGAAAAAAGTAAGGCAAAAGGCTGGTTGCACGTTTTTAGGGAAAAAATAAGTTTTTTAACATAATAGATTTTAACAATATTTGAAATGGCTAGAATAATAACGCTTCAGAATGCTTAAGATAGGCTAAAAACATCTTTATACAAATGAAAAATTAAATATATTATCTTTCACACATTTTTTTAATGTTACAGATGCTCAAAAGTATTGTACAGTTTTGTTACAGCTTTGTGCCTTGGTGTACATTTTGAAATCAGGGTACTTTTGTTCAAGGTTTAGGATTAATTATTATTTTTTTTATCTTTATGGAGTTAAAAGTTTGTAAATAAAAATTTAAAGACTATTTAAGTAACAACATATTACATCAAAAACCCATTTTCATTCAAATTCACTTTCCCAAATATAATGCCTATAATAATAATAATTTTGCAAATAAAAAAGTCACAAAATTAAATTTTAAATCAAAATTTCATAATTAATTCTGCATAGAAATATCAACAGTAAAACCTTGATGATTACGTCATTTTTTTCATTTGTGAAAATATAAATAAATCTGGCAGATTCATCTCCACATCAAATAACTTACAAATGTCAATAGTTTCTCCCCTCTCACCCCACCCATCATTCCTCTTCCTCAATGGCAAGTTTAAAATAAACACATTGATGAGAACAAAAAAATTTGTGACAGTAAAAATTAGTAACAAAGCAGTTCCCATTTCAAGCTTATATTTAAACTTAACTTCAGGCATTATATTTAAACTTAAGGCATTTTTTTATTTACAAAAGTATAAATAAATCTGTCGTCACCAGGTCAAATGTCTTACAAATGTCAATAGTTTCCCCCCTCCTTTTCTACCAATCATTCCTCTTTCTGGAGGGCAATTCTAAAATAAACACCACATTGGCAGTTACTATACATTGGCAAGAACATAAAATTAGTGACATCCATAACAAAGTGGTTACAATTTTAAAGTAGTCAGAATAATTTAGAAAAAAAAATAAATAATAATAAATAACTAGGATGAGCAAGGATAACAATCTATAAAGATGCTTTTTCATAGTTGCAAAGCTAATTTACTTACTAACAAAGATAAATATTTGCTGCACTAATCATATAGTGTTTTCACTACAGCGCGAGAATCTCACATAATTTTTTTCTTTTCTCGCATTAAAAAATGATTACCGCGAGAAATTCGCACATTCTATAAATCAATTTCAAAATTCACGAATTTCTCGCATTTTGGTAAAAACTTCGAATTACGCCATTTNCTTCGAACTACGCCATTTAGAATAAAATCCGTTTATCTGTTCTTCTTGGATCTTTCATTATTTTCAACATCTGCCCCATTATCTAGCTTCCCTATTTACCAGTATTGTTCAGAACCTCTTCAAACAACAGAACACAACCATGGAACCCCTTTCAGAAAACATTTCTCTGCAACCACGCGTTTACCATAGGTAAAGTTTCTTCATGAAAGACGTTCAAAATTTTTATGCACTTATGTAAGATGGACAAATACCTTATAGAAGACGTTAACAATGTATTATAATTAAAGAAATGATTTTTTTCAAGAGTTTTTGTTTTTTTAGAAATCTCACTTAACTTTTTGAAATCTCACCCTGTTTTTGAGAAAGGGTGAGAAATTCTCACCCATTTTTTTTCTATGATGAAAACACTGTCATATTAACATTAAAATATAGAAATGAAAATTTAATAATTGTAATGCTTAAGAGAATAAATTTTCCCAAATAGCTTTAACCAAAAAATAAATAATGCTTGAAAAAAGATTATTACTGGTTCCTTTCAATATACTATTTAATCAAAAACTTAAATTAAAATTCCTTAACTTCTGCAGAATTTTAATGAAAATTCAAAGACTTCATTAATTAATATTTTTTTCGAAATAAATTAGGTGCAACCAACTCAATTTTTAATAGATTATAAAAATGAAAGGACAATCAGAATATTGTACATTAAATAAAATTTTAAAATAATGCACAATTTTCATCATAAAGGTTTTTATTATTAATTTTAATATATATATCAAAAATCTGTATAGAATGAAAACAAAAACATTAGAACTCATGCACTAAGATTATCTGATAAATGTCATGGATAATATTTTCATCGACATTAATAGCAAAGACTGTATAACGATAAGAAAAAAAAACTTGTGTAATTCACAGTTTTGATATAAAAATTTCAATAAAAAAGAATAGGAATTAAAATTTTAAGTCTTAAAATAATAGTAAGATTTGAAAAAGACTAACATAAAACTATAATAAATTCATAAAAATGAGTTTAACAGTATTTAAATTTTAATATTTTATAACACAATAATTAGGTTTTGATACACCTTATAAACACTGAAAATGCAGGAAAATTAAGCGTACACTCTTTTAATAATAGCTTTAAATGTAGTGTCCAATAAAAAAAGTAGTATTTAACTATTCAAGGTTCTGCCCAGGTTTTTTTAAGTGCCCTATTTCGGTGAATTAAATTTATCTTTATTTTTTTGTTGTTGTTATTGTTATTAATTTACGTCGCACTAGAGCTGCACAATGGGCTATTGGCGTCGGTCTGGGAAACATCCCGGAGGATGATCCGAAGACATGCCATCACAATTTTGATCCTCTGCGGAGGGGATGGCACCCCCGCTTCGGTAGCCTGACGACCTGCGCGCGAAGTCGAGCACTTTACGGTAGCACAGTTTAACGAGGACCCATACCGCACACCCTCGGTCCCTACGCAGACTGATCCAAGTGGGTCACCCACCCGCACACTGACCGTAGCCAGTGATGCTTGACTTCGGTGATCTGCTGGGAACCGTGTCTTAACGATCAGTCCACTGCGGGACCTTTATTTTTTTGAAAAAATATAAATATGGACATTATTGACAGAACAATTTTCAGGGGTTTCTTTATTTTGTTCAATTCCTTCTAAGGCAGGAATAGTTTTTTCTCCACAGTTGTTTTAATTATGAGCAGACACTTCATTTGAATTCGAGTGGTTGTTTGATGAAAAATGTTACAAGTTTTTACCTGAGCCCTTGGCATCTAATGGTTCTTGTATTACTCAACATTTCAAGAATTTCCTCAGTTGGAGGGTTCTCCGAGCCTCCTTTTTGAATATCTGCTACAAAAAATTTCAAATCTTTGAAGTTCAAAATCGTTTTTGCAATTGCAAAAAAATAAAACCTACTTTGACAAAAACAAAAATTTGACAAACGACAATATGAACACAACAAGCTCATATGAAGAATCTAAAACTTTAACACTTTCCACTCTGAATGGCCTTCAAAAAGAAGAAAGAAAGAATTTATTCAGTGATTTTGACAACTAATTAGTGAAACACAACCCAGTTTTTGACGTCTTAGTATGCCACAGCGAACTGCAGTGGCATTTGAACTGCACCCACTTCCTCTTTCCCTCTCTCATTCTGTAGCCAAATTGTTTTGGTTGCTCATGGGTATTGAATTTTATGAAGCATCTATTTTTGAAGTAATAAATTTTGTGAAGAGTCTATTTTCGAAGTAATAAATTTTGAGAAGAGTCCATTTTTTGAAAAATAAATTTTAAGAAATGTCCAAAATGAGACTAAATTTTGCCCCTATTTATAGAAAAGTAATATATTTTATAAAAAAGTAATTTTTTAATATAATTTTTAGAGATAATTTAACAAACAAAGATAATTAAAAATGTAATCAAATCCATCCTTAAAAATTACTTCTTAGCTTCTAATGGAATACAACCTTGTGATATAATTAAATTTCCACAACTTAAAAGTATATATTTATAACATTATAAAAGGAACATACAATATGTTACATATATGTAGACATTATTTTAATTTAAGTTCCAAAATGACAGCAGGTTTAAAAGATGTAAATTGTGTTTGGTATTCATAGAGAATAAAATTAGAAAACAGTCACTTTAATCTTTTTATTTTATTAAAATACTATAACTCTTTCAATAGAAGCACTTTTAAACATAAGTAAAATTAAGCTAAGAAATGTTAGATAATTATAGATTCAAATATAAAAAAATTTATCACAATAGCAATAATAAATTGGTAAGAAAAAAAATAAGAAGGAAACTAATGTTTTAAATGTTCATTCCTTGACTTGATATGCAGTTAAATTCACAAAAGGAAAAAATCTAATGTTAAAATTCATATATCATAGTTAAACATCAGTTTGCAAATTAGAATTTGAAATTTGTAGCTGTTCAATACTTCGACTTAACTGTTGTAAATTGTCAATTAATTTTCTCAGATTTTCTCTTCCAAGACGTCGCGCATCTTCAGATTGGGGTATTTCTTGTTGAGCATTTAGTTCAAAATGTACACGAGCAAGCCTTTCCTGCTGCTCGCGTACTTGCTCCATCTTTTCAAATGTGCAATTTTTACCGAATGCTTGCAATTTTCCTAAATGGAAATCATCTAGAAGCTGCAGAAGACCTTGTTCCATCTGCCGCACTTCAGTAATATCAGTAAGAAATGTATGTTGCTCACAAGGCCTAACATTTGATGGGCTTTCATTTTTTGACTTACTAGCTCCTCTACTAAATTGGGCTCTACGAGGTGTAACCCTGTTTTCTATTTTTCCAGAGGTTTGCTCATCACTTAATTGTTTACAATTTTCAAGTTTATTGCTGTGAGCAGAACAAGATGTCGGTAAATCAAAGCCATTTTTCACAGTTCTCCCAGACCAGACAGATGTTTCAATATTTGAAAACACATCACTTGTATCTGGACAATCGATATCAAGAACTAAATCTGGAAGAGGCTTGTCTGGATCATTTTCAGTTGACATATTTAAAAAATATAATTATAATTTTGAGTAAGTAAGGACTAAGTTTGAAAAATTTGATTTGATTACTTTTGAACAGTATTCTGTCATAGAAAATTTCATAGATTCATTCTCCAGTAAACATACGAGTATATAATGTGTTCTATAACTAATTTACAAATAAAAGTACAATAATTGTACAATTAAGTTTTGGATAGTTGATTTTTTTTAAAAGAAAACAATTCAAAGCGTTGTTTATAGCACATTCAAGTTAATAGTCAACAGAAAAGTACTGTGACTAATTCGACCAAAAAATAGGGGAAAATTAACAAAACACCAGATATTTCTTTAATAGTACAGATGATAAGTAGAAACAGCTTGACGGCCAGACCACCTACAATGAATGAAGCCGTACTAGGACATTAAACGAATCTATAAGTTTAAGTAATTAGCAAAACATTTGTATCATGGGGGTATTATAAATCATCGAAAAGTACGAAACCAATTTTCTTTTTTTAGCAAGAGAAATAGTATACATCCGGAAGAGAATTCAACAACTGAACAGACGTTATAAGAGTTTACTATATGAAATATATTCAAGAATTTGTATATGAACACATTTATAAAGGTAAAATTAATTTGAAATTATTTTCATAATCACAAAAGAATATTTTTATTAATTAAATTTCCTATCACAACAAAATATCATTTTTATATTTGTTTATTTCTTGTAATGGATGACGGTCACAGCTAACGTAAGTTATATTTTTAGCAAATATCTATTAATAAAAAATATTCAATCATTCAATAAAAATCATTCAAATTTTCATTCAAACTTCGATTTACTTTTTTGTTGTTATTATTGAAAATAAATTTGTTACAATACTTTACAAAATTGATATTTGGAAACAAGCTTATAGCTCTTCTCGATACTGTTACTATGGTAACAAATTGTAAAGTTTGCTTCTTGGTTTTCACGTTTTTCAAAAAATGAAGTAATGTGACATTTATTTAAATTGTTTTAAGAAAAGTTCTACCTACTGGGAAAGAAATAACTTATGTGTTTCCTTTCAAATTCCATGAAATCTCCTTTAAAATTATTTAATGTTTAAAGTTTTCTAATCTATAGTATATCTATATCTATAATATACTATAATTTCAATACCATTTATTTACATCTGAAGTAGGAATTTATTGAAACTTTACCACTTTTCTTCTTTAAATTTTTTAACTGACTTCTTAATTTTTTAAAAGTTTAATTGCTTTTCCAGTTTATAAAAGTTGAAAGATAAATTCCCAATTAATATTGGATACCGTTATTAATATAAGTTGATTATTATTTAAATTATTCTTTTAAACATCTTCTTAATTTAATTTTTTTTTTGCGTTTGTTATGATATACAGTCTATATCTTTGTTATAGTACACAATTAATAGCAGTTATTCTAAGAATGATAGAAAGAAAAGAAATTATGTTCTCTAATTTTTAATTTTCATTTGACATTGATTTCAGCATCATATTTTAGTTTATAATACACAAGTATGTGGTGAACGAATTTTTGATGAACTTTCAACTTCTGTTCACTTGAGTTTCAAAATGTTTGTTTCTCAGCTTCTTAATATTTTTTATTTATACATACTATTGAGTTTTGTGTTAACATACTTTAATTATTTTTAAGTTATTGAAGAATATTCCAATGGATACAGGGATTAATATGAAGAAATAAAATTATTCACAATGGATATTTAAAACAAAAATATTTTAAAATCATAATTTCTTTGTATATACAAAGAAATAATGATTTTAAAATATTTTGAACTTGTTTTCCACAATTTCATCAAAAAATTATTTCTAATGGATACAAAAAATTATGATTTTAAAATACTTTGAGCTAACTTCTAACAATTTCTCCGAATTCTATTTTTTAAATTTCTTTTTTACAGTTTTAAAGCAGATTTGTCATTAGTTTAGAATTAGAAAAAAGATTTGATGGTCATTTTCATTAAAATATGTTTTTTACAAACATTTTGTAACAAATATTAGACAGTGAAATAGATTTTCCATAACTTTTATTCTTTTGTATGTTATATATTTAAGTTCTAATCTTGTATATTTTCTCTTGATGTTACCAAAATTATTGATATTTGAAAGGAAGTTATAAGTATAGTAGAGAGCTGATTATTCTGAATAAAGCTGATCTAGTAGAACAAAAAATCTGAATAACTGGGTGACTTTTTAAAAAAATAGCTATGGCAGTATTTTTTACCTAACTTTCTTTCTCCCTTTTTAAAAGCTTAGTGTCGGCAGTTGCTGTAGTTTAGCATATTATTAATTTTGTGTGCAGAAGTTAAATTTTTTAATTTATTTTCTATATTATGGGTACAAAATTATAATGTAAACACATAGATATTATTAAATGGAAAGAAAATAATAATATTTTCTTACACTTTTCAGAAAATCTGAAGATAAAGACTGGTTTTTGGGAAAAATATTTTTTCTCCAGAAAAGGTAAAAATGTGCATTATCCTACATAAATCTGGCCAGTTGGATCATTTGGTTAAACCATTTTAAGATGACTATTGTAGTTTGTAAATTTGAATGGCATAACCATCTTGTAAATTGGCAATTTAAATATCTAAACTTAGATTTATTTATATTCAATAAACCAAATATATCTTTTGAAAATGTTTAATTATGAAATTCTTTTTACATTCTATGATATTCTCTTTTTACAGGTTATTTTTAGAATATGAAAATAGTTCTCTTTAGTTTTGAAATATGATGGCTTCATTAAGAAATAAAGCTGTTAGATCTCAGTTGGTGAGGAAGAATTTTTAATAATATCTATTCACTGACAAAATTAAAGCAGTTTAATGTGAATTCTCTTTTAATGTTGTGAAATAACTAGTTTTTTAATTATGTTTTTCTATGCCTGCAAAGAAAGTTATTAAAATAGTAAAATATATATTTTATTTGTTTTAAAAATTTTCTGAGATCAGAATTTGTAAACTGTGTTTTAGTTAATAGAAAAATATTTTGAAAGATCAAAATTCTAAAGTATCTCTTTCTAACAACCTTAATTTTGCTGCAATTTTGTTCTTAACCAACCTATTCACTTGCTTAGATGCACTGCTTAAAAAAAAGTTTAGTAATTTACAATATTTTATCAAAAACTTTAGTTAGCTGAAAGCAATTATTTTATTTTAATATACTTTCTGTCATTGTTTTTAATGCCTAATAGAAGGACATAATTTCAAACAAGCCAAATTTGGTAATGGACAGAGTTATATTAGATTGTATGGTGGTATTTGGGGCTGGCAAGTGTTAGTAAAATCTAGAGTGTTCAAGTTTTAAAGAAATATTAGCTATATACATGGCCATACCTTTCCTCATTCTCTGTGTTCCATGGAAAAAAAAATCGATAGCAAGTTTTACTTCTGGGCTACTCAATTTTAAATTGAAATAAACCTCTAGCCCTTCAATTTAGTACTGGAAAGACATTCAGAATTTCTAATTAATCAAAAATAGTTTTTTTTTCTTTATTTAAATAGGTAATTAATATCAGTATCTATTTCAACGTTTTGTGTATACATATGCATATGCCAAAATTTATATTGGCATATTTAAGTTACTGTTTGTTTTGAGAAAAATTAAGTTGTAGAATAAACAATTTTTGAGCTGCATTCAACAAGCTTTAAAATTAAGAGCTTTTAAATAGCTATTTCTTCAACTAACTAATTTAGTTTAAATTTTTTTTAAAACTCATGCTTAAACTTAAATATTTCTCTGAATCAAATTTATTTCATACTTTTTGTGAAATAATTAATTTATTGAAATATATTTTTTCGACTCAGCTTTATGTTGTTATTTTGTTATCAACTAAATTTTTTACTATATTGGAATAAAAAATTAATGTGAATTGCTCTTATGATGTTGTTAAAACATTTATATATTTTTTATTTTCAGTATAAATCAAAAGCCCCAGCTGTAAAACTCATAGATGTTACACCAGATCATAGAGAAGAAATCTATTTTTTATCTCAAGATCTAGCAAGAAAATTAGTGTGAGATTTCTTCTGAAATCTACCTTTAAAAATAAATTTCAAATATAATAGGAAAATCTGTTTTAAGATTTTTTACATTCATGCTTAACTGTATTTGATTATTAAAATTAGTTTGACAATTGTAATTGTAAAGTAATTATGTGATTTGTATAAGTGTATATGTTTAGTAGTATATGATTTTTTAAATTAGTACTATTATTAAAATTTGAATATGATATTTTGACAATACTTTATATAATTATAAAATGAGGTTTTACTATATTCATTTATGGAAAATTGTGAGGGACTATAGTCATTTCAATTTCTTAAGAATTTAATTAAGTTTATTTTCCTTTTCTGTTGTTACTTTTAAGTTTTCATATGTTTGAAAATGATTTATTGAATAGTTTGGAAGTTAATACTTTTTTCTAAATGAGATTTTATAAAATAACATAATTTATAACAATTTCTTCTAATTGGATTTGAAGAAATGCTGAAACTTTTTCATCTGGGGAAGCTTTTTTCATGTTTCTTTTTCTGCGTGGAAGAAATTTGCCCTCCTTGTTTTGTACATATTAAGAGGTATTTCTCCTCTCGACTGAACTCAATTGTCAAAATGGTGGAGATAGGGAGGATAAATTCAAGTTTAACTTTCATTTCTTTTTATATAATTTTAATGAATAAACTGATGAAGTATATTTACTCTTAACGAATAAACTGATGAAGTATCTGGCAGTATCTTTCTATACATGTAAAATACAAGGTCTTAATCCAAACAGAACTAAAAATATAAAGCATACAATATTTTTTGCTCTTTTTAATTTTTTCTGAAAAAATTATGCTTATGTAGTTCTGCAATTAGCCGTTTTGAAAGATAGTTAAAAATAGTATACATCTGTCTGTTTTTAGATTTTTGATAGATATCATTGTTTCTGTGATATTTATGTTAAAATTTTTTTTTAACATCATCAAAATTGCTTTACGTCAATTTAAACTGTAATAAAATTAAATTTTATAGCTGCAAATGATCTTTAGGTTATATTTAAAACATGTGAGATTTTGTATGCGAAATTTGTTCTTTTTTACAGTGTTCCCCGAACAGGAAAAAAGCAATACAAAGCATTAATAAATAATGAAAAACTTAATCAGCTTCAAAAGAATGCCAGCAGAATCATTGAAAGTGAAGATGAAGAAGATAAAATAAATGCAAAAAATAAGCTTCAAGTAAGACTAATAAGTTTTTATTGGAAACTTATTGATTATTAATAATTACCTGGAACATAGTCAGTAAACATGTGTTTCAACTTTTGCTTGTTCACATCTGTTTTAACTAAATTTAGCCCAACATAAAATTTAAGGATTATCACTGTTAATGACTATACTTTATATTGCTTGATTATATAAAGTAAAAAATGTCAAATATTAAAAAAAAATTTTTTTCATCAAAAATTTTTAATTTTTATGGTCACATATTCTGTATGTACAAGAGAAACTATCTTGAGCAATATATTAAAATAGCCATGCTATTATCTGTAAACATGATAAACAAATTTTGAGATTTAAAGTAATGATGAATCCCAGGATCTTTGAAATTTGGAAAAATGAAAGTACATTCCTGGGAAAGAACATGTTAATTATTTTTCTCAAAAACTATGATATATATCTATAGATAATTTAAACGTAAAATGTAACCACTATTAAAATTTTATTTAATTGCGTCATAAACATTAAAAAGTGTTTTTTAATGTTAAATTAATTTTTTCATATTGCTTTCATGCCAAGAGTTTCAAAGCATTTCTGCTTCTACGGCTTGTAAAATTCTAGATGTGTCCTAAGTTTAATTTTAAACCTTTGTATTGGTTTTCAATAAACTGATTTTATCTAAATAAAGTTATCAAGATTTACTACAATCTATTGTAAAATTTTTATAACTTATATTAACATGAACGAAAACAAAACATCTAGGATTTTATTGTAAGATGTAGTGGAACAAAAAATAAATAAATAAAAAAAGTTAATCATGTTTCTGTTTATTTATTTATTTTTCTTTCCATTTCATCCCTGATAAATTCACACATTTATTTCATTTAAAAGGACTACAAGTAGAAAATTTATGAAGTGGTAAAATTTGGAAAATTATAGGTAATTTAAACATAGTTTTTAAAGTTTCTGCAATTTTTCCCTCACACGAATTAAAATTAAGCTGAGAATGGAAATATGAAATTTGTGAGTGGATTGTAACTAATTAAATTAGTATTGAGAAAACTGTTGTCAATTTTTCATAAACTAACTATAAATTTAGTTTTCTTTTTTTTTGCATTAGGTGCCTCATACTCTTTTTTCTTTGCTTCTGTGAAAATTAGTTAAATTATAAAAATTTAGAAGATATGAAATTTAATTAATTGATGAAATTTGCATGCAAGTTTTCAGTTGTTGCAAATTAAAATTATTAGTTTTTAATATTTTTTTCATGTTTAAAATTTTTATATAAGGTTTGTTTCAATAATATACATTATGATCATATGTATTAAGTCTTTGTTTTCATATGAAATAAAATTATATATTTTTTATGAAATAAAAATAATCTTTGTTTAATTTTTTTTTTTAATTTCAAGGAGGAACAAGAAGCAAGGAAAGCAGAGTTAGAGGCTTGGGATGCTGTGCGTAAAAAGAATGAAAAACTCAGTGAATTAGAAGAAGAAGCAAAAAAACAAATGGAAATTATGCGAGAAAAAGCCAATGAATTAATAAGAGAACAGAATGAAGAGATTAAAGAAATGAACAAGGTAATGTAATGTTACAAATACTAGTTGTTGTTACACAAACTTCATCTTATTATTATTTTTTTTTTGTATTTTTTTTCTAACAAAACTACACTCACATCACATTCATGATGTCTACTTGATTGTAAAATTAAAAATTAAGGTTTTAAAACATTCTAAGCAATTTTATGAAACTTTTGAAGTAAAGTTATGAGAAATACACAAATAATTTATGGTTTAAAGCTATAGAAATGTATATAAATTTATAGAGTCTAAGGAAACACACAACAGCAGTCTAAGATGTAATATAAATTTTTTCAGACAGTTATGAAAATACTTTCAAATTTATTTATAATTATAGTAGGAATGTAACGAATAGTGATTTGGCCAAATAGCCAATTACTGAATATTGGGCCAAACAATCAACCAAATCCGAATATTCGGTGACCCAATAGCAAAAATTAAAAAAAAAAAAAAATTCTTAATAAATATTATTGTTTAGTTATAATAAATATTATTGTTTAGTTATAATAAATATTATTGTTTATTTATATATACTATTGATTATTTATCAATAATGACTAATAAACAATAATTATTATTATTGTTTATTAGTCACTACTGATAAATAATCAAAACTTAGATATATTATTGGTATGAAGTAAAAAGCTATAATACTTATCCATTAGAAATATTTAAGATTAATAAAAAAATGAGTAACAACTATTAAAAAAGAAAAGCAAACGAAAATTGAAAAGTTGAAAAAATGAGAAATATAAAAATAAAAAAATCCTCGTAATTCTTAAAACAAAACTTTAATGCTAAAAATAATATTGTTCGGAAAAAAAGAATACATAAAACGTTAATGGAGATGTAGTCTATCAGAAACGCTTTTAAAAATGTTTCATTAAACCGCTCTTAAGAAAAGATTATATACACAAGTAAAACATAAGAAATTACTGTATTTTCAAGTAAAAGCCCAGAAAGAAGATAGGAGAGAAAAATTTCAATTGAACTCTTTCACATTACTATAGTTTTAGAAGAAGCGGATGATAAAAAAACAACGTTCATAAGAAACATTTTAAAAGAAATTTTGTGTCATAATAAAAACGCTGATTTAAACGCGTCATAATAAAAACGCTATATTGAAAATTACCATTTTCTATGTTATCGGTTATTTGTCTTAAGAAAAGGGCAATGAAAAAATTAAGTTTATTATAAATCCTCCCCTTTAAAACGACGAAATTGACTTGATTGCCTTGATTGCCAGAATAAAATTTTTTTTAAAAAAATAAGCAATACAAAAAAATTACAGTTCAATATAAAATAATCTAATTTAAATTCTTCAAACTTTTTTCTTTCAGAACAAAAGTTTGCAAGTTTTAAAACTTAATAAATATGTGTCAAAACTATTTCTAATATTGTATAGTAAAAAATACGACTTTAGATTACTATTTATTACTCCTCCCCTCCAAAAAAAGGAAGAAAAAAATATAAGAAAATGCATTGCCAAATATTTGGCTGAACATTCGGCCAAATATTCAGCCAAAAGGCAAAATACCGAAAATTGGCCGAATATTCGTTACATCCCTAAATTATAGTAGGATACACAAAGATATATGAAACTTAAATTTCTTCCTTTGAACTGTGATATTCTCATATTATTTACTGACTCTAGTACGACCTATTTTGAAATTATATAGCGCATGTAGAATGTTAATTAGATATGTATTAACTATTTTTCAAACTAAGATTTAATTTTAAAAAAAAATTTACTTTATTTTTTAAATGTGCTGAATCAAATTTCTGATGCATTTTATCAAATTTTTATTAGTTGATATTAAACGCAAAAGTTCAAACTATTAGAGATGCTCAAGTTGCTGAGAAAAAAGAGATCAAGAAGAAACTTGCTGAAGCTGATGTTTTAGCTGATGATGCTATGGAGCAAAAAAGAAGAGAAGGTGTTGTAAAGGACCAAGAAATAGTTAAGAAAAAACAAGAAGCTTCTCACGAGTAAGAATTCAAATAGATTTCTACAATCATTCTTCTAATGTTTTATAAAAGTTTGATCCTTATATTAAATGGTTTAAAGTAGGTTAAAATACATTAAGTCAAAACTTTGCAGCTATTTAACTTTAGCTTTAAGTACGTTTTAAAAAAAATAAAGTAAAGAATTAAAGGAAAGCTCATTCAAATATTACAACACATTTTTAATTTTTATAAATTTTTGTGGCATTTATTAAATTGATATTAAATTCTGCTATTCACTATATTACACAAAATACTTATTAAATTTGGTTAATTTCAACTAATTAAAAATTTTAACTGCATACAAGGCTGGAGACAAGATATTTACGCCCCAGGGCAAAATTTATTGCAAGCCCCTTGTTCAAAATGCAATAAGTCTAATTGTCATATTTTGTATGCTTTTTCAAACAGATTTTTTAAAACATTGGTTTTCCTTTGACTCTTGAAATATCAGTTTTCATAAATATAGAATATTAATTTCCAATTTATTGTGTTTATTTTAGCTGAAAACTTAATGTGTGCTAGTTTTTTTGCCCTAAATGGGAAAAATTCTTTCATTAAAATTGTAGAACATTGCAAATATACATAAATGTTTATAAAAAAAATTCTCTGCAATTAAAAACCTAATTAAAAATCATTTCACTTCTTGTAAGGAATTTCAACTGTGTCCTCAACAATCTTGGGCCCCTGTCTCTTTCCCTTTGAATACTAACTTAACTAAAGGGTTACAAAGCTATTTTAATTGTTTTATCTAGAAAAATTTTAGTATTTTCCTTCTCGTGATTTTAAAAAAAAAAATAATGTACAAAAATAATTTGTTTTTAAAATCTTACTTATCCTAATGTAAAAAAAATTGGTTTTCAGAGCGGCTTTGAAACTCCAGGAGCAAATAAAAGCAAACAACGAACAAAGACTGATGGAAGAAGAAAGAAAAATTAAAGAAGGAGAAGCATTATTGCGTAAATTAAAAAAAGATCAAATGCAGGATTATCAAGAGATGAAAATGCGTCAATCAAAGAAAAAAGCTATGTTGGTAAGTTTTTTTTTTTTAAAAAAATTATTATTATTTTTTAATAAAAATTTTTATTTTAGAAAGTTTCTTATAACTTCATTTCATAAATATATCATTCCTTGTTAGCAGAAATTTTAATTTAAATTTCAAAATAAATAAAAAATAATAAATAAAATTAATTTTCATTTATTCATAAACTTTCATTTAGGAACAATTAAATTATAGATAATATAATACTTTTAAAGGATTTTCAGAGATGCTAATTTACTCCATTTTGAGAGAATTTTTTTCTAATAGTAGAAAGTTTAATTTTAAAGTATCATTCTTGGAGTAGTAAATTTTATTTAAAGTTATTTTGGCTACCACTGCACATATATAATTCCAAAGTTCATATAAAACTACATTTTGTTCTAGCTATCTCCTGGCGAGAATTTTAAATATTAACTATTTTATTTAAATAGTTAATTCATTAACTATTTTATTTAAATTATTTAAACTATACTATTTTATTTAAATTTGAATTATTTTAAATATAAATTTAAGATTAACTAAAATTCTGCAAGTGTTAGCTTTTAATTATCAACCACTTATTAAAATATTTTCCTTGAAGTGAAACAGTTGGCATCATTGGCTTTATAAATTGCCACTTTTTCTCCTTATTGTACCCTGTAATATAATACGTTGTCAAATAAAAATATTATGGGTCAATATTAAGGTCCGAAATCGGGCTTTACGTTAACATTGAAAAATGATTACGCGCTTCCAAGAAGTGCAGAAAAAACTATTAATTTAGATTGAAATATTTAATTTATTTTAAAGACATAAATTGAATGTTTAGATTTTTGAAATGTTTGGGCTTTTTAAAAGTTTATTTTATAAGAAAAAAAGTTGTATCTGAAAATTAATTTTACTCCCAATGTTATAGCTTAGAGTTCAAATTTCATAAAACTTTTTAATGGTAATTTGAAGAAAATTAAATTATTTTTAATTAAACATGTTTTTCTTCTTCTTCCTAGGTAGAACTCGTGAAAGAAAATGAAGAAAAAAGGAGACGTGATGAGATCAGAAAAGAGCAAGCTGAGAAGGAAGATAAAATCATAGCAGAATACCAGAGATTAAAAGCAGTAAAAATAAATAATTACATCTATTTAAAAATGCAATAAATTATTTATAATAGTTAAATTCATTGAAACATTAACTTGAATTTAAAAAAGCAAAATAGTCAATTTATCAAAATTTAACTTATATTTGCAAAACAAAAATATAGTAACTCTGTAAAGAGTGAATTTAAAAATTAATTTTTGTTTATGATTAATTTTGTTATGATTAAATTAGTTTTGTTTAGATGAAATCGGAACAGTAAAATAGCTTTTAATAAATACATATAGAAGGAGCACATCAAATGTAGCGATGTTTTAGGACTAGTTTACTTTATTGATAACTAGAATTAGTAAGTTAAAAAATTCTGTCACTCATTTTTAAAAGACAAACTCAGAAAATTAATAATGGCATGAGTGAATTCAAATTGAGGGAATAATTTATTAAAATTGAATCATAAATGGATTGAAGTAAATAATGTAATTGAACTTTTTAAATGTAATAAATAAATGTTATTGATGTATGCTGAAGAGAATTGGACAAATATTTAAATCTATTAAATTTAACTTTTTTATGCTAACTTCTTGAAATGAAGCATACTTGTATACAATTCAATATTATTATACGGGACATTTTGTATAAAATAAAATATAATCTGCTATGTGAGAAACAAATATTAAAATGACTTACTGTAAATTAAATGAAAAAAGTTTATTTTAAGAAAGAGGAAAAAGATTGATAATTTATCAAAGACTTTTAAATCATGTGATTATCTTATTAATTTATTAGTTACTTTTCTATTCATTCAAGATTTCTGATAGATATTATCAGGGGGAAATTTCTTTATGTATTCGCTTTTAAGAAGAAAAAAAAAAGAAAAACAACTACTAAATCTTATTACAAAAATAAATATTTAGTTAACAAAATTTTATTTCGAAATATTTTTTTTAAAAAAACAGTAAATTTAGATATTTTTTTAAATTTAAAAAGAAGTAGGTGAGTGTTAAGCTCTTTTTTTCAGTTCAATTCATTTTTTGTTAAAATTGATTCCTTATTAGTTTCAAATGCAATAATTTCTAAATATAATACTTTCTAAATACCATGGATGTCATTAGGTGAGAATTCTCCATAATAATTAGAAATCTCTAAAAATCCCCTCTAATATTAAAAAAAAAAAAAAAAAATGTGGTTGTGATTAATTTTTTTTTGACAAACTATAAATTTTGACTTAGGTAACTTACTTCATCAAAACAGACACAAAATTATTTTAACAAAATCAATTGACATTTTTGCAATGTCAAAATAAAGTGTGAATTACAAAGAAACTCCTCGTAGCATTTTGTCACTCTAAAGTTTAAATGATATAGTTTTAAATTGATAGCATTTAATTTTATAAGAAAGGAAGTTTTAAAAACTTTTTTGAAGAAAAAAAAATCAATACATATGATTATTATATTTTAAACTTTCACCAGGCTCAAGAAGAAGCAAAAGAAGCTTCTGAAAGAAAAGCTAAACAAAAGCGAGAAATGGAATTAGCAAAGATTGGAAAACAACAAGAAAGAGCTGCTGATATTAAAGCAGAACAAGTAGGAAATAATTCATATTTTCATTTTCATTGTACCGATTTTTAAAAATTGAACTTGTAGGAAATGAAATGCATATTATTGAAATGAGTAGAAACGCCTAAATACTAATGGAAAAAGAAAGGAAAAAAAAACATACATGCACTGCATTTGTTATAAGCAAGATTGGTTCCAGAGTTATAAGTATGCCTTTGATTGAAAAGAGATACTAAGTATTAGTTACATACTATTATTAATAGTCATCCTGTCACCAGTGAAAATGGTGAATTGGATTTACCAATTTGGCAAGAGAATCTATTTTACAATGCTTTGAAAGTATTGTAAAAAAAAAATAATAAAAGCATTATTATCCTCCCCCCCTCCCCAAAGTGCAGTTGCATTTGTTCTTAGAATCTTATGCGGTTCTGTGAATGATTTAATGCAGTTGTGTTTCAGTTTGAAATGTTTTTTTCTATGGTCAAACTGTTGCATTGTTAAAAGCTATATATATATATATGTGTGTGTGTGCATGTTACATGAAAAGTTGTAACTAATCTTTTTATGTTATTTCTTTATCTAAATGAAGCTTCTTTTTAATTCCATAGAACCATAGTATTCCCATGACCTATTTAATAGACCAATTGTAATTACTAAGGATTCCCTTTTTTCCATGAGACATACTATATCACAGGGACAAACTTGTGCTAGTGTTATTTTCCCTAAGATAAAAACTTAAGCACACTGATTTTGGAATGCGATTTAAGCTCTGTCAACTCTTAAAATTATCTTAAATAAAAGAAGGTTACAATCCATCTGTTTTTCTTGCATTCCACTTTGCTCTGACATGTATATATATTACTTATAACGGCAATATTTTTTACTGATTTGTAGAAATAAATTAGTGATGATCATAAACTTATTAGTGAATACATTATAATAAATCTTAGATCACCCAAGTTGATAAAAAAATCAGCTGTGTTTGGTTCAGTGATTCAATTGTAAATTGATTCAGTGCAAATTTTTAATTAACTAAATTCTTTGGAGGAATCATACCTTAACTAGTTATTGTCAAAGCCATTTTTTTAATCTTTTAAAATTAACTAAGTTATAATAATTTTATTGTGTTGTATAAAATTACTTGGTAAAATACATTTTTAACACTGTTATATGATGTACTTTAAAATTATAAAAATCCGATAAAAATGAATATATAATTTTAGTAAAAATATTTTTAATCTGATAGAAATGAAGTAAATTTTCAGCTAAGATATTTCTCAATGTGTAATTTTTAGAATAATTATTTTGTTATATATTTTAGTATCAGGGACATATTTTCTATATTATTTTAGTCTATTTGTGAAATATGTCATAACAGTTTATTATAACATTATAGGAGGCTCTTCGAGCACGTCGAGCTCAAGAAGAAAAAGAGAGAAAATACAGAAGACGAGAAAAAGAAGCTGCAGTAAAACAGAAGGAAATGATAGAAAGCCTAAAAAAATCCCGTACTGAGCAAATCATATATCAAGAGAAATTAAAACAATTGAAAGCAGCTCAAGAAATTAAGGAGCTTGAATTTCTCTTGAAGTATGTTAATTGTTTTCTAACCCTGTGGTGAGCAAGGGAATAGAGCATTTGCTTTTCAATAAAATGACCCAGGTTAGAATACTAGAAGTGGCTAGTTGATACGAATTCTAACCTCGGCTCGCACTGACCACAGTGTTGACGTAAAATAACCTCATTGATAGATGAATCATGGGTTAGAATCCCTTGTCATCAGGTTAACTGTCAGAGGTTTTACTCTCCATGTAATTACTCTCTATCAAAAAACCCTCCATAGAGGCCAGTTTGTTCCAATGCTTGACTTAAAAGATCCGTTGTCTTCTGAGTTGGGTTCAAAATTAAAATGCCGCAGAGATGAATATTGATAGTCTTGAACTCAGAACTGGGTCGGCTGTTCAAAGTCGGTGAAAAAATTAAATTGTTTCATAAAAAGTAACGTTTAATGTTAGCTAACAGAAGGCTACAATGCAAATTAAAAACAATCACTGTTGAATTATTAAAAATATATATTATTGTAACAGATATAGCAGTGCAAAGCACCCCTGGTAGCATACTCAAAAATTGTAAGAACGAATAAGTCAGTTATATGGCGAGTTTCCAACTGGAAGATAAAGTATTTGTTGCTCTATGCAGCAGGAAAATTCGTTCCTGAACTCACCATCTTAAAAATGTATTATTTAGAATATATGTATATATAAATATAGATTAACATATACGAGTGTGTCTCAAGATAAATTTGTTTGCAAACCTTATTTAAAGTAATGCTTTCTCATAACTCATATTATTAGTTTGTTACATTATTTTAATACCACCCCACTACTAATATAATAGATAGAATATTCTATAAACTTCAATATCACTCTTCTGTAGTGTTCATACCAGTATGAAGATAATTGTCACAAAATGTTTTACAAATGTTGCTAAAATCATATGCATGGGTGACGAATTTTTCGCTTTGAAATATGTTTGGAATTTACTAAGTAGTAACAAGAAATAGTTTTTTTCATCAAATTAAATGCTTTAAAAAAAATTATTTTACTAATTTTATTGTTCTACTCGTGGTATGAAATTCGAATGCTTGGTATTCAAATGGAATAGCAGAAAGTGCCTGGTATAAAATTTTTAAATTTTAAATGTTGAAATTTCAAATTTACATGTTGTGTTGTGCTTTGCATTCATGTACTGACAGTATAATTGTTTATCAATAGAATAATATTTTTACTCTTGTAGAATTGACTGCATTTAAAATTAAACAAATCTTATATAATTAAATTAATTTTGTTAGCTCTTACTTTCTTTGTTTTCCTCTTTTATTTAGTCTCAGTAATTTAATCTCTATGTTGAAACCATTTATTAATTTTATTTTAGCTTTTATACACTTAATTTTAATAAATATTAATCTTCTATCATTATAGGCTAAGGAACATAATTAGTTGTAGGGAGTTATAGACGGCAATTAAAATTTTTTGATATGTACCATAATATGAATTATGTAATTGTAAAGCTTGAATTATTTGTTAAGTTTGTCTACCATATTAAGTTTTTGGACCACTAAATGAATACCTGGGTGGTTTAATTGGACTACTAAATTTTCATTGGTGGAGCGAACCCTACTCATCTGTTTAAAGATTTAAGCCATTATAAAATGTAAGTTTATAAAATTCATTGTGGTTCATGTTTTCAGGCAATTGAAAGAAGAAAATAAAAGAGTGTGTCGTGAAGACCTTTTTAAAAAATTGGAAAGATTAAAACATTTAGATGATTTAAAAAACCAAATAAAGAGAAAAGAAATTGAAAAGATGAATGAGAAAAAAGAGTTTTACAAAGAAGGTATACACATTAGACAAGAAGAAAAGCGCAGAGAAGAAATGCTAAATGTGTTAAAGAAAGAAAAATTGAATGAATTAAAGTAAGTTTTTTTCATTGAAAATTTTTTTTTATCAATTTGCAATTTTTATATTTATAATCAATTTATAATTTTTAAAATTTATTTAATTAAATTAAACACAAATTTTAAAATATAATTAGCTATTTAATTTTATTTTAAAATAACAATAAGATTTATAGATTCAGTTAAGTTTGCTTTATTTGTATTATATTTATAAATGTGTTATGTCTAAATATAATACCAATGTGAGTATTTCGGAAGTTCGTATTGTAATATATGGCGAGGAAAATGAATCTAGCCTGCAAAATATTACTAAGACTAATATGATCATTTTAAACTACTCTTAACAGAAAATGTTGAAATTAATAGCACTCTCAATGTTTTTTTTGTAGCTGTTCCAGTTAGGATTACAATTAGTTTTTCGCTCAGTTTTATAGTTTAAAGAACTCCCCTCGCCGTTTGTCTGGAGCTTTATTGGTGACTATTTCAAGTGGGGGTGTGAGGTAAACATTTACAACGAGTTCTGAGGAAGGTCCGTGAGCGGTTTCAAAACCCCCTCTAACACGTGCTCTTTCTCGTTTTCATGACAGCAGTTTTTAGATAGACAAACTATACTTTGCCCATCTTGTACAAGATAATAAGTTTAAGATTTTGTAAATCAAATATTTTTGGTGTATTAAAGTATAAGGTAATTTTACATTCAGGTTAAAGTATTTTGACCTACAATTCAAATGAGGCTAGGGTATACTTTGTGCTACATATAAATAAATAAAGCACAACTACATATAAATAAATAACATATACACTACACATAAATAAATAAAGCAAACTTTCAACTAATTTATGGAATATTTTTTGTAAAATTCCATAATTTTTTTAGATTGATAAAATTCTTTGATTTGTATCAACTCTAAGTGGATTGCCTTTTCAGATTCCACTGCCAAATTTCATTCATCTTACATTAATTTTTCTTTATAAACCTTAATGATAAGATATGTCTCAAGAAGGCCTTTAACCTATTACCTGGGTAAGACAAAATATTTAGTCCTGCACAAACTGTTACTGAAATAGTCACGGCGTCAGAGAAAGAGGTGTGTGTGATATTGTTAAATGAGTTGAACAAAAGTTTATTCCTTGATCAGCAGGTTTATGTTAGATAAATTAATTTGTAAATAATTTTGAGTTTTTTTTCAAAAACAAGTATACCATATAGCTTTTCCAGGCTACTCTTAAATTAAGTGGTATTAATATATTTCTGAGTAAAACAATAAGCATTAAGTTAAATATAACAAATATTATAGAAATCAAAAATGCACCATAAAATGATAATTGTCTTGATTGACATGTTAAACAATTTTTTTTTCTTTTCAACTCCTTTTTGTTAAAGCTGAAATAAACTATTATTTATTAAAAAATTAAATATATTTCTTTAAAAATCAGGATTTTATTTAAAATAAATTTTTTAACTCGAAAAAGATTATTTGATATTAAATTAGTAGATGATTAATGTATTGTATGTATTTTTAGGAAACATGATGTACCAGAAGCTTATATCAACCATATAATGAAAAAAGCACACCTAGAGGAGACTTAAAGGCTTATAAAAACGGTTTTTTGAGTACATATTTTGTATAGATTATTTATATTGGAAACTTTTTAATAAAATTTATCAAAATTGTCAAATATGGTAACTAAACTAAATTTTTTAAGAAAAACTGTTACAAGTTTTAGTTAAGGAAAATGTATTACACAATGTATTATTTTAAACTTTTCAAAGAATAAATGTTGCTAAAATTAACCTACAGTATTAAACATGTTAAATGAGTATTAACTTTTCAAATTTTATGTACAATTTTAACTAAGCTCTGTTGCTTGTACATGTCTTAACAAATTGTTTTTTTCTAACGTAACAGTAAGCTCTAAAATGAAATTGATTTTACTATCAGTTAATTACAACGCTATTTACTATTAAGCTCTAAGGTTACTGATTTTGGGGCACTATTCTCTTCGCTACCATAGCCCTATGAAAACAAGATTAACAGTTGAAATTCCCGATATTAATTTCTTTTTATATTTTAATCTATTCCAGAGAAAGTCTCCTTGAAATTTTATACATAACTTATATAGCAATATTTAATATTTTTGATGAGTGATATACATGGAATTTTTTTTTTCCAATATCTTTTCAAATTTATTAAAATTTTCTTTAAAAAGTAACATAAAAAAGATAAAAATTAAGACTTTGTATCTATAACAGACCTTAACTATCAGATAAGTTTTAGATTTTATTGAAAAGATAATACTTATTCACCCTGCATAATAATTGTTCTATATTTTTTTCTGCATAAACAATTTTTGTTAATGTTTGGAAAAAAAGTTTATATCTATATTTGATTGTTGCCATGTTTTATTACACATGCTCTTTGAGCTGAAAAAGTTTGTGACAACCATCATGGCTTACAGTAAGCGAAAATTATTAAAGAAAAATGTATTTATATTATATATATATAAAAACTTTAGTGAGATTTTCTGCCTTGAACTAATTTGATTTATACATGTAATGGAACAATTCTTAAAAAGATTAAACCTTTTTCAGACAATTATTTAGAAGTGAAAAACAATACTTGTTATTCAGCTACTATTGTGCTTATAGCAATGCTTACTTTATTCTTTGGTTGGCTTTCAAATATATAATTTATACATTTGACTAAATATTTTAGAAAAAATCAATTTAGAATTTTATTTTTGCTTTTGAAGAAACAAATTGATATTTCATTATATTAATTAGTTTTTAACTGATATAAATTTTTTTTTGAATGCACTCTATAAGCACTATTTTTCCAAGCTTTCGATTTTTATCAATGGATTCAATATAAACTGCAGGAATAGAGTAGTGAAAGAAAGTGCAAAACTCATCTTGTCTTCTAAAGGCTGAATAAATATTTATTCTCATTTTAAGCAACCATCATTTAAAAATAAAAGTTATTTTTACTAGAATAAAATTTTACAAAAATTATATTGATGTCCACCCTGAAAATGTAATCATTTGTATACAAATGATAAAGTTTTTCAGTTAGCTTGTTCAGTTTTATTCTAAAGAATTGTCTAAAAAAATAATTTTTTTAAAGGTATCTTCCATTAATGGTAGAAAGCAAGAAAATTCATGTACATTCCTTAAAGAAATACTCTAAAATTACCCAACTTTCAAATTTCGAACTGCATGTAAAGTAGCTTATTAAATTAAGAAAAAATATTTTGAAAATTTATTACTATAGAATTTTATGCGTTTGCACAGCTAAGAAATAAATTTTTAACTTCAAATTGAAATCATGTAAGCATCTTATTTTATTGTAATTAAGAAGTTTATTGGAAATCTGATTCTCCAGCTCACATTTTATCATTACTGGCACCCTATGTATTAGAAGAAACTGAATGTGTGAAAAGAATGTATCAAAAAAGTTTTTATAAGACAATCAGTATTTCTAGAGAACAAATCAAGTTTGTAAAATTTTGGAAATCTAGCACAATAAAAGATAAAAATTTTTCACAACAAAAGATTTTTAGTAATTTTACTCATAGTTTGATATTGATACACACACACAAAAAAAAACTTAAAAAGATCTTCCAATAATCTGACATATCCCTCATCCTGAAGGTGTTAGATAATTGAAGTTCTAATGCAATTGATTATAGTTATAGCACATATTGTAAATTTTGTTTTTGAATAAAACAGAATATTTCAAGAAATTATTGGATTTAAATTTTGAAACAAGCAATATTTTGTAAGCTGTGTGCAACTCATAGAGTTTGCCTTGTTTCAAATGATCCCTGTTTTCCTCACCCACGTTTGATGACTCTTGAAAATGTACGCCCATTTTTGAGCGCTCAAAACATATCCACCATTATTATCATCACCATCTTCACATTTTTTGAAGCAAGTAAAATTTTATATCATCAAGCATTCAACCTAATAGTTTAAATAAACACAATTTGAATTTGTAAAACACTTTAATGTTAAAATACAAAAGAAAAACAAAGTTTAATTTAATAAACATGTACATAAAATTAGAAAAATTAAAGGAACATTTTTTTAAGATTCTTCCATAATAGTCCGTTTCCTTTTTTTGTGGTTCACCACAAGATCAGCAGTCAATATTTTTTGATTCTTCCGATGCATCCAATTTTTCAGATCAAGAAGGCTTTTGTGACCCACATTAAAAAGGGCAACTTCAGTTCTGTCTAAGTTTGCAGTTAATGTTGCAGCATCTTCTTCTAAGGCATTCTGAGATGTATCCATCAGCATTCTAAAACGATTTCTGAATGTCTGAAACAATACAAGAAATTTATGACACTTAATTTATTAACACTAGATCTTTTTTAAATTATTGATTAATATTTTAATACAATCAAAAATATTCACTTTTTCTTATAAACATGTTATATGATATTAAAAAATATAATAACTGAAGATCTTGAATATTTATTACAACTCCACCTATTATTGTTTAAATTCTGTCAAAAAAGAAACTAAGTATGTAATAACATAACCAAATGAATTAAACACCTTAAAAGTTTTTCAAAAAGTAAAGTAATATTAGACTCTATGATAATTGCTGTCCCTTAAATGCATTTCAGGTCGAGACAAAAATTACGAAATAATTTTTGTCAAATAGATAAAAAAAACTTTTTTATTTTTTTAATTGAACTATCAATATTTTATAAAATAAGTTCTTACATTTTGTACCGAACAATTTATTTTATTTGCTTGCAATTTCTTAGATGAAAATTAAGAGGACAGTAATTACATTCATTATCATCACCCACAGAATTTTTTAGTTGAAATTAAGCTCATTGACCCTTAAAGAAATAGCAACCCCTGTAATTAAACTTTACTGTTCTGTAAAGAAGAGTGTTCTTTGTAACCTGGAAATTAAAATTTATTCAACTTAGTCATCTATTGTATTTTTATTTTTCCGGCACTTTTTGTACATGTGACAATAATTTCACAAAAGAGGGGGTCGCATACAAGGTGTTCTGTGGAGCAAATTATTTTAAGAATATTGATTATAAATATTTAAGTAGACAGTCATACTATATCAGAATAGGTAAACATTTATCTCTCTAATATTTTTATAATACAGTAGATTACTTATAAAATCCAGAAACGTGTATTGGGATCACAGGATAGTAATGACATTTTACCTATATTTTATTATTTTGAAAATATAATAAAAGTACAGAAGAAGTCTGATGCATATTTTATTTACTCCTTCAGAGTATTTTAAGCAGAACATACCATTAAATAATGAAAATAAATATTTCAATGCGAAATATGCAAAAGTTAACAACTTTTATATCAAATTTCAGAAAACAAAATTCAAGTAAATAATTAAAATTACCTCACTCAACATTTTACCGATTTCTTCTGAATCTTGGTGTATGAATTTAAGTAAATATAAACCAAAATGATAAAAGTAAGGTCCCATTTTATGTAAATCAACAATAGTAGCATCTGCATTTAAAATTTTTCTGTATCCTTCTTTATAAACCTTGGGCAAATCTATTGAAATAATGCGACGACTCTGTAAAGCTTGAGCCATCCATAATGGTATTTCCAGTTTTGTTCCTTGTGCCAAATCAGCAGTTCCACTTGAGGGATCTAAAAAACCTGTAAAGTATTCAAACCAATAAATAATTTTGCTAAAAAAATATGCTTACATCATAAAAAAGAATTTACACAAAATTCTTTTAATAATTTTCCAATACTGTCTAAGTTATCATAAGAACTTTTTTTCCAAATGTCTAAGGCTTTCGGTTGCTGTGGAAACATAGAGCTCCAGAATCAGGGTTTAAAAAACCCTGTTTTTTTAAACCCTGATTAAAAAAAACCCTGTTTTTTTTTTGTCTGGGTTTAAAAAAACCCCGTTTTTTTAAACCCTGATTCTGAATCCTGTTTGTCTCTGATCCTGTTTTTTTTTGTAAAAAAAACTTTGTTTTTCAAAAAAAAACAAACAAACCCAGGTGGGTTTTATTGAGTTTTTTAAGATATTACCTAGTTTAACCTTTTTTAAGATTTAATTTTTAATTCAAAACAGAACAATTTTAATTAAAAGAAAACTTTTATACAGAAATAATTAAGATATGAATTACAATAAAAAAGTTTTATTTTTAATGTAGTATCCATCTTTCCAGGTTAGTATCAAAAGATATGTTAATAAAAGACTCCTAAATTATTTCTTTCCTTGAGTAAAAATTAAATCACAATATATTGAATCAGAGAAATATGCTGTTTTCTGTTTTATTTATTTATTATTAAACATTCATAAGTTTATTTTTTAGTTATAAAGTAAGCCTTTTGCAGACCAACTAACTGTTTATTTAACAATTTTCTTAGTACATAGTTTAAGGAATTTTTCTTTAAACTATGTATTTATAGTTAGTTTCGATTTGAAAATTCCAGAATCAATATATTTAAGATAAATATGAAATCCTTAAATCTATTTCTCGTTTATCTTTATCAATCTATTTTGATTATGTTTATAAAAACCCATTTGAGCGCAGGTTTTATTGTTGTTTTTTTAGTGGATTTTTTAAGAAAACCCATCCGAATTTTTTTGGATTTGTGGGTGGGGTAAAAACCTTGTTCAGAACCGTTTCCTTAGAAAACACAAATGAAATTAGTCAGTGCAAACTTAATTAGCAGCCAGTAATTTAATTGCTGTTTCAAGAAATTTTGGATAACATGTTTCACACTGTCATAACTAAAAAACTGTTTGACGAAACAAGCAATATGAGATTTCCCATATTTTTAGAGGAATAAATAAAAAAACATTCTGACATTAAAATGTTATTGATGTGGTTGTTACTTTTTAAGTTATTTTACCTCAAAGCTAAAGATTTCTTTCTGCTAAAGCTAAAAATTTCTTTTCTTGTTAAAAAAACATGTAGATGTTTCTCACAGTTGTTGCCAATTATTTGGCTACAGATAACGATATGGAAATCTCCCCGCACTTAGCTCGACAAATCACGAAACATCAATAATTCCATTTTTAACAAATTAATTTAATGGTCTCTTTATTTACATACCTAATTTCTTTACTCCTTGATCAAAACGGCAAGGTAATCTCTCTTCAGTAGCTAATATATCATCTATTGAAAAGTATTGCTCCTCGGCAAAAACAAAACTTCGTTTAGTGAAGTTCATTGCTGATAGTGCAGTGTCAATGACATCAAGTTCAGTCTACAGAAAATTTGAATTTCTCAGAAATAATAACATAAAACTATATTTTCCATAAATCTAGATAAAAATAATGATTGAGATAATTTAAGTGCACAGTTTGGAAAGTTAAATGATAGAAAAAAAGTTACAATGTTCAAATACCTGAAACTTTGAAAAACGAAATGCAGCTTTAGATATCGCGGGTTTTTTACGTTTGTAAACAAGTTGTGTTCTCCATTCTCTGGCAGAATATGAGTGAAAGAAAACTTTAAACTGTTTCAAATGATGCAACTGAGAGTTACCGAATAAGTTGTCAGAATTATGCAAGTTACAGTATTTTCGAATTGCATATTTTTCAATGTTTTGTTCTGATTCAGTCGATTCAGTTTATGATCATAAACGAAATATTTGTATCGAAATACTATTAGTATCTTGTTGCCAAATTATCATGTTCAAAGAAAAATAACAAGTAAATTGAATATTTTAATTATTTCAATTATTTATAAAATTATTGATTGCAAACAATTTAAAAATATTCATTTTTATTGGATATCATCTTTATAGTTTGATTTTTTCAATTACAAAACGAAATTAATTTCTCAATTATTTGTTCTTAATGGCCACAAGCATGCCTCAGCCTCCGAACATTTCGTCATAATTGCGTTTAAAATCTATTTTCGGATTTTCGGCAGTGTTTACCTTTTAAATTTTAATGAAAAGGAAAAATTGATTCCATATGTGATTGCTCATTGCTATTTAAAGTAAGTAGTATTTTGTGATTTTCAATCAAGTATGATTAACTTTTGCTTTCATTAAAGAAAAGTGATTTATTTTAAACATTATGTAATATCAAGTGTTTTGTCTTAAATCTAGCTTACTGTCAGATCAAATACGCCAAAGATCTAGAGTTCACTATCTTTCTCTTAGGTACTGAATTGTGTTAGAAGCAATAGATTTTAAATCTTACATTTGCCCTTTAAGTCATGCTATGATCTAATTGACTACTTTATATGTATTAATCAGTTAATGCATAAATCTGATTATTTTTCTTGTGTTTAATATTTTTTTTTAAGTGTTACTGTTAAGGTAACGTTCTTCTATATTTCATATGCTGATATACATGATGTATATCGTATAAAGTTAATCCTGCTTAAAGAATACCATTGGTTCCAGTCAACTGTATTCAAAAGCGAGTTATTCGATAATGAGGACAGTGCATAAGTTCTTCTTAAATGCTACATTTTAACAAGGTTTGAAATCGTAAGCAGTACATTCTAAAATGTTATAAAGGAATAAAGTCATTTTAATAATTAATAAGCAATTATAACTGGAGCTGCTAGCTTTAATATAAAATTTAAATCACATTTAAAGTTACATAATTATAACCCAATTTTTACGAAAAGTAGAGGAATCTTTCTTTCTGAGGTAATGTTTTTTTTGACAGATATTTAATTGAACATTTCTCTACTTCTTACTTTTACGCATTCTAGATGGTGAAGTATGTCAAAGACAGATTACCTCCCTCTTTTTTACTGTATAAATGTTAATTTTTAAACTACAGACCTGACACCTATTTGGAGTTGGACATGTCTGTATCGTAAGCAGGAAATGTCTGTATCTGTGGCAGAATAATTGCTAAGTCTTGGTAATGGCCTGCAGGAAATTAAAAAAAAATCACAGAAAGGGACCAACTTAAAAGGTATACCTCGTAGCCACTTCCGAGCAAAGATCTGCATATTTTTTTTGAAAAAATTTGTAAGTTTTAAATCTATTCAGCACCTTGGCAATTGTATTTGGATCAATATATGAAAATATCCCCTATTTCGAGCTCAAATGGATAGGAAGGTTGTTGTTACTGACCACATCATCTTCTAATAAATCATCTTATCATCTTCTTAATAAAAATTCTATTCTAGGTCGCAAAACATTTTTTAAAAAAAATCGCTTTTTCATGTCTACAAGCTGTTCAATGATAACTGACAACCTCAAATTATCGATTAAGCAAAGAAATTCAGTTTGATTATCATTAGTTTCATATGAAGTAATGTTGTTTAACTAACTTTTATTCCTAGAAACTTGATATTTGATTATCTGATACGTAGTGAAGACAGCTGTATTATGTAATATGAATTGATAATAGAAATTTCTCAAACTCAACTGTCTTGTTAATTTTTATTTAAATCGTGAATATACCTTAGTTGATTCCTGTTGGAATCTTTCTAAATTGTTCTTAAATCTGTGTTATGTGTTTTTGCGCTATTTATTATTTTAGATTTATTCATTTCAACAATTGTTCTCAAGAATATTATTAAAAATTTATGTGTAATCAGATTTCGATTTCTGTATCATAAACCATGTAAAAAACCATATTTTGACTGAGCAGTTTTTTTTTTGTTGGTATATAAGGAATTTTTTTAAAAAAAAATTCTTTTTATTTGAAGAAGTAAAATCACAGTTCAGAGTATCAAGGTTATACACTGTATTTATATTACGTAATCACTTTGTTACAGCTTATAACATCAATTATTTCAATCTCTCTTGCAGAATGCCTTCTGTTCTGCTGGATCGATTACCTCTTCCTAGTTTGCAAACCTACACAACGATTAGTATTCTGTGTTTTTCTTGTTCTATCTACTATGCATTAAAAGTAACATCTGATCCAGGTTGGACTCTTAATGTGACAGATGCCAGTGCAATTCCATTCGAGTCAGAACAAGATGGTGAAATTGAGCCACTAGATAGCATAAGAGTATTGCTGCATAATTTGCTTATTAATAATTTAACCAAAAGACTGTATGATGTTGTCCTAGTTTTGATTGAAGAGCCTCTTTGTGTTTGGGTATGTATCTTTATTTTTTATTGTAGTCAGTTTTCTGATTCATTGTATTTAGTGAGTATAGTATGACAATAAGATTCGATTGTTAATAACTATTGTGAGGTTTTGCTCAGTGATTTTGCCCTGCTCTAACTATATTGAACTAAACACTAATTGAGTTATATTGCGAGTGTGTTTGAGTCAGGGTTAGCAAGGTTTAGGACAGAATGGATTAATCCATGGTTTAAACCCTGGTTTAAACCGTCCTGTCCAAAACCCCTTTGTCCAAAACTGTCCAAAACCCTTTTACTCAAATTATGTCACGATTTTATCTGAACAATATTTAAGAGGTAAAATAAACATAGAACTAATAACATATTGATAATTAAATATACTAGAGAATATCTGTTTTTAAAAGTATAATGTTTTATTAATATTGTTTGACTCTTCAATTTAAACAAAGGCAGATTAATCAGTAATCAAGTTCAATTGGTCCTCTCATTCAGTAGTACATAACTTAAGTTTGGCCTTGCCATACAGGTTAAAATATTAGGGACTAAGTGCTTGGTTCGTCATAAACAGGTTTATTTATCTACAGTATTATTCAAGAATACTTTTATTTCATTAATGTTCAATTCTTTTAGCATAGTGGTGATACATCACCAGTGTCAGTAACTGAAACTGATGGTATGCCCTTCAAAACTGTTAATGCATTTTTCAGTTATTTTATATTTTGAATTTAAACTAATATATTTATATTTAAAAACAATTTTTTTAAAATAGATGTCTTTTTTATCATCCTGTGATGCAGAAATTATAAAATTTTTTAAAAAAAATATTGTGAAAAATAAAAGGTTAATTTTTGAACAAATTTAGTATTTTTTTTTAAGAAAAATTACTATTTTTTAATATTGCCATATTTATCCTTATGCAAAAATATTATTTATCAGTATTAAAAGCATATTTATATTTAAAGGATTAGGTATTCACTTTTGTTGTTCAATGAATTGTGGAGCTTCAAAAAGTATAAACCTTTTCCTATTATATAATATTATTTACTTTTAATAAGGCATAGTAAATTGTATAAAAAATATCAAATATTTATTGATACATGTAATTCTTATGTGTACAATGGTTACACCTATAGAATTTTTACCTTTTACCAAAATTCAAGGTTTTGGACACTTTTAAGACAGTTTTACCCAGTTTAGGACAGTTTTATCCAGTTTAGGACAGTTTTACCCAGTTTAAGACATTAAACCCCACGTGTCCTGTCCAAAACCAGTTTAGGATGTCCAAAACCCCAACCCTGGTTTGAGTATCCCTTATAGAATGGGTATATATTGTAATTTTATCTTTTTCATTAACCCCTTAACGATCAGTTAATTTTCAGGAAAACGGTCATAAAAGTGCCTATTTTGCCAAATACACGTATTTGATTAGTGCTGACATCTAGTTTAAAATAAACTAACTATATACAATTACCTTAAAACATCATGGTACTGCCATCTGGTGTGTAAAATGAGAAATAAAATATTTTTTGGGCAAAAGAGGTGAATTATTTTTATTCTTATTGGCCTGTTACTGCTGAACACTCCAGCTCGTAAATTTCACAGGAGCAAAAAATAGAGGGCGAAACCTCACCCCGTCATTTTCACGGAAGCGAGAAGGAAGGGGCTTAAAATCTTTTGGGAACCTCCTGCATTAATTATATGTTTTAAAGATTTGCAGTAATTCTCTTTATAAAAATTAAAAAAATAGAAAAATTATTTTTTGAAAACTGATTATATTTTTCTTACCTTCTAAAGATTTTTTTAAATATTTATTTTAGAATTTTAAAATTAATTCTATACTGTATTGTCATTGCAAAACACTTAACTGTTAAAAATGTCACAATGGTAATTTTAGAAGTGAATTAATCCAAAGTTCCGAAGTATCATCTTTTCAAACCTGGCAAGGATCTTCAAATTTTTTTATATCTAGTATAGGAAATGATAAATGTCAGAATGGTAGCTTTATTTTACATTTTTTGAAGCTTAAATTCCATATATCAATTGCATAAAGTGGAAAGGAGGTATAAAATTAAATTTAATTTTATTCATGTTGCTCATATGCTCTTTCATTTCGTCTTTATACTAATAGTAGGCTATATTGAATTTATAGTTCTTATTTCTTTTTGTTATTCATCTATTTTAATGTTAACATCAAAGTTATATAAAGAAATTAAAATGTGTTAAACAAGATGGGCACTATAATTTACCTTTGTTATTGTTTTCATTTTAAAATAATAAAACAATTAATACAAATTGCTTTATGTCTATATTTAACTAACATAATGTTTGATTATTTCCCTAAAGAGAGTTTGTTGTAGTATATGTAGAACTAAAAGAATGATCCAAAATCTACCTAGTAAAATAAATTAGAATTAAATGATTTGATAAAAATAAAAATACTTTATTTTTTTTGAAAACTTATTATTCCAAAGTAATGAGAAATAATTTGAATTTAAAATAAAAAAATTAGATGTCAAATGATTTCTAAGAAATACCTCAGCTTTTTTTATTAATTCTCTTTTTTATTCAAAATTTTTTTTTATCAATATTGTTGAGAAAATGGTTAATTATCCATTAGCTAGGTATGAGACGAATTTTTTTTTGTCAAAAAGGTCACCATGTTTTTTAAAGTATTAAAAATGAATGAAGCATTTAAAAGCTAACAGTTTTCTATTTGTTTAATTTCTATTTACATTTAATTCACATGAATTAAATGTAATAAAAATCAAAGTATCAATTACTACTAGTTCACTAAAGTCAAATAAATAATTGATTTTATAGTTTATAGCTCATTTATTGATGATGAAGTTAGTCGTTTTTTTAAAATCTAGTTTTACCTAGTACCTAGTTAGTACATTACTACAGAAAAATGTATCTCATTTTTTTGTGTATTTATGTAGTTTTTATTAAAATTATCTGTATGCATTATAAAAACTTCTGTTCCTAAAACCTTAAAATTTTTTTTTCAGTCTCTTATAAATATGGTGTACTGTGTTATGATTTTGATTGGGAAAGGTATCCAGAAATTTGTTTTTGGTGATCTTAGAGTCATTGAACAACAAGTAAGATCATTTACTAAATGTCAATATATTTTTTGTACTAAAATTTTGTTTCTAATTTTTCTTTTTTTATCACTTTTAACTTTTTTTAATACTTTAATAAAGTTTGCTTTTTTTGCTATTTTTTGTAATTCTAAATAAAGAGAATAAGCTTTAGTGAAGGGACTAGTATTTGTTTAATACAAATAATTTTAATCAGTAATTTAAATCACAAGATGTTGCATTTTCTAGTCAGGCATTCTTCTTCTTCTTTTTTTGTTTTTGCTTTTTACTCTTAATTTGCTAAAAAGGCGGAATTATTTTAGATTATTTAAAAAATTTCATATTTAGAAATTTAAAATTGTGTATAATTAGTTATAATCAGCATGAATTTCACAGTAATATTTATTATTAGTATTATATTACATATTTGGTAATAGTATTATATATTATTCTTTGTGTGCTATTTGCAAAATCTGGAAATGAATGAATTGCTGCAGTAAAGTTATAATAATGGTAAATAAATGTTGTCTTTCATGTTCAAAGTTATTGAATTCCTTAATACATAATTATGTAGATTAATACATTTATTTGTAAATCAAGCTTCCTATAATAATCTAATTAAAGATTTTATAACTTTAAAAATTTTCAGGGCTTAATATCTAATCACTAATTTACTTTAGAAATATATATATATATATATATTTTACCGCTTTTATACCTATTTGTAGACATTCATTGAAAAATAAGTTTAATATTTTTTTCAAATTTAACCTGTTTTAATTTTGTATATTGTAAGATTACTTCAAATAAATTTTTAAAAATTACTGACACTATATATGAAAATTGTTTCTAAAAAATTTTAGTAACCGTTTAAAAATAAATGAAAGATTATTTTGAGATGAATAATAATAATTTTTTAAATAAATTCAATTGATTAAATTTTTAATAAAATTGAGATAGCTCAATATATTTTTAAATTTTTTTGACAAATGTATTCCTTTATTAATGTTTTAATTTGTAACATGATTCTTAATATGTTTACCAGTGTTACACATCTTTCTTTCTTTTTTTTTAAGAACCATTCATTTCAATATAACAATAATAATTTCTTTTCAAAGTCATATTTTATGCCTTACTTGAAAAATAAATTTTAATTTAGGAAAGAAATATTCTACATCAGGATAGTTAGGTTATCAGCCAAATGTATAAAGAGTTATTATATTTTTACTTTTTTAAATTATTTCCAAGTTGTAGCAATCTTTAAACTTAGAAAATTGTTATTAACTTATAAACTTTCAAACCCTAACTTATTTAGACTTTTAGTGGCTGTTTCTTTAATATTTCTTTCCCTGTAAATATTTTGTGTTACACATTTCAAGATAATAACAAATGTTTTCTTTCACTTTTTGTAGCATATGAAGGACAAATTTTGGAATTTTGTCTTCTACAAATTTATTTTCATCTTTGGAGTTCTGAATGTTCAATATATGGATGAAGTGATACTTTGGTGCGGGTGGTTTTCTTTTGTTGGTGCTTTCCACTTGCTCTCTCAGTTGTGTAAAGATCGATTTGAATACGTAAGTTTAAATGTTTTTTTAACAATTATTAATTAGTGTTTTAACATTGAAATATATATTTAATTTTCATTTCTATATTTATATCTATTTAGCTATCTTTTTCACCTACCACCCCAAAATGGACACATTTGCGTTTATTTTCCTTAATTTTCTTCATTCTTGGTGTATCAGTTGGCTTGTGCACTATTGTTGGACTTTATGCAAGTTTGAACATCTTTTTCTTCATGGCTGCTGAGGTGAAATTTTTTTATTATTTATCCCTCTCAAATATTTTTTTTAAAAAATTATATTTATTCCTTTAAATTTTTCTTTATTTAGTTTTTATATTGAAATTAGTTTTATTTCTGCATTACATTTTTCAGTTTGCAAAATATAATATTCTGTAATTTTTGGAATATAATCTGTGACCAATTCTGTTATAAGTATGACATTGGTAATTGATGGGCTTAAATGCATCAGAAGATTAAAAAAAGCATTTATTCTTCATATGGGTCATTCTCACGAAAACTGTCATTTTTCAATTCATAAAGAACCAAAAAAGTAAAGTGAATAAAAAGCTCTGAAACTTTTTATATTAATAGAAATATGTAATGGCATTATAAAGAAAGTATATATCATATATCTTATACTTAATATTTAAATTAATTAATTAATTTCACTATTTAAAAAGTGAGGGAATGACATTTTATTTTAATACATGTTTTTCTCTAAGTTACAGCTACCTCAAGTTTGAAAATGATAACATACTAAGTATATCTAATATTTATTATAATTTAGTTTTATATATTTAATAGTTTTTACAGGTTTGGGAAATAAAATTGGCTGGCACGATTGAACAAAAAAAAATTTAATAATATACTCATCTTGAATCATTCCCTCACTTCAGCGTCATTCCCTCACTTTATACACTAGTGAGGGAATGACGAATTCAATAAAATTTAAAAATAACAGTTAGGCCTAATTAATTTCTGAAGTCAATCACATACAATTATATTCATACAAGAAAGCAACATATAATTATCCACTTTCTCGATGAAGTTGTATTTTATTTTACTCTAAAAAATGACATGAGGGAATGACAAATGTAAAAAATTTTACCTGGTTTGATTCATTCAAATTTATTCCACAGCAAAGCTTCTTTAAGTTGAAGATGAAAACATACTGCAATTTTGTTCTATGATGTCAGTTGTTAACTGCTAAAATTTTTATTAAAATATTTTTATTCTAAGAAGATTGCAAGTGATAAGAACATTGGTGTGAGGGAATGATGCGAAACACTAGGGACAAAGTTTAAAATAGTGTTGCGTTAATATTTTTATCAGAAATTAAATTTAAAATTGATTTTCTGAATTCTGTATTTCAATATTCTGAAATCAAATACACGAATTTGTAATTTTTTTTTTTAATTTTAGAAACAATTTTTTCTTTTTCTAAATCAACAGTGGGGACAAGTGAGGGAATGACATATTGGTATATTTTAATTGCCTAAAATAAATAAAAAATAAAAATTTATAATTTTATTTTTATTCTTTTGTTAGCCTGCATTCTGAAGGACACTTTCCCAGAAATGTTTTTTTTCGTAAGCTGTAAAACAAACATAAAATGCACTTAGGACATGAAAATGACTGTTTTTGTGAGAATGACCCATATAGATATGTCTTATAAATTAAACTGTTTTGAGTTTGCATAACAGTTTTTGTTCGATGAAACGAAATTCTGGAATTTTTCTGTATTTGTATAATTTAGAACGTATATGTATAATCTAGAAAAAAAACAAGAACTTTCCAGATTTTTTTTTGAATAGTAAATGGTATGTAAAACATAAATAGCACAAGGCTTTTATATCACTGTTTGAAAATATCTCCTTTTGAATTATTATAATTTCCGTCTTTCTGCTTCCAACTAAACTTTATATGATTTTCATTTTTCAGTGGACTCTTGTTATTTTAAGAACTCTTTATGTTCTTGTAAGGTGAGTATTTTTATTTTTTTAAATAAAATATTTTCGAGAACTTTCAATAACTATAAAACTGTAAATAAATTATTCTCATGAACTTTTTAAGGTAATTAAAATTTTTTTGCATGCAATTATAAAATTTCTAGTGATAATTCCTTGCAAATAATAAATTATAGTAAATATTTACTATTAATTATTATTTTATTTAATAATAATCGAAAATATTGTGAATTGTAAGGTATAAAGTATTTTACATCATTTTAAAGTATGTCATTTCAGAAGGCAAAATACAAAGTTTGAGAGAAATCAGTTAAACAGTTCCCGCGCGAGAAATTGAATTTTAAATATACGACTTTTTTAAAATTCCATTTCTCAGGAAATATTTAACTGATTACGCACAAATTTTGTATTTTGCCATGTAAATTTATATACTTTAAAATTATGCAAAAAATTTTATACTTTACAATTCGAAATTTTTTCGAGTATTTAATAAAATAATAAAAAATTATAAATATTCACTAAAATTTATATTTTGCATGGAATTATCTTTGCAGAAATGAATTTTATAACTAGGTGCAAAACCTTTTCCATTCACTTAAAAAAAGCTCTTAAGATTGGCGAATTACGCTAAGATTAAAATTAACATTAAGGGGTCCAAATTTTGGATTGTTCTGATCAAACTATATACCACATTTCCCAGATTGCGGCTACTCCCTGTACTTGGGACATTAGAATTCTAAATCCGCTGAAGAAAAGAGTTATATTTATTCAGAGAAAGTATGTTTTTGTGTCTGATTTTGTATATTAAAATATCATCTGTACTAATTAGAATATTTGAAGTCACCTACTTAAAACTCTATCATTGAGTCCTAGAACATGAAAATCTGATCATAAGATCAAAAGTTATTCCGAGTTCTTCTAAGTGGTTCTTTTTTCGGCGCTATGCACATTATTAATGTTATTGGATGGAACTAAAACTTTAACCTTTTAAAACTATTGTTAAGGAATATATATTTATTTATTCAATTTTCTTTAATCATCTGTAAAAATTTCATTTAAATTTTCTAATCTATAGTGAAATTCTTAACATTTCATTTTGATTTTACTTATCCTGCATATTCCATTCAAGCTCAAATCCTTATTATTTCAGGTATGTTATTCATTTGTATGACGTAACTCATGAGGGTATTTGGGAGAGAAGAGGAATCTACACTTACTACTCAGAACTCGTATTTGAATTGTCAAGTCTTGTTGTTGATTTCTTGCATCATTTGCATATGTTGGTAAGTCCTTATTATGCTAGCATTTTCCTTGTACAACTCTACAATGTTATTTTTGTATTGAGTTTTTGAAATAACAAACCTGTTGCTTCTTGATTGAATTTTTTCTTTATAAAGTTCTGTCTCTTCTATCACTCACTAATATGTTATGAAATTAAGCAAATTAAAGCCAATATAGTAAATATGTTAAAAAGCACAGTAGAAATTAGCTTTGCAATTGGTATTTTTATGTTGATTTTTTCATAAGACCTATGGTTGCAAAATTGAATTTTCATAAATAAAATTCTGTCTTTTTTGTTATTTATTTTGAATTTAAGTGAATTGAGAAACCTGAAAAAATATTTTAAAAAGCAGATTTTGAATATCATTAAGTATCAGAAATCAATGATCTGGCCCTGTTGATTATGTAAGTTAACATCACATTTTTTGAAATTATCTTAATTTTCTAATATTTGTGCTTTTTTAATTATAATGAAATTATCAAAAATTTTCTAACTATATTCTGTTATAGTGTCTCATGGTCATTTTTAAATTATTGATTAGCAGTTATTAAAAAGTCAAATAGTTGGAACAATCTAACATATTATGTAATTTTTTTAAAATTTATTTATTTTACTTGCTGATTGACACAATGTAGATTAAATTTAATACTATTAATGAATTCTTATGTGTGCTTATGATTTTATTTAAATTATTTTTATTTTCATTTTTTTTGTACCAGCTATGGCGAAACATTTTCCTTTCTGTTGCAAGCCTAGTCATTTGCATGCAACTTCGTTGCTTCTTCAATGAAATACAATTGAAATACATTAGGCATAAAAATTATTTACGTGTGTCAAGGCATATGGAGAGCAAGTAAGCATATATTTAAATAGTTTATTTAAAATTATTAAAATTCCACTTAAGGAATAAATTTTTTTTGTATTTTATTCAAACACTTTTGTGTGTTATTTTTTAGTTGAAATTCATATTCCAATTTGCTCTTTTATACATATTTTTTAAGTTAAATAAAATTTTTATTCACCCTTCATTTATTTTATAAGTTGTCTTTGAACTGTGATAATTTTTGTTTTTTTTTAATTTTTTACCATATAAATGTTTCATAAATTATTTTTTTTTGTTTATTTAGCAAAACGAAAGAAAAATTTCATTTTTCAAAGGTAAAAATCGATAACTTTAAAAAAAAATTCAATTGATTGATGGTTTTAGTTTTGCATTACAACTTATTAAGCTAAGAATTTGGCTATAATACTTTTCAATCAATTAATAACTTATTTGCTTCCTCAGAATGTTTTTCTTTCTTTTGTTAATTCTTCCATACATTTTTGCTGTATCTAGATTTTTTTATACATTAATGTTAGTTTTTTAATGTAGTCCACAATCATAAAACTACTTTTTTTCCATCTTAGAAACATAACTTTTATTGGTATTTAATATTGATTTTCTTTTTTTTTTTAGTTTCTTTTTTATAAATAGGTTTCATAAACTTATTCACTTGTCTTCTCACCCTAAAATATGTGAACAAAGATTGTTAAAAAGAAATAACTCTAAAATCAATCGCAGCTTTGTTTACAATCCTTTATCAACTGCACATTATTATCTGATAAGTCTTTTTTAAGCTATTTCATTTAAGCTTATTATCTGATTAGTTTTTTTTTAGTTATTACTATTGCACTTAGCTCTAAATATAATAAGTACCAGATTAGAAATTTCTGGATGATCTATTAATGTTCAACTGTGTGTTATCTATGATCCAGAAAATTTTTTAAGGCTCTCATTGAGATAAGAAAGACTATTTTTAGAGTATTGTTAATCTCAATTTATATTGATTTGAAATAGAAAGTCATTACCTTGATCGTTTCTAATATCTTATTATAAAAATTATTTTTACTCACTTTTGGCTCCAGTACATTTCAGAATTGTGCTATCAATTTTAATTCGAATCTTGCTGTTTTAATTCTGCTACTGATTTTTAAAATTTTTTTTTCTATAAATACTTTTCTCAATTTGTTTGAATAAATAGATTTTGAAGAGTGTATTTAAATATTAATTGATTTATTTTAGAATTATCTTAAAGTTGAAAATAAGTGCGCAATTTGTAAATTTTTTACATGTTTAACTTCATTTTTTTCAAGGCAAAAATGTCCCGCAGTGGACTGATCGTTAAGACACGGTTACCAGCAGATCACCGAAGTCAAGCATCACTGGTTGCGGTCAGTGTGCGGGTGGGTGACCCACTTGGATCAGTCTGCGTAGGGACCAAGGGTGTGCGGTATTGGTCCTCGTTAAACTGTGCTACCGTAAAGTGCTCGACTTCGCGTGCAGGTCGTCGGGCTACCGAAGCGGGGGTGCCATCCCCTCTGCAGAGGATCAAAATTGTGATGGCATGTCTTCGGATCATCCTCAGGGATGTTTCCCAGACCGTCGCCAATAGCCCATTGTGTAGCTTTAGTGCGACGTAAATAAAGTACCTACCTATCAAAGCAAAAATAAAGGATAAAATATATAGATAGTGATTATTAAATGTTTTTCTTATATCTTGAATTTTTCTACTACCACTTTCAGAACGTATTTGTATAATGTTTCTTATATTGATTATTGTATATAATATTTTTGTAAAGTCCCTTAAGATATCTAATATATAACAGACTAATAAGAAGTTATTTATCTTAATAATAAACATTAGTTCACAGGTTCTTTAGTAGTGTGAGTTAAACTTGAAGATTGGGCCTATGATTTTTCAAACTATGTTCATTTCCGACCATCAAAGATTTTATGATCAAAACTTGGGTCTATATCACAGGCGGATCACAGACAGAGATGATTATTAAATGCTTTTGTTACATCTTGAATTTTTCAACTACCACTTTCAGAATGTATTTGTATAAAGTTCCTTTTATCGATTATTATATATATGGTTAAAACTTAGGTTAATATCACAGGCAGATAGAAAAGCTGATTTTGCTCAAAGTCTTTTGATTGGTCTGGTATAGAAGCTAAAGCTTCCAAGCAAATAAGATCTTCAAAGCTGAAGCATTGCATCACACAAATGATTCCAACTTTTTTCTTAGAGAAGTTTTCAAAGATCTTTGAACTTTATGTCAAATGCATGGATTTTTAAGGAAATAACTTTTAAGTACTATGTTTCTATGTTCTGTAGGTTTAAGAATAACTTTGTTCTGTAAATCTTGTATTTTTTCCATTGGTGGATTAAATCATTGAATGCCTATTATGCTAAAAGTATAATTATAATTTTTATAATAATTATTTTAAATATTTTTCCTATTTTAGTTATCCTCTTGCTACTAAAGAAGAAATAGAAACTAATAATGACGATTGCGCCATCTGTTGGGATCGTATGGATACTGCAAGAAAATTACCTTGTGGCCATATGTTTCATTCGTGAGTCTAACTTTTTTAGCATTTAAATTGATTTAATTATATGATATTACAATTTTTTAAGTATATTATTTAACTACAGTTTAAACTATAGTGAGAAGTAGATAACTTTTATCTTTAAACATTACAAAGGAGTAAAGCTTAAAACAGCTTTATATATTTAGAACTGCAGTAATATTCAAAATGAATGAGCATTGATCCTGGGATTAAAGTAATTCTATTAAAGATAATTTTTTAATATCAGTAATGGTTTTTCTTTTTTATTAAAATTTAAATTACACATCTTGCTCTGGTTTTGTTAAAGGAGGTGTTTATTGTTATGAAATCAGCATGTAGTTTAGAAAAAAGCTTATTACAAAATAAAATTATCAACTATATCTCATTGATTTTAGTCTCTACTATTTAAAAAGATCATTTGAAAAATTAAGGTAAGAAAATGTATACATGATTTCCTGTTTGATATTCACACTAATTATGAAGTGCTTCATTATAAGGTTCGATTAGACCGGAGAATAACCTCTCACCAGATGGCAAATAATCAATAAAAGTAGTGACTTAATTAAGCAACTGGTCACTTTTTCTCATAGTTTTTTTTGTTAGAAAATTATTTAATGATAAAAGAGCATCAATGCAGAATGATTCTTGAAAGCAGAATTTTCATTAAAATTTCCAATGTCTCCATTCAAAATTTTGATCCTTCAAAATCCAACAATTCATAATAGAAAGATTCATATTTCAAAGTTGTAATATGTGCATTAAATGCATTTTGCCTCCCCAAATATTATTAAATATAGTTTTTTAAATTCAGTATGTTTAATTAAATTTGTCACATATTTATGTTATCATTATTCTTGAATTAACTTTTTTTAGCCATAGATTATTTCAAATGCGAATTTTTAAAAAATATAATTTAATCCTTTTAAAAAAAGTTTGCCAAAGTGGTTATTAATTGAAAAGGACCTATGTATGAAAAGGATTTATATCGGTATGTATGAAAAGGATTTGAGTCTACCAGCAACTGGCTACTGAATAAAAATATAATTTTTCAGGTCTTGGTTTGATCCAAACAGTATTGTTTCAGATTTTTTGAGTTATCTATCTTAAAAGATATAAAGCATTTTTTAAAAAAAAAATTAATGCTAATAAATTAAATAAATTTAAATAGGCCAAACATTGTGTTATTTAGTATCCATTCAAAATCAAATTTTAGTGTATTCTTAGCTCAGATCTAAATACATATCTTTCTGTTATCCAATTATAAGTTAATTATGATTTACACTTATGACTCATCATGAATTGAATCATAGTAGCAACTTTTTGCATTGGAGCCTCAGCTATCAGAACAGTTCTCTACATGTTTGTCTGAGATAATTTAACATAGGTGTTTTTACTCCATGGATCATTTAAATATTATTGAGTCCTTTTTATTGGACGTAACTACAATTTTCAAACTTATTTAAACTCTACTGACCACTTATTATTCAGATTATGTTTGATTTACTTTTAACAAATTTTGCTTCAGATCTTGTTTGCACTCATGGTTAGAACAAGTTACGAATTGCCCAACCTGCCGTACACCTCTTGTGCAAAAAGAAAACAGTAATAACTCAAGGTCAGATTTAAACAGAAACATTCTGGGTCAAGAGGATCAGCAACGTCAAGCAAATCCAACTACTAATCATTTCTTCCACTTTGATGGTCAGTATTTTGTTGTATCTTAATTCTAAATTATTAATCATTATTTGATTCAATAGACATATTAAGTCCTTGTAATTATAGCTTTCATTTCTTAAGTTTTTATAAATGGTATTGTTTTTTTTAATTTATACTATTAGTTTTCAATTGTCAGTATTATTATTATTTTTTATCTGTTTGTAGTTAACTTTTTTCACATGCATTTTTTAAAAAAAATAAATAGATTTTAATAAATAAATGAATTGTCAATTAAATTAATGGACAACATTCCTTATACTGGAACTGAATACTGCTAAATAAAATGAATTATAACAGTAATTTGAATTGAAATTAATTGTTATAAAAGTGAGGAAAAAATTTCGCTTATATGTATAGAAAGTAATTTTTCTTATCCAATCTTTGTACCACAGTCGAATACATTAAGCCTCACTTACAGACAACACTGTCAGGGGTCTGTCCAGGCCAAATTTACTACTGTTTAGTGGTACCTTCACAAATTCAACTTAAGGAAAAACGGTAGCTTCACAAAATACTTTTTCTTAAAATTTTGTTTTTGTATCCCTTAAGAATGAATAAAAACATATTTTTGTGTTGATTTTTTAATATTTTTAATTTTTCACAAATTATGTCTAAATTTTCACAAAATAGGTACCTCTCAGAAAAACCTAGACAGACCCCTGATTGTATTTCTGTACAGGAATGGAAACCTCATGCAGTGCAACAACATTATTAAAAATTTTATCATACTTTTCCAAATTTGTCTTATAAGTACAATATTTTTATCATTATGAATTTAATACTTATATATATCAAATGCTTGAACAATGTTGTGTTAATCTACTGCATCAAGAATTGTGACAAATTAGCCTTTTTAGAGAACCTATTAAGGATTAAAGGAAACTACTCTGCTGTTGTTTTTCTTGGCGAAGAAAGCTGTAAAAACTTCCAATTGTTTATCTGACAGCAAGAAGACTTTACTCACAATATGTCTGCAATATTGTGAGTAAAGTCGTCTTAAGTAAATACATTAGCCATACCATCCAGGATGTTTTTCATCAATCCTGGAGCAGTTTTCAAATTGACCAACTGCCATTGGCATTTGAACCTGGGTCCTCATTACTAGGGTTAAATGGTTTAAATCACAATTCAGATCACTTGATTTTTAAAAAAAATACTTGACTTCATCACTTGATTCATTTTTAAGAAATTACTAATTTAAGTCAATATTTAATACTATATTAAATAAAGGCATCTTAACCTTTTTTAAGTCTAATTTTTGTATATTAAAGTTTTATATAAAAATAACGTTTTATATATAAGAACGTTTTATTATATAAAAATTATTTATGTAAGTCTATTTTAAATATTGTGATTTTTCCAATTTCATTGAAAAAGAAGATTTTATTCAGAAAGTAAAGAAATTGAGTGTATGTAAATTATTAATTGATATCCAATTTTTTTAAGCCTAAATGTTGATAAAAGTGGGAAAAATAGCACTAGATATACTAAAATGTCATGTCGTTGCCAGTTTGATAGAAGATTTTAAGATGAAAATGAAAGTAATCCTGAAAAAATAGTGCAAAATCATATGTATGAATTAAAACTGAAGAGTAACTTTACAATTAGAATATTTTATTTGTTATATCTTATTGTTTGGGGTATTAATTTTCTCACATAATCTCCAATTTTTTTATTCTTATTGAATGAATATTTTTTGTGTTTGTAATTTAAAATGAACTACAAGGAAAGAAAATTGAAAAAAATCATGAGAGATATAATATTGTATTTGATAATTAAAGAATGAATCATGATTTTTAAATGTATCAGTAAAAACAGTGAAATTACAGACTAGCTAAGAAAAAAAATACCAAGAAAGAAGATGACAAGACCTAATTTTTTGCACAATTTTTTAAAAAAAAAAGTCTTAAAAGTGTTTTTAGAAAGTGTATTAGATTTTATAGTATTGAAAATAAAAGTCTTCCTTTTTTTTTTTTTTTTTTTTTTTTTTTTTTTTTTTTTTTTTTTNAAATTTAACCTTTGTTTTGTATAAAATAATATGTTAAAGCTTAATAGTCATAAAAGTTTTTATTTCTAGTATTTTCATTAGCTTATTTTCTTTTTAAATAATGATAATAAAAGCTTTTAATATTAATTTTTCTTAAAAATATTTTAGGTTCTCGTTATGTAAGTTGGTTTCCAAGTTTTTCTGTTGAAGTTAGTCACACAAGTTTATTAGGAGATAGACCACAAATAATTCCTATTCAGACATCACAGCTTGATAGTATGGTAAGTATTGAAATAATTGAAGGAACATATGACTGAAAAATATGACAGTTATTTTATTGTTGTTTATTATTTTGGTTTGTTTAATTAAACTAAGAAGTTTGACAACCGAAGTTCCACGTAAAATAAGCATATTTTTGGAGTTTTTTTCTGGGAGACAATGTATAAATTAAATTTCAAAAAAGACCTTTTGTTTTAAAAACTAACAAGCTATAGAAATTAAATGTTCCATAGTGATACAAAAGAAATAGTGCTGTTCTTCCCTGAAACATTTCTTTTTGAGAGGTATCCAATCCAAAACTATCAAAGTACATGCTGTTTTTAAGTTATAATTAATTTATTTTTTGATTATGTATGTTAATAACTATAGTAAAGATAAGGTATTTTTCGATTTACCAATTTTTCAAGAATAGTGTGTCTTTTAAAATAAGGTTTCAAAATTCCTCTCAAAAAATCATTAAAAGAAAAAACTGTGCAATGAAAAAAATTTATTATTCTACAAGCAAAATGCTTTTGAAGTTTTCTGGATGCTTTCTTCTTTAACATTTGAATTCACAGATATTTTCCCTGCCCTTTAGGTTTATCTTTTTAAAGTATTAAAGTAAAATCTTAAAGTGGATCTGCCCCTTAAATTAGTTAAAATGTAATTTATTTGATTAGCTTAGTTATTTTAAGTATTTAAAATGTGTGTTGAGTTTAAATCTAGTCAATATTTGCAGAGATTCTATCTGGGTGTATTTTTCTTCCTTGCCAAGTTTGCTTTAATTTTTTTGTTTAGGTATATTGCTTTTAGGGTAGAATATATTCTGGTGTTCTAATGAATTGACTGAAAAATTTAATTGGCAATTTAATTTTTATAATTTGTTTTATTGTTAATTTTCTTTTAGTTTTTATTACTTTCTAATACTAATGTTTCTATATTGTTTAGGTACATCAAGTCCTTCAATTATTTCCTCACATGCCATATAATCTAGTATTAGAAGATTTATTAACAACCAGATCTGTTGAATTTACTGTTGAAAATATCTTGGAGGAAAGATTAACAGCTCCAACTGTAAATATTGAATTTTAATATTTCTTTAAATATATAATAATAATCCAATTTTTAAAGGGCTTTGACGAGTGATAAAAATTCAATTTTAAAAGCTAATTTGTAAGTAAAAATATTAAAAAAAAATCCAACTTATCCAATTTGTTTTTTTACTGCAATATAAAAGTATATCTAAGGATTTATGTAGTTTTTTTAAAGGATATGTTCTTCTACTTGTGTAGAAGTATATAAAGTTTCCAGCACTTTAGACACTAAAAGTTATTTATGTTTTTTTTAAAACCTGTCCTGTATTTTTCTAAAAAAGTATTTCTTCACAACATATTTATGTTTTGTCCATGTAAAAACTACCAAGTTTATATTATTTGTTCGATTAATTTATTTAGAATTGTTAATTGTTTCTTTTTTTATGTCTGAAAGTAAATAAATTGTTTGATTGACCTCTTTTTGGCACTTTTTCCATTAAATTATTAAATGCAAAATGTAATTTTTTTTGTTTTTATATAATAATTATACTTAAAGTATATTTCAAGATAGTTTCATTAAAGTAATGTATATTATTTTTTAGACAACAATGTTCCCTCCCACTCCTCCTGCACATTCTCCAACTTCTAATAGGACTTCTCCTTTTAGTATGCTTTTGGTAAGACAAAAATGTAAAAGTTTTTGTTTAAAATTTATGTGCATTATTTTCTTATTTTGTTTTATTATTTGAAAAGGTTTCAAGCATATTTGTAGCATATTTATAAAGTATTTACGCATATTCATAAAATATTTATGGTTAAAAGCATATTCATTAAATATTTACGATAATAATTTGGCTGGTGTTCTGTAAGATTTATAGTTATTAATTTGAATAATTTTTATGCATGTTTCAGACAGGGATGAGATTTTTCCGCTTTTTAGCGGATTTCCGCTTTTTTCACTTTTATCTCTTGAATTTCAGTTTTTTTATCAAAAATTCAGAGATTTTCTAAAAATTTCACTTTTTTTTATAAGTATTCCGCTTTTTCAGAAAATTCACCGATTTTCAAAGAGAAACAGAAAATTACAGAAAATACATAGCTACCAATCCTTTCTCATTTTTACTTATTTTAGCTATTTTCTCCCCTNATAAATGTTAAGTATCAATGTAATCATTTATATAATAATAGATTAGTACACAATTGTATGTCAGCACATCATTTATTACCTTAAACTGTCTGGAATTTATTATTATAGGGTTGCGCTTGCGTAAAATTTACTATCGTGGAAATTCAGCTTTTTTGCCTTTTTGCTAATCTCATCCCTGTTCAGAGACAGTTGAAGATTATAATATTATACTGTCTTAAATCTATACTATGCTGCAAAGAGGAATTGCAAGGTGTAAATAATGGCAACTGCTTTACAAATACTTCAATAATTTTTTTCTACAATTTCACATTTTTCATCCTTGATTATGGTATTGAAATTAATGCACTGAGTATAAATAAATCTATTATTCCCATTTGGAAAAAAAAAATGCTGACCGGTTTGCATAGGGGTCTAGGAACTGGCCTTTCATTGGAAAGGTTCTTGTTTCGAAATCCCGGGCAAGGCATGGATGTTCTTTCATTCTTTGTACTATCTGTCCTTACTGTGGGAGCAACGTTGGCCCCTTAAATAGTTTCTAACAAATTTACCCTTCAGATGCCTGTAACAAGAAAGGTCATTACCAAGATGGTCATTGAAAGAAAAAAAAAAACATTTGAAAAATTATTAGTGAAAAATGGTACATTTTGAAAAATTATTAGTGAAAAAGTAACATTTTGAAAATGTTTAAAACTTTGGGTTAAAAGTATATAGCTGTAAGTGTAGAATATTAGTTTTTAAATAATTTGTGAATTTTTTGAAACTGCTGAACAATTTTTTGTAGAAAACAGATTCCTACTGTTTTTTTGATATTCCTGATAAAATATTTTGTCTTTATTTGTCCCTATTATTAGTTTTGCACTCTAATATTCCTGATTTTTGCGTATGTTCTGAATATCTGTTTTCCTAAGAATATAAATGTGATTTTTTAAGGAATGGATTCGAAGAATGGAATAGTTTGGATTTTTGACCCAACATCTTTTTATTTCAATTAATAATGATAGTAGAAATAGCAAAATTCAAAAGTTCTAGTTTTTGCAGGGACCTTCTACTAAATACGTACATAGTTCAGACATATAGGCTTACAGGATTCGTTGTTTAAACCTTTTTGAGAATTCAGTTATTCTATGAAGAAGAAATTCACTTAAAAATTTTATATCATCAAAATTTTATGGTGATGAATTCATGGGTCATAAACTTATTTATTATTCATGCAAATCCTGTGACATATTATGGAAGGTGGACTTTTGTAGTTTCACAATTACTGATTCGTTTCTTTCATCTAATTTTGAAATTGAATGGAAATTAAAGTGATTTGATTACAGAAATTTTAAACTACATTGCTAAATTTAATTATATAATAGTGCGAGGGAGTATTAACTAAGTGATATTAGTTATTTTTTTATAATGTAACAATAATGCAAAAATTTTTCATGCATTGATTGGAAGTTCATATGAGTTGTTCAGTATTGATAGAAATATACTGTAAACTGTTAAACTTGTTGTTGTCTTTAGCAAAGTAATTCTGAGATTAAAAATGGAGTATTTCGTATTTATTTTGTGGCAAAATTTGCTTGTAACACTCTAGAGCAAATTATACTTTGTTTTTAGTTTGATGTTTGCCTTTTTCAAAAGTTATCTAATATATGTTTATTGTACTAAAAAATGCCTTGCTTTTTTGAAAAATTTGGCCCTGATTATTTCTTTGATTCACTACAAAACCTGCGTTTTATACAGTTAATGTTCCTAAATTTACTAAAATTACACTTAACACTCTCTTGCTCTAAACTTTTCAAAAATTAAACAAACAACCTAACTTGTGTACTTTTTTGTATGGTGTGCATATTTTATGCACATAATTTATTCTGACTTTTTGCATAAAAACTGCACCCTGAAAAATTATTAATGGTCCAAGTTTAATAAAGTATGTTTTTTTGCATAAATAAGTATCTTTAGATTTTCATTTATATAAGTGAGAATTATGTGCTAGTTTATTTTCAAATATTATATCTTTAAATTAAAGTTTTTAAAAATATTCTATAAAGTAATACTAAACGAAAAAAAAATTAGTTTGCCGTATTTTGTTTGTTTCAATAATTAATTAATTGTTTGTTTCCTAATTATTTTAGAGAAGGAGGAGTAGTATAAACAGTCAGATTCTTCATTCTCTTAATCTTGGACAGGAAATGTATTCACCATCAACTTCCAGGTCTCCCACAGAGACTGATAGTGCTGCCAGTTCAACTGCTGTTGCAGATACTACTTCCCAAGTGTATGAAAAATATTTGATTTTGTACTCGCTCTTCTGTTATTCGTAAATATCTGTATTGTTCAAATGTATCTTACATCTATATAAAATGGAAATCATATTTGCTAGTAAGAGAAGCAATGTTAATTAACAATGGCATAGTCAGCCCGTGGCAAGAGGAACTCAAATGCATTTATATCTCCAGGTTAAACTTTTGTTTATAACTTACTTTTGAATGGCGACGTTGATCAATGTTTTCTTTTTTTCTTACATATTTTTACAATTTTTGATATTTGGCTGATCTATTTTGAATTATTTACACCATGCAAAATTTAAAGTTACATCATTTTTGTTCTCAGCGTTGTTAGAATTTTTTTTTTAAAATTTACTTTAAAGGAATAAAAATAGATTAATTTACTTCAGTTTATTTAAAGTAATGTTTAATTTATTTGAAAAATTAATTAAGTACACTGGTTATCATAAATTAAGGAAAAATCACAAAAATAGCGATAACTCTTTCAAAAGTAAGCCAAACCGTGCAAAATTTGCATATGTTGTCCACTANTTATTTGAAAAATTAATTAAGTAGTATGAAAAGGGATAAATTAATAAATATTAAACACTAGCTCAGAGCTCACTAAACTTAATTATCAACATTTATTTTTTTTAAGGTGCAATTTTATTAAATATATGTTACTTTTTGTAGTTTGAACAAGAAATTAAATCAAATTTAATAAAATCAAACTTTTTTTACTATGAAAATATAGAGACCAAGACAATGCACTACTTGTTACATCAAGATTCTTGGAAAACTTAAATCAGTCACAATTTTTTTAAAATCTAAGCTATAAATATAAAAAATGAATTCAACATTTAAAATGGGCTACTATTTATAGTTCTTTATTTACCCTATGAAATTGTGTTAGCTTTGTTTAAAAATAATTAGCTTTGTGGCTTCTTTTTGGCAATTTTTTAACATACATATAGTGTCAAATATATTGCCATGACAAATATGTAATAATGTGAAGAGATTAGAGACTTCTCATTATTTATTTTCTTTGTTTATTTTACTTAAAATTTTGAAGCTGTTTGAAACAAGGGTTTTTTTCAAATGCTTTTAAAAGGAAAGATATTTTCATGAACATTCATTTTACTTTTTTTCCTACAATTTCAATAAAATTATTTTCTTGGAGTGTGAGAAAAATTTCTCATTGAAATTAAGTTCATGACAACAGAATTTTATATGAGATTTTTAATAGAAAACCAATAATTTATTAAATTTTTTTTTCTCATTTTATCTAGAATCTTTCACATTCATTTTACCTAGGTTTTCAATACAGATAAAAAGAGAATCCTATCAATATCATTTTTAAGTTTTTATCTTCTAATATTTCATTTATTTGCTCAAATAACTTAATCAACCATCATTTAATCTAATTAGTTTTTTTTTCTAATTTATTTTCAGAGCTGAGGAAGTCTCTTTTTCAGCTAGTGGAGAGGGCTCTCGATTTTCGAAAAATTCATCGGAGCGACAGCATATGCTAAGTTGTAGAAAAAATGATCTCATACAAAAAGCTAGAAGGTAAGCTCAGTTTTTTTTTAGTTTCTCTCAGTTCTACAACTACAACTAAATTTTCTATTCCTTTTCACTTGATGTCTTTAGTATTTTTCTACAGAAGTTAAAATCATAAATATTAACATGTTTAGTGTAAAACTGGCCTATTAAGTTTATTTTTTTCTTAATTCAGGCTTCATGAAATGTTACCTCTGTTACATAAATATATTTTTCTTACAGTTTTTAATAAAGCTATGAAATATTAATTTCTCTCTTAATAGTTTTGATTTATTTATTGCAATAATAGCAAAAATCAACTTCAGTTGGGCCGGGGTAGCCTGGTCTGTAGGGCACTGGGCCCATGTCCGAGAGTTCGTGGGTTCGAACTCCGCAGGCCGAAGATTCCCTGTGTAGTAAATGGTGACTGATGCACGCTAAATCTGTCAAGTCGCAAAGTCCTCCATGCTCCCATAACAAATCAAACCTCTGGGGGTACTGGATTGGAGATCGATCGTTCTCTGATTCAGGTCAAAATTACGATCTATGGATGAATGAATGGATCCGCCCTATAAATGAGTGCGACGAATGTAAGTGGCAGAAGTCGAATTCTTGGCCATAGATGGCGTCGCTGAAAAACAAGAACAATCGCACCCCTCTGCCTCAACAGGCATACGTCAACAACATCAACTGCAGTTTTATTTTCGGTAGCTTTGTTTTGCACTTATTGTAATAACTATATGATTTTACAACAGTGCAGTATTATTATAGTTAGATCGTGAAATAAAACATAAAGCATTAAAATCAAACATACATTATTTTTGCACATTGAAATAAAAAATATATTTTTTTTCTTTCTTCGTAATAGTAAAAATTTTTATGTGAACGGTGTTCGCATGTTCTTGCATATTATATGGGTCTGCTCTCCAGGTATATGTCTGTAAGCAATGTTTTATCCAATTGCATCACTGGAGTGATTCATTTATGAGCATGTCTATATTCTTGTTTCTGTCTTTGTTAGAGAATTCATTTAGTTCAAAATGTAATAAAATTGTAAAACATTTTAAACATCATGTGCAAATGTTTTTCAATTGACTAACACTATAACTCTTATTTAATAATAATCCCTAATAGTAATAATAGTTTTAATCTAAATAAAATCTGTGTTTATTTTCTTGAGATTTATAAGCTTTTATAAATTTTTTTTTATTAACATGAAGAATTAATCATTTTAAAATTTTATTGCAAATTGAGAAGGTAATATAATATTAGAATTGAACTTTTATGAAAAACCTTGAAAATGTTTAAACTGTATTTTCCTTTGTCTTCTTTTGTATATGAGTATGATCATGTTCATTTTTGAGTAATTTTCGAGGTCTCCAAATTATGACTTCCCAGGTAAAACCAGCTTTCTCTGACATGTTTGACATTATAGGTCTTTTCTAGTTCATTTTGAACTTATTTATAATTTCATTATATGAGTAAGTCTGCAAAAATAATAATAAAAAAAAGTACCAGCAACTGGTTTACATGATGAAATTCAACAAAATTTGTGCACATTTTAAAAACTATTGTTCTTGGCATGAAAAATAATCTAGCTAGTTCGTATATAAATCAAATTACATATGTTTTACCATTCACGAGACAGTCAGATCAAAAGGCTTTGGAAATTTTCTTAAAAAACGCCAATACCCTGAAAATAGAACAGTTTTACTTAAATTTCAAATATTGGGCAAAGATTAACCTCCCTAAGAATGCTTTTGCAGGCTATGCTTGACTCTCAAGGCATAGTGGAGGAGTTATTTTAGAACTTGACTTAAGGTATTAAGGTGACCTATAACTTTAATTGCTCTCCACACTTTTTTATGTAACATCTTTATTTTATTTCCTCTAGCAAATACATGAACCGTTTTCCTATTGAACATCCTATTTATAGGAGAAGACACGAAGAATCCTCTAGTTCTTCAGATTAGAAGCCATACAGAACAAATATTCTTTTAAAAATGTTTTCCTTAAAATAAGCACTGCTTTGCTGAGAAAAGAAATTCTCAGTAAACATAAATGTATATTCAGCAAAAATTGCTGGAACTTTAAGTATTTCCTTCATGTGGAAAGTTGATAAGATATGCTATTTGTTAATTAAAAGAGAAATATTAAAGTCAATTTTATATGTAAATGTTAGTGTAGTATACTCACTATTTTTATGGATTTAGGCATTAAAGAAAGTAAGACCTTCTTCGTATGGGGCAAAATTAGGAAATTTTGCTATTAGCCAGTTGTAACATTTTTAACAGTGGCCACTTTTTAAAGCATGTGGCCATTCTATTGAAAATTTAAAATTTTAAACAATTAAAAAAAAATTGTTGCATGTTGTAATATTAATGTTATGCTTTCTCAAAATATGGTAAACATAACAAGTTTCAATTCCAAAATGGAAAAACAAGAGAGAACTAAAATAAGACTCGGAATATTATAAAATATTGATAATATTTCCATATTTATAACAATAATAAAATGGGGTGCATTTTCAATGAATAAGTCGCCAATTGGTTCATTTAGTTGCCTCCTGGCTGGTAGCAACCATTAATTTTGCCCTATCCTTCTTGGGAATATTTTTTTCAACTATAGAGAAAGGTAATTTTATCACTAGTATGTTTATTTTAATATTCTAAATATTGTATTTTTAAAAATTGAAACTGTTTATATTCAATAAAAGTCAAATATGTACAGTACCATGCATCTCAGTGTGTAAGTCAACCTTTTGTTTTTGATGAGAAGATAGAAAATTTCTGGTATGTCAGGAATATAAATTGTCCACTGTTGGTATGTTGATTATTTTTCCTATAATTGTTAAATGAAACTAGACACGTGGCAAAATGTGGTTTCAAATGTTATTGTAAAATATGTTAAAAAATGTGGAAATTCGAATATACTTTGGATGCGGGTAAAAAAAGTTTTTTTTTTTTAAACTTCTGCTGATGCCGATGAAGTAGAATCCATTATAAGGTGATATCCGCATGACAAACTGCTGAGGTTATTGAATCTGATTCAAATGATGTTTTGGAATTTTTAAATTTGTATGTTAATGGTATGTTTTAAAAGTTTTCTATGTGTTATATACTTTGATATATTTTTGAATTAATTAACTTAACTTTTCCTATTTTTAATTTTTTCTGAATGTATTTTGAAGTGTTGTTTCTAAAGAAAACCTTTATATGTAAGGCAAATATGCTGAAATGAAATGCAAAATTTAAGACACAATTTGTAAAGGTAAATTGATAAATAGCTATTCATATCTATATTATTGTATGTAATGCGATGATTATCAAACTGAAGTTCGGCCGTAAAATTTTGGAGGTTTAAAAAATTGACTTATATGCTTCTGTATATAGTAGTTGAAATTTTTTTTTTGTTCCAATGCCCACCTTGGGAATGATTGTTCTTCATACAGGCATCTGAAGGCCAGATTTGTAGGCCACTCTTACATGGACACCATATTAGGTGGGCCAACGTTGCTCCCACATTAGGGACAGATAGTACAGAAAAGGAAAGAACATTCATGCCTTGTCTGGGATTCAAACCCAAAACCTTTTTGATGCAAGGCCAGTTGCCTGACCCCTACACAGGCTGGTCAGCATATTTTTTGAAATATTCTTGAATTAATTATCTTAACTTTTCTTATTCTCAATTTTTTTCTGAATGTATTTGAAAGTATTGTTTCTGAAGCCTCTATGCCACTGTATATAGTATTTAAAAATATAATATTAGTCAGCATTTTATAAATAATATACTTTTAGTATGCTAAAAAAAAGTTTTCCCATAAAAAATCTCAGGAAATTAATATGAATTTATGTGAATATGTGTGAAAAATCAAATGAAGTAGTGTGTTTCATGAAATTTGAATTATGTATTATATGAAGATAAATAAATTAGGGAATTTCTTAAATTTTTTTAAAAATTATCACTTTTTACATAAATTTTCTTTTTAAAATCAAATTGTAATCAAAAGAATGAGATAGTAACTAGTTTAATATAAGATTTACGGTGTATATACCAATAAGCAAAATTTTAATATTTATGAATTTGTAGAATTTTGTATGTGCTTACAAAAAGATGTAAGCAAATGTTGATATTAATTTCGATTTAAAATGTTCTTTAAAAAAATATCTAAACACTTAAAATAAAATTTGGCTTTTATTGAATAATATAAATGTGTACTTTCATAAATACAATATTTAAAATATTAATTCATATTTTTTAGTAAAAGAATAATTTTCTTGTGGTAAAAAATAACCAATTTTTATCTCTCAAAAGCAGCTTACTTCGCGAAAATGTCTTACTTCCAAGAGTCTTATTATCTTCCTTTGATGTTATAATTGAATTAAACTGTTACGTAAATACCATAACAGGAGATCCGTTTTCTTCCCATTGGTGTGTTTGTGTTTTAAGTTAGTTTGGATTAACATTAATCTTTTGTCTTTCATTTTCATACATACTGCACATATTTTTATCATATTTGGACTAATTGAATTTTAAAATAAAATTTATTCATCTTATGATGTGGTTGTGATTTCTAACACTTTTTGGGTTTGCTTATCATATATAACTGTGATAAAAATGATTAAAATTTTTCTGATTAATTCTGTATTAAGAAAATAATCTTGCTCTTTTCTACTTTTTTTCATAGCGCAATAAGTGAAAAAGCCAGGGTTGCTATGAGCTTATTGGTACTATAGAGTTCTTGGTTTGCCAAATAAAATTATGATTTTTTAGAATCATGATGTATTTTTTTTTGTTGCATAAAATTAGCTTGAACTGTTTCAGCTCCCTTATTTGACAAATTTAAATTTCTTTTACATTCATTTGAATTTAATTTTTTTTTTTTTTTTTTTTTAAGTTTCCGATTTTGATTTGAAATTGTTATCATAAAAAGAGACAAAACATTAATAGCATAAACATCAGCTCTCAAATTTAATTTTATTCATAGTTTATTTGTTCATTCTCAAGAAACAATTGAGTCCAAAAAATCGATATTTGATCTTAAATAATCAAGCTTTGAAATAAATGGTGCGGAGGTTTTTTCCAAGAAAAATCTGCAATGTATTGAATTTAATGTATGTGTATAAATACTTTGGCTTCTGAAGTGTAAATTGTTTTTTAAAATTAGTTATTTTTTTTATACAAATATACTTTAACATGGAATGTTTATGCGTTAAAATTTTGTTGAAACATGTAAAATAGAGCAGCGTTTCCCAAATTCTACTCCGCAGATTCGTCACATGGGTTCCGAGAGTTAGGACATTTTTAATCAGTTGGGATTTTTTAAGCCTGCCATTAAATTTTTTCGAATTAACTATCTCTTATTTATTTTCCATTATTTTTTATAAAATTATTTTATTACAATACTTGTGAAGTAAAAAAAAAATAAATAAAATTGGAAAAAAAGTATTTTCTACTAACAATATATTGATTCAATAATGAATGCACTTATGAAGAATTTCATTAGTACATCACATCAAATAAAAATAACAATGAAGAGATATCTTTTGTTGATAACTATTTTCACCAATTTTTATTTTTATTTCAACGAAAAGCATATTTCAGCTCATTCATTTTCAATTTATGCATACACTGAAATCAAATTATGAACTAGACTAGATGTTTCTGAAGAAATGTTAACTCAATTTTCTGACATAAAGCCCAATATTAAGAAAAAATTTCATGCTTCATACATTCGTTAAATATTTTCAAAATAATAGAATTTCATTTATTAAATATTTTTAAACTAATTAACAGTCAATCTTAAATTGATATCTTCACAATTGCTAATGAAATTTATTAATTAAGTCGCGGGGTTCCGCCAAAAGAAGGTCGATCTTTAGGGTTCCATAACCGAAAATAAAATTGGGAGCCGCTAAAATAGAGGATTGGCAATGGACAGTGTATGGTTAAGAAGAGTTTTAAAATTTATGGTTTTGCTAGTTAAGATATTTAATTTTTTAAAAATAATCTTAATAGAATTTTTTTTTAAAAAATTAAAAATAATTTTTTAAGTAAAAATTTTTGAAATTGATATTGTAAAACTAGTAAACTGCTGTCTGCTATGTCTTATATCTCCCATAAATATGTAGCAAAGCTGAGATATGCAAAAGAAATATTAGGTTCAAATTAATATTGAGAAGTTATTTTGTCTGCATGCCTGGTACCAGAAATTATAGTGTCTGTCTTCATAAACCCAAATTTTTTCTGAGACTCCAACATAGTCAGACAGAGATTATTGTTATAAAAATTAAGCTAAATTTTACATTTATATGAGAATTTGCAAAAACTTTATGCTTAATTTGTATTTTATACGATCTTAATTCGATGCCCAAAAGAAGAAGAGACAGCTGTTTATACTAAGTGCAATAAAGAAAACAGAAAGGGTAAAAATTAAGTATTTACAAAGAGAATTAACTTGCAATACTAATTTTTCGCCTTTTTTTTAAAATTCTGTGCTGAAGAATAACCTGCAGAAGCTGCCATGCTGAAGGGTTTCGGTTACCAGGCCTGTAAGTTGTATATTAATTTAATTATAATGCTATTTCTTTATAAAAATGATTAAGTGTAAAATTAATAAATATACCATTCTTTGGGACTCAGTCTTTATTTCTTTTACTTGTTAATTTTAATTATGAATTAAACTTGTAACAATTTAAGATTCAAATGGATGGTGTTTTCAATAGAAATGTAAACAATAACAATCTCGAGCTCGGCACCTACTCTAGTTCCGGTTAAAAAGTTCGCAACTGCTTACTACATGTTATTCTGATAGGCGATGTTTTCAAACGGATAATTTTGTTTTCAATAAAAGAAATAAATTAGATAATTTCTGAGCTCAAATCTGCCGCATTTCATAAGATATTAATGTTATTGTGTAATTCTGGGGAGTTAGGAGTGAAAATTTGTTTTAGTTATTTTGTTATTTATTATTAAAAAAGGTGACATGGTTGCTAGATTTTGAATAACTCGCTTTTTTGGCAGTCTTGATTTGGCCTCTTTCCATTTGTTTATTACTGTTTGTTCTTGCTGCAAGCTTTGCACCATCTTACGTTAGTGTTAACACTTTTAGTATTGTAAACACAAGTATTGTTAGCTTTGTAAACATAAGTAATAAGTAATCAAATACATCGTTTGCAAGAATCTCAAAACGCAATGATGCCAAATGGCTTTAAAATACAACTGAAACAGTAACCCGGAAATTTAGGCAGTTCCGAGCTTGCAGCGTTCCCTAGTGTAGAAAACACCATCCATTGGATGCCTGCAAGTGACGTCATCGTAGGTAAATCGTGGCATCTATAGGAGCCTTAGTGGCATCTCTCGATTCAGAAGCCAATCAGGTTCGACACACACGCGTGACGACGTTCACACTTTGCAGATATCCAATCAAATCTGATTTAAATCACCTGGTTAGACATAATCACTTATCTTCTCAAGTTGCAAGTATCCGATTGCTCCAAAATATGATTTAAATTATTATTGCCTGCAGTTAATTAGCTTAAGTTAAGGAGTAAGTTCTGATGGATGGTATTTTCTGCACTTGGGTACGCTGCAAACTCTTTACTGCCCATACTTTCGGGTTACTGTTTGATAGCTATTTCGCTCACAAGGTGATCCTTTTGTTTTGAGACTTTTGAGTAGTATTTCTTGTATACGTGTATTTGTTTCCTGGTTTATTATTTATGTTTTGAAGACTTGTCATTTCAAGGCGTAAGAATCGTCATTTGAAAGAAAGAATTGTAATTATATAAAACACTTCTTACCTTGCTAACAGTTTACTAACTTCTAAATTTAAACCTAAATGATAATTTGTAAAATGAACTTAATCTAACTGCTCGCACAATATGCTAACAATCACATATGATGGTGCATGGTTTGCAACAAGAACAAACAAGTAAAAAGAGGCCAAATGGGGACTGCCAAAGAAACTAATTCTTTCTAAATCTAGCAACCATGTCACCTTTTTAACAATATATCTCTAAATAGCTAAAATTTTCACCTTAAACTAAACTCACCAGAAATAATTAATATTTTATGATTATTAAAAATAAAATTTTCTGTACGAAAATATCGCGTCGCAGAATAAGCTGTACTAAGCAGCTGTATACTTTTTAACCGGAAGTAGAGCAGGTCAAGAGCTCGAGATTGTTGTTGCTGAGTTGCCAACTGCTCCGGACACGTCAAAATAATTAAAAAAAAAAAAACGTTAAATAACTATAAAGTAAATTTTGCAAATATTTGACTATTTTTGCATGCTTTTTAAAAGGTATAGCATGACAGAAGTACTATAAAGTGGTGAATTCTATAAGCCTTCGAATCATTTAGAAACAGTGGTGGATAAAAATCTACTAAATTTGAATTTATTAAACCAAGAATCACAAATGATAAACTACCGCTTTAAAATATATATTTGCTGTCCGGAGCAAGTTGGCATCTCTGTTGTTTACATATGCATTGAAAACACCATCCATAGACACGTCTTTGCTCACCACATGATCAGCCTCACTTTACCGCTAGAATACCCACCGACATTTTAGGTTTTAGCGAAATATAATTTTTTTTTTCAGTGGTAGTGAAGAAAAAGAAATTCTTTAAGTAAAAAACTTTTAAAAGTAAAAGGATTTGTTTTAAAACCTTTTTAAATAGTTTTAAACATGGTTAATGAGTTTTTCGACCTTATATGTATCTTTAAGTTTCTTATTTCTAGCGGTAGACATGAGTAATTTTTTATTTAAATATCGTTATATTAATATATTACATTACATCTGCTAATATGGATGGCTGACTGTGTAATGCTAAGTGCAGATGGCGCTAAGGGTTAAAATTCGTCGTAAGACTTCCGGGTTACTACGAGTACTTCCTACTGATTTTTACGATATTATCAATATTATACTTGTAGTGTTTTCATTATAACGCCTTCTTTCAATCTAATTTTCAACGAAACATACAACAAATGAATTTGGAAGACTCCGTAAACTTGCTATAATGCTACTTAAAAAATACAAACTGTGCTATTTTACACAAATATAGCCAAATAAGGGATAACACTCAAAACGTGGTTAACCTTATACTTTATTTATGCTGTATTAATTTTGTCAAATTTGTTTTAGGCACACGACATGTTAGAATTTATAAATTACTGAAAAATCTTATGAATGATAAAATTTCATGTGTGAATTTAAACACAAATCACAATAATAAAACTTCCTAGAATATTAAGCCTGTTCTCACATCGTCTCGTAAGCATAATTTAAACGGAAGGATGCACCCGAAGTTTTCTAAATTTTTTCCGGTTTAGGAAGCATGTTATCGTTTACATTTAGCCAATTAAGAAATATTTTTCTGAAAGACTCCAATGACTATGAAAATTCCGTTGTCGTCGGTGGGTATAGACTAACGTGGTGTTAAAAGGGAAGTTATGACTTGGAAATCTGTAGAATTATATTCTCACCTGTTTAACAGGAAGCTTTATTAATACTTTGTAACTGTTTTGTTAGCTTAAAAGGTTGGGATCAAATCTAAGAAATGGTGTCATACTGTTAGAACTGCTTGAGAGTTTTTATTACATAACTGCTTGAGAGATTTTATTTTGAGGTTTGTGAAAAAAGGTAAAATTTTCCCAACTACTTTATATAACCGAAAATTTAAAAATCTTTATTCTTGTCGGATCTTCAAAAAAAACTAAGCTACATTTATAATTATTTAAAAACCTTTATGTTTTAGTAAACAGTTAAAATGGTAGCTCAGTGGTTAGAGAATAAGACTCCTGTGCAGAGAGGCAGGGTTCGATCGTCTATTCCGCTGAGACAGTTCGAGTACATGTGACATACGTACTCATAAAATCTGAGGAAAAGTCTCGTGATCGGTCCGCTGAGCAGTACCATGAGTACAAAGGAACTGGAGAAAATACCTTCTACTTCAGATCTATGTCGAAATTGTAGAAGTTACTTCACGAATGAGTGGTGCTGCCATCTATTCGGGGCTTCTGAACTACAAGGAACTTTTACCCTTGCGGGGTTTACTTATCAAACGAAAGGCGTCGAAGTAAAGTTTCACCCTCTATTTCTCGTGCCCGTGATATTTCCTTGCTAGAGTGTTCAAAAGTAACGCACCAAAAAGATTAAAACTATGTAGTTCTTATGCTCGGAATCATGTTTTATTTATTTATTTTTCTCGATCTTAACACCAGTTGGTAGTACCAGACTATTTGTAATGTGTTTATAGATACTTTATTTTATACTATAAGTCAGCACTCATCAAACATGTTAGCTAAAAATTCACAAAAAAATTAAAATGTAATACATATATTGTGTATACATTTAGCTTTACATAATGTTCTTGAATAAAAAAAAAGCATTTTAATGATTGTTTACTTCAAAATTATTCGACGATTAAGGGTTAAAGTAGGTGGTAAAAAATATTTGTGGTGTTCCACACTGACCACCGGTATCATTAATATATTAATCTATATTCTTAGAATCCTTTTCGAAATTGTAAAATTAAATAAAAATGTATACACATTAGAGGTCACAAATCAATATTTAAGCAAAGAAGAAACAAAAAGGCATTGAAATCAGTGAAAAAGACGAGATGAGAAACCTAAAAAAACCAGTTTGATTGTCCAACGAAACTCGGATGTAATTCTAATAATTGTCTTTTAAGCCTACTGTGTTTCCTCGACAATCAAACAGGTTTTGATGATTTCAGTTTCACCTTCCTTAGTGATTCGTTAGATTTCGATAGTGTTTTATATCCTTGCTCTTAAACATCAGTTTGTGACCCCTAATGTGTATTTCCTGACTTCATAATTGACTTAAGATTCTAGAAAAAAATTTTGATAATGGTCATTATCATTACGGAACAACCTGTATTTGTCTCAAATCTCTGTTCGCGTTATTTCAGTAAGGATCCAGTAACTGGATTTTGTTTTGTGTTGTGTGTTATAATTTTGCAGATCTCACTCTCTCTCTCATTTTGTTTTTCGCATGTTCCGTTAGATGTCCGATAGGTACGTGGCCATGTTGGAGGTGTGAGACCCATTATTGCCTAAAATGTTAAAGGCACTTAAAGTATGAATCAAGGACATTAGGAAACAATGGTTTGTTCAGTGTTTATTTTATTGCAAGATTTAAAAGGCTATCTAAAATCAACAAACTGTGTTAAAAACGTTGCATCATTAACATGAGAACAGTGTGCGTTTTCTAAGCCATCGCTTAATAATGCCTCCCAGGGAAAATACTGTCTGTTAAATAAGAAAAGGTCTAAGGTGACTTCATCCTGATATGTCGCTTAAAATAGACGATCTTCTGGACAGAATACTTGCAGGTACATAACCCAAATTATCGTATCCCACTGAGCTGCTATTGCTGGTAGAACTACCTGGTCTGTGGATGGTATTTATTGTTTCGTGTCTGATAATAGGTGATAGCGGAATATCCTTGTTACTGCTGGATTGACTGCTGTTATCACTTTGAAAGAAATGGCTGAGACACGGTATTGAGGAAGAGCTGCTGTGATCTGAAGCAGTGTTGTTCAATAAATCTGGATTAACGATGCTTTCTTTGCGAATTTTAGATGTTGATGCTTCCAAGGAACTTCTTTTTGTTGAAATGTGTGTTTCGGTACTGCCTTGTTGGAAAAGCTCACCCAAGTATGGTATTGACGATGAACTAGATGTCCAACAGAGATAGGAGTTATCTTCGTCACTGTTGTCCATCGCCAGTTTTTGAGTGCTAGTGCTGCACACTTCGCTGGAGTTATCGAATGAATCATCTTTAAAGTATCGTTCACCGTATTGGTTTCGAAAAGCAAATGATTGAAAGTTTTCTTCTGAGGTCAAATTTAGGTGATCAAAAGAACGTTGGTGTCTATGTGAAAAATCGATACTGTTTTCTCTTGATAACGACTTTCGATACCTAAGGGGATTAGAAATGTTTCTGGAACTATTGCAATTATCGTCAGCGAAATTTGGATGGAAGTAGGTGCATGGCTCGGATTTTGCTGAAGAAGCTCTTTGCGAAGACAACAGATTTGAAGATTTTTCTTTGGTTATTTTCTTGAATGCAGGCTGTCTCAATAAATTACCGTCACTCATTGAACGCGTTTTTGATTTATTTGCTGGGGTATTTTCTTTGCTGTATACTTCGTTATTTTCTATTGTGGCTATCGACACATTTTCTGCTGTTTTGATAATAGTAGAATGCTTCGAGGTTGTGTCATCTGTGTTGTTTAAAAACAAACCTGTTGCAGAAGGATTTGCTTGCGGCTGAACTCGGTGAGCTGATTTTGGAAGCATCTGAAAAAGTAAAAATTATAGGATAAATAAAAAAGCACAATGTTTTTCCCCCCTCTTTTTTTAATGGACATTTATATGACATTTTAAGCATGAATGAATAAATTGTATGAAATTTATTTTCACAAATTTTGATAAATTTCATGAATGCATGCATTTAATTGGTGTGTTCTTTGTACCAAGTTCTTAATTTACAAATCTCTTGTCAGGCCAAGCTTGGACAATGACAAAACTGAAGGGAAATTGTATCGCAATATTTGAGAGAAAGATTTTGCAGAGTATACTTGGTGGAAAAAATGAAAACAATAACTGGAGAAGGAGACTTAACTTTGAACTGTATAAGATTTATAAACAACCCGATATTATGAAATACACAAAAACAAATAGAATGAATTGGATATCCCATGTAATTCGAATGAGTGATGACAATACAATAAGAAAGATATTGCTTTATTTGGACTTAATGGAACAAGAAAGCGGGGAAGGTCGAGGTTGATGTGGGCTGACTCGATGGAGTCTGATTTTCTTGCAATTAATGAAAAGAATTGAAGATCAAAGATAAATCAGAAGTCGTTATGGAGAAATCTTTAGAGGAAGGCATTGGCCCACATTGGGCTGTCTGGCCAACTATGAGACGATGATCTTTATACTACACACGTTTTCGTGATCATAATTTTATCTTGAAGGCACAAAAGAAAAGAAAAGCAATTAGATGTCTATTTAAATTTTATTCTTCCTTAACTGTTGATGCCTCAAAACTATATCGTTGCGATGGTTTACATAAAATTATGGATAGTAATTGCAATGACTGTCGGAAGGTATTGGTATTCGAATCATTGAATCGATTTTATCCATCCAGCGAAATCTATGAACCGATCCATGAAAAATGCAGAGTCAATAATTAAATTGCTTGATGAAAAATTCTGATTCGCTTTTCCATCACGTTTCTGATCGTAGCCGTGGTAGCTCAGGGGATAGAGCGATCGCTTCCTAATGTGATGACCCGGTTTCGAATCTCAGCGATGGCTGATCGATATGAATTCCGCACCTGTCTCGACCACAGTGCTGACGAAAAATATCCTCAGTTATAGACGGATCATGGGTTAGAGTCCTCTTGCCGCGAGACAAAACTGTGGGAGGTTTTCGTGATTTTCCTTTCCATGTAACGCAAATGCAGACGAATTCAATCTAAAAGTTCTCTACATAGGCAAATTTCCCCCTATACGTGATCCGGAAGTTCGCCTTATCTTCCAGAATCTAGATTATGTTCAAAATTACAAAGCTACGGATCTGAACATAGGAAGTCGTAAATTTAAAATTGGGTCGGCTGTTCAACGATAGTTATAAAAAAAAAGTGAATATGATCCAATATTATTACAGTTTTAATTAAACAATTAATACCCTTGTTCTTTTATTTATGAGAAGTACTAAAAATGTTTTATATTTTGACATATTTATTTTTTATTCGCTCGTCTTTGTTATATATCGTTTTTAGTCGTTGAAAATTTGTTACAAAATGCTACAGATTGTGTAAAAATAAGCCTGTAGAAGAAGGATTTGCTCGGGTCAGAATTTAATTTGATTTCGGAAGCATCAGCGAAATATGCAAAATAGTGAATTAAGTAAAACTAAAAGTTTACTAAGAATCACGCAATTGTTTTGTTATGTTTTAATTTATTTTGAGGGACATTTTAAAGCAAGAATGAATAGTTCGTAAGACAAATTCTTTTCACAAATCTTTTAAATGTTGCATTATCATTTGTATGTTACAAATGGTCCTTACACCATATATGTTTTCGAGGTAATAGTTTTCTCTGAAACTCGTGATCACAAGATCCATCTAAGAAAAATATTGACGTCGAACGAAAGAAATTTACACCACAACTACGAATCATCACTTGATTAAAAAATACTCATATACTTTTTTTTACGTTTTTCTGAATAAGGGTTTCAAGGAATCTGAATTAAACATTAATAGAGTTTAAATTAACCCTCGTCTCACATTTATGAAAAATTCTAAAAATGTACTCTATTTTTAAACTTTTTTTTTTAAGTATTAACTTTTTTTATGTTTTATTATATATCTACTTAAGATATGCGTATTCTTATAAATCTAAATGTGATTTAAAATTTTAAATTATCCTTTTCGCTTTAAAGAATATGCGCAGAAAACTTTTTCATGATCACGGTGCTCACGCCACTGCCAGAAATGTTTAAAGTTTCGCTTTGGGCTTAAATGCTTTACTTTTTATTTGTTGTTGATGAATGTGAAAACAATGGATGTTTATTTAAAGCTAATGCTTACAACTTGCTGGCCTATGTAACACATTTTTTTTATTGGTAGCAAAACTTCTGTGTTAATATTTAACTTTGGTTTAGTAAAAGTGATTTTTTCTTCAACAATTTATAAATAATTTAAACGTGTACGTAAAATGCCACTCAGTTTAAATTATTTGGAGATGAAAGGCTTTTAAAATAATCAAAAGTTTGCTAAATTTAAACAAAATTAGGCTAAATTTAAGTATTAAATTCTTGTGTCAAAAATGAAGCAGTTGACATTTTTAATTTGATATCGACGTGATCATAAATAGAGGTGAAATTTATCTGGGATCGTTGATAACTTACTTGTAATACTGTTCGAACTAATTTAGGAGTACTTGTTGGCGCATCTTCTTGTTTTACTTGTTCATTTTGTATTGCTGGTTCTTCCTCAGGTGATTTATTAGATTTTACTCTCGCTTCATTTTCCTTTATAATGTTCCTTAATTTGGAAAAAAAAAATAATAAAAACATTTTAATAAAAAGGAATTAGTGAAACAATTCAAGAAATATAAAACGGATTATGAGCTATCACAGTAATCAAATGAATTCAAAAATGTTCCTTTCAGAGTTTTTAGCATTACGCATAACTTGTTTGCGTTTTATTTAAACTTCACAGTTTATTGAATTAAAAGTGAATTAGGGACGAAAAAAAAACTGTGAATTTAAGATACATACATTGTGCATAATTTTTTCTGTTGATAATTTGTTATTCTTGACAGTTTAAAAAAGTACAAAAGAACAGGAAATTTAAGAAGCATAGATTGCGCACAATTCTTTTTTAACAGTTCTAGACAGTTTAAATTAAAGAACAGAAGAACAGGAAATTTCGGCACATACATTGCCCGCAATTATTTTTGTTGATAGTTGGTTATTCTAAACAATTTTAAAAACGCACAAAAGAACAGGAAATTTACGACGCATCATTGCACATAAATATTTTTTAATAATTTGTTATACTAGACAGTTATAAAAAAACATAAGTACAGAGAATTTACAATGCATACATTGAGCATAAAATTTCTTGGTTATTTGTTATTCTACATGGATAGTTTCCTTCTGTAGTCCTGCAGCAATCGAATGTGAGTCATCATCGGACCAATATTAGCAGGGATGTTACAGGTGACTATTTATGTAAAAAGTGGTAGAAACTCAATTTACTTTGATTTATTTATTATCTCTTTAATTATTCAATCGTATCTACCACTATGACATGCATTTTATATCATTCATATGTAAGCATTTTTTGCATCGACGTGCAAGAGTTAACTGAAACAATAGGCTTTAAAAGTTTCCAACTTTAATTTCTTATACTAAAATTTTGAATTTTTAGTCGCCCATGGTAAACCTGTATTCGTGAATCTGGTTGTAATCAACCAGCAATTTGCCTGATCTGGTAGATAGAATGGTCCGATTCTCCCGATTCTGTGAGCTTATATTTATTCTGATTATAGATTTTGCTTATATTGAGGTCGTCTGATTTAGCCTATATTTTTTAGTCACTATTCAGCCTAGATGTGTTCAATATTTAGTCGTTTGAGTCTACTTAGGTCACTGTTAAAAAAAAAAAATCTAACACTACACCTGAAAGCCTCCACACTGTTTTTTAAATGTTGTCCGATCAGACCACTATGAAAGTAAACAAGTTTATGAAAGAAGTATTTAATACAAAATATAGTAAAAATCAGATAGTGGTAGCAAATAAATGTCTAAAAACTTGTTTAATTTTTGAATATGATTGGTTTATCTTATTTACTTGTCAACCACTACAGATTCAATTCTCAGAAATATATAATAAATTTCTCTCATTTACTTTTAAAAAAGAATTTAGATTCATGCGCCCAACCAACGCCTCTTATAACTGAAAGCCTCCACACGGTTTTTTGTAGGTAGTCCGATCAGACCATTATGAAGGTAAACCAATTAGTTAAAGAACCGTTTAATATGATATCGATTAAAAATTAGAAAGTGGTAGCAAATATATGTCTAAAAATTTGTTTAATTTATGTATATAACAGAGATGCCAACTTGCTCCGGACAGCAAACATATATTTTAAAGTGNTACATTACTGGTATTCAAAATATTAGTATTCACGTACTTTGCTTTCTTTCTCAGAACCTTTTGAGCTTCCGGGTAGTTTTTCAGAGCCTCCCATAAGTCGTCTTTACCAAGCACAAAAAGATTGGAAAATCCTTTGCTTCTAACATCAGCAGTTCTCCTGTTACAACCTGGAATTCCAAGTAAACTAGAATAATAAAAATTTCAAGTTTTAATATCCCCATAATTTATAGTTAGCAATATGATGATAACAATCGAATTCGTTTATTACGAGACCTCATTTAATGAGATCCTGGATTTAACGATGGAGTTTTTTCATAAATGGCTGGTTTAACGCTAAAAAGTCTATTTAAAATCACGCTGTTATGAGCCTATCTCAAATTCAACGAGTAATTTTTTAGAATAGTAATACTAATTTTTTAGAGTAATTTTTTAGATTATTTTTTGACGCTGTCAAAAAGAATAATAAAAGTCTTAGGTTCTCCGTTGAAATTTTATTCCTTCCCAAAGGTTTTCAGCCAGCAAACTATCACGCTGCTACGGTTTGTATTAAACTATGAATTATAATTGCTGTAACTGTCCGAAGATATCGCTGTGCTCACACTATTGCATTGATATATTTGGCTTTGGCTAAGCTGATAGAATACTAGAAAGCACTCCTTTTTGCTGATATAATCGTGTGAGCTGATGAAGAGATTATATCTTTATTATAGATATATTGATAGAATCAATATATCTGTAATCATCATCACGAATACATGGTCATCATTACGAAAGCAATAATTGTCATCATTGCATTCGAATGATGACTGTTACTAATAAATGACTATAGCTAATCATTGAATTGATTTTATACTTTTTATTGCTCTAGTGTGCATAAGTCTGCATGATAAAATGTTCGCAAAACGGGCATTTAAAAATAATAATGAGGGGGAGGGGAATTACACCATCCCTATTCATGTAACGTGACCAAGAGTAGGCTGAACTTTTCTGCTGTAAATAAATGTTAGCATTTCGTGCTACGCATGATCAACTGCCTATTTTCATTTACGAAAAGAAATTATTCTTAATAGTTTAATTGAAATGATATTAAAAAACAAGTTTTTCTTAAACATTTTCTAACTAATTTTTGTATATTATAGATTTTTATTTTTAATAAAGTTGACTGACTCGGTTTCGAATTGATCGATCTCTACGTTCTCGTTGTATGCAAGTTCTGATGTATTTTTTTAAAAAAAAATTTCGAATTATATTTTAAGACTGTTGAAACTTTGAAGATAAAAAGGTTACCTTATTTCACCGAAAACACTTCCTTTTGTCAACGTTGCTAGCACCAATTCTCCCTTGTCACCCCCTAGGACTTCTACCATTCCTTTATTTACAATATACATTTCCTTTCCAACTTCACCCTGCAAAAAAATGAAATAAATAAAATGTGTCCAAGCTTCAGTTAATGAACATTGGAAAAGCGTCGTATTTCGTCAAATAACAGACACTGTGATACTGGGAAATTTGTTGAGCATTTGAAAAAACAAATCAGTTGTTTTTTAGATAATAAGGTGATGGTTAAAGTATTATCCGAGGTGTCTGCGTTTTGGTATTTCTTTCTTCGTCGAAGTTTGTTACCATGTGGTGACAAAAGAATGGTTAAGAGAATATGGTGACAGGAATGAAAGAAAATGAATGACATGATGAAACATTTAACCTTAAATATGTTAATTAATTGGTGCGGACGATATTTTAAGATTCGAAATTAGACACAAAAATATACTTTCTGTGAACAAACATATCTTTGCTTCAACGGATTCCAGACCTTCAAAATATGAGGGTAGCCGCAATCTTGAAAATAGTTTGGTTAGATGTGCGGTCGAATGTTTGGACACCTTAATGTTAATTTTACTTCGTGCATATTTCGATACATCTCAGAATTTAAATACAAACCAGCACAAAAACGTTTGAAGAAATACGACCTACCTTCTTGCATATATAATCACCAGGCAGAAACAGTACAGGTTTAAGTTGCAGCACTAAATCTCTGAGGAGGGCTTTATCACAATCCTAAAAAGAAAATATTACAGTTTTTTTTTGTTGTGTTGTTTAACCTATCATGTTCTCATTATGTTTTTTCTACAGCAGCTGATAACAATGGTAGATTCAATAATTTTCTGAATCAATCATTACCATTATTTCAACTGTTACCAGAAGCAGAATTAATATCCATATCATGAAACCATCACAGAATTTGTTAACGCCAATCAAAAGTGTGAAGTATTTCCAAGCGATGTGTGTTCCAATTTTAATTAGAGCTCTGATCTGCATGGTAATCAATATAATCGTTTTCTAAGAAATTTAAAAGAACTCATTCCCGTTAATGAGAATTGATCTTCAATCAAAATTTTAAACATTTTTTTTTACTAGTTGGAGTGTTCAAAATTGAACTGGAGTTTTATACTGGATGACAATTAATGCAATTGTTTTCTGGGAGATGTAAAAGATTTCATTATCGAGAATTGATCATACATCAAAATTTTAAATTCTTGTCTCTTAGTTGGAGTGTTCAAATTTGAACTGGAGCTTTGTGTTGAAGGACAATACATGTTGCTGGAATGTTCGGCTCTTTTTTTCACCAAATAAAACTTATCGTCAATCGAAATTATATCCTCTTTTTGATTAATTACATCGTTTTAATTTTATCTGAAGCTTTGTGTTTGATGAATCTAGTTATAACTTTCCTTTAAGTGGTTACAAGTAATGAAAAATTTTATCATAATTTTTAATGTGATACTATACAATTTATCACCAACTGAAATTTGTATCACTTTTCGATATAAACTTAATTTCATAAAATTCTGTACAATGGTCTCTACGTTTAATGTATACTAAAATAAAAGTATTTTGACTTATTCACTTGAAAAACGTAATTTTCTAAAATAATATTCTATTACTCTGAATTGTTCTTAATCTGATATTGTTTTCAACTTAATAGGTTTTGCTATACCATTTTTCAAATTTTTCAAGGGGCGTAAAATCTCTGTCTTGTCATTATTTCACATTAAACGAACTAAACCTTTGATTGTTTAAGCAAATAATTAAAATAAATAAAATCGTTGAAACAAAAGGGTTTACCTTGAAAAGTTGAACTTTAACTAACGTTTTATAATGCACATTGATAGCTATATCCGTCTTCATTTTTCTCGGAAGAGTATCTAAAATCTTGCTTACATCTGGGAAAAAAAAATTAAATAATTAATTGTTTTTCATCCCAAAATTTAGTTTCATATAAGATTAATTTATAAGATGTGAATTTTTTCCATTTAAGAATACGTTACTCTTTTAGAACGATAAAGTATATAACATAGTTAATTGATTCTCAGAGTCTATTTGGAAAAGCTAAGACATTCGTATCTATAGTTGTCGAAGTGTCCTATTAAAAAATGGTAGCTAATTTACTTAAAAACTATCAAACAAAAAATTAATTAAATTTCAAACTCACAAAATATGACACAATAAGACAATTTGAATTTTCCCTAATTTCACAAGCACTTCAGTTTATTTTATTTTACAACCGTTGAACAGCCGACTTAATTGAGTTTACGACTACCAATGCGCATCCCCACAGCCTTGTAATTTTGAAGTCAATCCAGAAGACAGGGGAACTCCAGGATCAAGAATTGGGAGAGAAAGTTTGCCTTCGTGGAGGATTTTTTGATGGGACTAACCGCAATTACGTTATTTGGAGAAGAAAAGCACGAAAACTTCCCACGGTTAGTCTGACGGCTCATAATCAGCTTACTTCTGAGGATTTTTTACGTTAGAAAAAATGTGTTTATGAGATCTAAATTTCAAATGACAGATCCACAAAATCAGTATCAATATTAAAACATAACCGCAGCCGACAGGATTCGAACCTGTGCGGGGAAACCCCAATGGATTTCGAGTCCATCGCCTTAACCACTCGGCCACGACTGCTCTCTACAATTCACGTAATTTTCATCTAGAATGTATCGGACATCTATGCATGTAAAAAGTTTCCAAATCTTTGTTGGTGTTAAAGAGAATCTAATGATCGCCTTTAAAAATTAAGAAATATATTATATTTTTTAAATTTTGTTAACACTTAAAAATTTTTTAGGACCTTTGGAAGAGTTATATTTTATTATCAACTTAAATATCTAATTTTTGTTCTGAAATAAGGTCATTACGATCTTTTAAAGCTAAAATGGTAACCTATAGTATGAAATATATGACAGGCCGAAGCGTAAACGCCCTTCTAGTACTTTTACAGAATGTTTTTAATTGCTAAAGTCACTGGCATTTATAATAAATTAAAATGCATATTTGTTCCATAGTTTAAAAAGCCTCACAAAAATAAACGTTGTATTTATTCTACATATTATTAAGACAATTATTACCTATGCACCACCTGCCTGGTGAGATATTAAATCCAAACTAAAACACTCAATGCATTCGTAAATAAATTAAGTGGAAAAATGAGTGGTTTCCCCTACTTTATCACAAATAAGGACATTCACAAAGATTTTAAATTAAATACCCTCTCTGTAACATTAATGACTCTTAATGCACAATTCTTCAAAAGAGCCCAAAATTGCTCAGCAGTTACCTTAAATTATACTATGTATTAGCGATATTTTTAAGCCTGGAATTCTAAAAGAAGACGCAAAATCACATTCCTAGCACATTTTTTTTATTAGTGATGATATTTTATCGAATAAATGTAATTAAATTATCTTTAAAATGATCAATTATTTTTTTATATTTCTAATGTCTGCCTGTTAACAATTTGTTAATTTAGGCATTTAATGGGGAGATTTCTTGGCCGCCACTCTTTCAGGGGCACCATACTAGGTGGGCCAACGTTGCTCCCACAGTAAGGACAGATAGTACAGATAATGAAAGGACACCCATGTCTTGCCCGGGATTCGAACCCAGAACTTCTCTGATGCAAGGTCAGCTCATGATCAATTATTGGTACTCATAATTCTAATTTATAATGCTGCAGTTGACATTCCACTTCTTCTCAAACCCGCTTATTTTATTAGCGTTGCATTCGCGACAACTGATACAATTTATTTCTATTTCAAGATAATAATACCTTTTTATTACTGCTTTACTTTTCTTGGCCTTTTCTTTTTCACAAGTCCTGTTGAACTTACAACATGAATTAATAAATTAATATGAAAAGGCAATAAGGACCTTTCGTAGCCTACTATGACTATGACTAAATATTCTAAAAGGATTTCCAGTTTTTTTTTCTAAAACTTGTTCTACAATAATTGTAGTGGAACGGTAAGAGCAAAAAAATTCTTGCAATTTTTTCCACTCTGTTGAAATAGGTGATGGATAATGAAAACTATTCAAGTTTGAGATACTTTTCTCCGGTAGAAAATATTAATGTTCAAAAATGCCAACTGCTCTGCTTTCTGCAAAACATTGTATAAAATGGTAGATATTATACCAGGCTCGAACCAAAGCTCAAGGGATTTTTATAGAATCAAATAAAAGGGAAGACGCTGCATAGAAAGGACATTCTCAATAACTTTAAGAAGTCAGTCCGATGGCAAAAGGAGTCTAACTCATCCCTCTACAATTGAGGATAACTTAGGTCATTACTGATATCAATAAGGGTGGAAAGTAACATACAAACCGACCCGGATCTACCCGAACCCGACTCAGAGTCACTTTATAGAGAAACGGACACTCCATCACTTGAGCTATTTTGGCTTTTCAAACCCTTTTGTAAGTAATAAAATTTAAAAATTTTGCTCCCAGCTCACACCGATCACAGTGTTGACGTAAAATATCCTCAGTGGTAAATGAACCATGGGATCGTATCCCTTTGTTGTCAGGTTAACTGTGGTTGGTTTTCGAGTCAATGTAACGCAAATGTGTGTATGTTCCATCAAAAAGTCTTCCACAAGGACTACTTTGTGGATACTTGGCCCAGAATTTCACTTATCTTCTGGGCCGGGTTCAAAGCTACAGACTCGATTATTGATAATCGTAAACTCAGAATTGGGTCAGCTGTTCAACTCTGTTTTATAAAATAAAATAATGAGTAGGTTTGGTTTTTGAAGCGTTCTGTAAGGGATTGAAAAAGAAAATGGCATTCGCTTACCGAAAGTCTTTTGTTGTTCCCAGTTATGATTGAGCCACATTCTTACTCTCCTCTGCAATTCATCAGGAAGGTTCAAGTTCCTCATATACATGACTGTTTGATCCATCAACTGTCTGTACTGCGTTCTTCCCTGAGTTGCTGTTGCCACTATATCACGAATCTGTTTGTTTGGATGAGATATTCACAGTACTTATACAATCACACAAATAAATATCATGTAAGCAAATGACAACAGAGATGTCAGGTTTCTACAAAGACTTCATAAAGCGTAGGGGAATTAAAAATCAAACTTCCCGAATTAAGGTTATTTTTTTTATCTCTTTAAAAAGTTCACAATGGAAATGCCGATTTATAAGTTTTTTTTACTTAGTTACTATAAATCAAATGTAATTAATCGAGATAAGTTGAAATATATATTTTGCAACCACTAGAAAAAATTGCCCACAAAGTGGAATAAATTGGCAATTAAGGTGTGTTACTAAAGCATGGAGTGGTTCATATTTTTTTAACCACTTCAACCATTACTGTACATCCCTACTATACTTAACCACTACTATAAATCAAATATAATGAATCAAGATTCTTAAATTGAAACATACATTTTGCTTCCAATGGAAAAAAAATTGTCTACAAAGCGAAAAACAAATTGCCAATAGGCATGCAATGGCTCATATTTTTTAGACCACGTTTCAAAATAATTTATAATGAGAAAAAAAATTTAAAAAATCATATTTTTTATTCCATTATTTAATGTACGGAGCTGACACAAATATATATGTAAACATAATATTTAGGTTTTAATTTAACCAATATCAACTGTTCAATCTGGGATAATATCTCATGTCACTAGAAATGTCAAACTAATTGCTTATGAAAATTTAATCTTTTTCTAGCAACCACTATTCTTTAAGAAACATTGAGCTTATGTTTATTTATTTAGCTTAGCTTCAATGTTGTCTATGCTATTTAGTCTCGTTTGCCCTAGGACAAATTACAGATTTAGAGGTTTGGTGCTCGCTGTATAGTTTGTCTACAGTAAGAACTCTCCCTACCGCAATGTGTGAGGCCGTCTGCTCACTTCCGTTACTTAAGTTCACAGGTGCCCACTGGGTAGCGTTAAAAGAGCAACACTTCCGGCATCTTCCGAGATGAAGAACGAAAATTCATTACCTGTCGTTATTGAAAAAAAAATCCTTCCCCATACGAAAAACATCACTTCCTGCATCAGAAAGCCTCCACACGGTATTTTATAAGTAGTCTGCGCAGACTATTTAAAAAATGAACCAGTTGTGCGCATGAACTCAATTTCTATTTTAAAAGTAATTGAGAGATATTTATCGTATATATTTGAGTATTGAATCTGTAGCGGTTGACAAATGAGTAAAACAAGCCTATCATACTCACAAATTAAAAAACTTTTCAGATATATATTTGCTACCACTTTTTTTATTTTTGCCAAATTTTCTATTAAGTGGCTTTTTCGTTAACTGGTTTGTCTTCATAGTAGTCTAATCGGACTACATGTAAAAAACCGTGTGGAGGCTTTCAGTAGTAGGAGGCGTTGATGAAGAACGGGTATTTACTTAATACCGAATAAATAGGAAGAAAATACAAAGTCTTGTATAAAAAAATTAAAATTTAAACTCATTTCAATATTTGTAGGCCATACCTTAGTAGTCTAAAAGCAGTAAAAAAATTTATGTCACGAAAATCGGACATAATATGACGTACCTGCCCAACTAGAAAAGCGAATATGAAGACACCCATGAGCCATGATATAGTCATGAATATATATTCAATTTCATTTTCAGGCTTTGGATTTTTTCCTATGGACGTTGCGGTCTTTGTAGCGAAATAAAAACAACGTATGTAACTAAAATGAAAAAGCTTATATTGTAGATGACATAACAAATAGAAGGCTTTTAATACAGGGTTAATACAAATGAGTAATCGGATTAAAAAAAATATTACACATCACATATAACAATAAGTGTTACACGAAATCAAAGATATATGTACCATTTTTCTGTTATAAATGTCCATTTGTTATATCAAGCTCGTTTTAACACATTTTGTTTCTTCCCAATGTAAATAGTTCCTAATGTTGCATAGGTGTGTTTTTAAAGTTCTTGCCCTGTGTCCGACATCGAAATAAATTAAATTTAATACAAAGTAACTTGTAGAGAGATTTCGTAGGGAGAACAGAAAGCAAAAATATCCCCCACCCCCCCAAAAGTTGCTTATTGTTTCAAGAAAATATGCTGTTTCGTAAAAATACGGTGAGTGTAAGTTCGAATTTAAAATTTCGCAGACTATTCGTATAATCATTGATTAATAATCTAGGATTTAAAATAAGAACTATTTAAAATAAATATAACTGTGTACTATGTGGAACAATAAAATTATATTATCTAAGGACTGAAACACTAATGGCTTTCACTACTTATAATAAAGAAGTTTATATTAATAATGAAAGAGACGATGCAGCTGGTAAATTCTTTACTTTGTTGATAGCTCAAGATGCACGTTTAAGAAAACTAAGCTTGAGACCGGGATAGCCTGGTTGGTTGGGAGCTGGACTCACATTTGTGAAAACGTTAGTTCGAATAGTGAGTAGGGTTCGAAGCCAGCTGGACGAAGATTCCCCGTGTAGTAAATGGTGATTGGTGCACGTTAAATCTGTTGGGTCACAAAGTTGGGTCGTAAAGTGTTTCCATGACAAATCAATACTTCTGGGGGTACTGAATTGGAGATGGATCGTTCTCTAGTTCAAATCAAAATTACGATCTGTGGACGAATGTGTGTATCAATGGGTCCGACTATTAAACGGGTGTGGCAGAAAACGAATTCTTGACCATAGATGGCTCCACTGGAAAACAAGAACAATCGCACCCCCTTTGTTTAATGGCAGAAAAAAGAATCTCACCCCTTGCCTTAAATGGCCCACACAACAGCAACAGAGATTGAGGCACGTGTTTTAACCTTTAGCACTCAGTAAGGCTCCTATACTATCAGAGCTGACCTATCAAGCAATATTGGAGCAAACAAGTTCGCAAGTTAACGTTATGTTTGTATTAGTTATGTTATTACAGAGATGCCAACGGCACCGGACACGCCAAAATAATTTAAAAAACGGTATATAACTACGAAGTAAATTTTGCAAATAGTTGACAATATTTGCTTGCTTTTAAAAAAGTGAAGCATGATATAAATACTATAAAGTGGTGAATTATATAAGCCTACGCATTGTTTAGAAATAGTGGTGGATTAAAATCTACTAAATCGAACTTATTAAACCAAGAATTACAATTAATAAACTACCACTTGAAAAAATTTATTCACTGTGCTTAGGTTAGCTCTTTGCTCCAACAATAAATGATAAGTCGGCCTGTCTAATTCAGGGGCTCTAGCATTCAGTAATAATAATTGCGTTTTTCTGATAATTTTTTCATCGTTTTTAGCAATTTTTTTTACGTAAACGGTTTAATTCAGTTTATTTTATTCATTTTCAGCATATACATACACCAAGAAAAAATTCATAATATTAAATATTTCATTTTACGTATTAAATAATTTCAAAATAATAAGTAATCTTTTTTTTTGTTAGTATATTCACAGTTGTTGATTAACTATTTTTGTAATGAAAGCCGGAGGTTCCTTCAAAAGAACCTGGATTATTTAGTCGAAAAAAACTCCATAGCCGAAACAAATTGGGAACTACTGGCTCAAGGAAATAGTTATAGCTTGAAATACGGGTTTGAAAAAAAGGGATAAACCAGAGATGCCAACTGCTTCGGACACGACAAAATAATTAAAAAAAAAACGGTAAATAACTGCTGAGTAAATTTTGCAAATATTTTACTTTTTTTGCTTGCTTTTTAAAAGATATATCATGATGTTACTATAGTAAAGTGGTGAATTATATAAGTTAGAAATAGTGGTTAGAAATAGTGAATTAGTTAGAAATAGTGGCGGATAAAATCTACTAAATTGAATTTATTAAACGAAGAATCACGATTAATAAACTACCACTTAAAAATATACATTTGCTGTCCGGAGCAAGCTGGCATCTCTGGATAAACTCGTCACCTCTGAAATCACATACCTGCCAACTTTCACTCTTTCCGAGAATGGATTTTCAGAGTAGTTGTAAAACAATAAATGAAAAACAATCTTGACTCAAAAATATATTTATATTTTGATCCCGTTGAAATTCGCTTGAGCAATGATTATTATGCTTTGATATATATATTGTAATTATTTATATGTAGTGGTGGTCACACTCATTTATAATTATCATTATAATTCAAAAAGTTAATTGGAATAACCTGAGTATTGCTACCACTTTAAATATGAAAATAAAATCTTCCGGAAAATCCGGAAGAGTTGGCAGGTATGAATAACATTAAAAGTTAACACTATCAAATTAAATTAATTTTGTCTCCCTATTTCCTTACCACATTATTTAAATAATATTAGCTATTATATTATAATATTATACCTTGAAATCATACATTTTTTTCCAAACATTTTAATTTTAATAGCATTTCATAGTGCTTAGTGAGCGAAAGGTTAAAAATGTGATTACTATTATTTTTGTGAAGCATAAATCAAATTGATTTAGTACATTTAGACGTGTCATTTTCAAAACTAATGAAGGGGGAACAATTTGGATAAACATTAACACGTTGAGAGCTGCGTTTGTCGTCGGTGGCAGCATAGAGCATACCTGCCAACTTTCACTCTTTCCGAGAATGGATTTTCAGAGTGGTTGTAAAACAAT